AATTTCCTATAGCCGTATCCGGATCCCGTCGGTTTTTATCTAAAATATCCGTAATTAACCTTTCGAAAATAGGTGGATTTATAAATTATAAAGCATTATATTAACGGTTAACCTATATAGGGTAAGCTAATTAAAAGGCTATAATAAAAATCGTTTTTTAATCGATATTATCGATTTTAGCCCTAACGCTTAAAAATTTTAAAATATATCCTTTAAAAGTAAATATAAACTCGTTTAACGAGTTATAATTCTCGAATTTAATCGTATAAAATTCGAAATATAATTACTAACGTAATATAGGTCCGGTGCCTTAATAGGCTAATTATAAAATCGATAAAGCTTTATATAAATTTATTTTATCGAATATTAAATTTAACGGTTTTATTATTAAATTTTAACGAATTAAAAGCAATACCTAGGCTTTTTAAATATCGGTTATACCGTTATATATATCGGTAATTTTAAAAAACCGATCGATTTTTAATAATTTAAAATATAATTATAACGTGGATTTCCACGTATTCCAATTTCCGGATCCGGAGAATTTTTATTTTTCCGGTATTTAGCATCCGGTAATAATACGGATAAAGTTATTTATTTTGCCGAATTTTTGCCGTTATAACGGTATAATTATCGTTAAAAACGGTAAAAAAATCGTTAAAAAATAAAAATAAAAAAAATTAATTCTTTTATTTTATCGATAAAATATATAATAGGATCTAAGTGCTATAATATAATATAGCAGGTATTATAAAGTGCTATAATAAATCGGCTATTATAATAGGGATTAATTATAAGTAACTTTATAACCGTTATATAGCTATAACGGGTAAAATTATTATAATTAGCCATTTAACTATAGTTTTCGATATAATTACGGCTTATATAGGCTTATATATAGGCCTATAAAGGATTAGCTATTATAACGGAATTTTAGAGTTTATATTAAATTAATTCGTTTAAAAAAGCAATTATAGTTTTCGATATAAAATCCGGTTCCTAATATAATCGATATTATACCGGACCGGGCTTATAACCTGTTTTAAGGTATAATTAATAAATTATATAATTTAGGTATAAAAAAGCGTTTTTTATAATTTGTAAAATTAGGCCGTAAAAATAGTTATAAGGCTATATAACTAATTTATTAAAGCTTAAAAAAAAATAACTAACTACGAAGGAATAATTACCTTTTATACCTATAAAATTAACTAATAAAAATATTCTAAAATATATTACTAATAAACTAAATTTATAATTAAGTTAATTAATAATAAAATTAATTTATAATCGAAAAAACCATCGAAATTTATAGATTTTTATAATATAGGTTATTTTATAACCTAAGGCCATTATAGCCAGGTGCACTAGCTATATTTAATAGGGCTAAATTTAATAGAACGTTTTATTAGATTTTAGTGGGTTCTAATAGCTATAATAGCTATAATAATTAATTATAATAATTTATTAATTATATAGCATTGTAAATAGTGGCTATAAGTGGTATTATATTAATTGTAGGTTAGTATAAGGTAAATTTTACTGATTTCCTATATATCGTTATTTAACGATATTTCGATGGGTTTTATAGCTGTTATAACGATATAATATACGTTATAAAGCTAATTTTATGCATTATACGATGCTGTATTAATATCCGTGCAACAAAAATAAATTAATTGCGTTTCTTCCGCGATTTTTTTACGGATTTAAATCGCCGAATTAAAAGCTTATTATTTAAAATATTTAAAAGTGTAACGATGGTGCCCTCCCGGACCACGTTGCCGGCTGTTACTACTATATAACCGGTTTATACGTACGTAGCTTAGTCAGTTAGCTTTTAATTTTAATATTAATCCCCTATATACTGCCGCATTTTATTTATATAATTATTATATCGCTAATATATCGTTATTTATTTAATTATATTGCTTTATATTATTATAATTTTAAAAGCTTTTTTATAAATAGCCTGCGGTATCGTTTTTTTCCGTTTATATCGTCGTCCTTATTTCCGTTATTTTTTAACGTATAAAAATGGCGTATTCGCAAAATTCGCGTATTATGCGTAGCGCTATTATAGCTGTATTTAATCCGGCTAATACCGATACCGATATAGCTGCTATAGAATAATAGCTTACCGGAAGGCAATAGCTTAACGATTTTTTCGTCGTTATAAAGTAGTAATTAAAGAAATTTTAAAAATAAATCGAAAAGGCCGAATAGCTGGCTATATTAAAAAGGAAGCTCCGTTAGCTTTAGTAGCAGGATAATAAAAACGCGGCTTTTTCGTTATTTTATCGCCGCTATTACGATAATAATTTTAGATTAAAACGCGATTACGACGTTAATTTAGAAAAGTTAATTAAGGTATTTATACTAAAATTTTTTTTTAGGCAATAAAATAAATAATTCGCCGATTTTCGCCGTATTTTTAATAATACCCCGAAAAAATATAAATAGCTACGCTACCGTATTAATTTAGCTATTTCGAAAATAAATTCTTAATATTAATTTTTATAAAATTATAAAATTTAACGTTTCGAAAATAACGATTTAGCATTAGCTAAGCGCACCGTTAGCGATTAGGCTATGTTTTTTAAATAAATTATTAGCCTAATTTGCGATACCGGATATTATAAAGCTGCGATTATAAAATTGCTTAAGGCTGTATAATAAGGTTTAAAATAGCATTTTAAAGATTTTAATAATTATTTTTAATTTTTAAAAAATTAAAATAACGATTGCCGGACGGGAGCCGTTAGCGTTTATTATTTTTACGCGAAGTTAACGGAACGGCTAAGAAATAGGTTAAAAACGCAGCTTACGACGCTATTTATTATATATAAAGGTATAGTCGGGACGGCTATTAGGTTATAAAAATTATTTAACCTAGCGTTTGCTATAAAATCCCGACGTAATCGCTACCGGATCGATTATGCCGCGCCGTAGGAACGTACGGATTATATTATTACGAAGCTGGCATAATTAATTTTATCGCTAGCTTTAACGTTTTTTATATTTATTATTATAGCATTAAATCCAGCTCGGGTCCAGCTATTTTTAGCTATAACGATTATTATTAGGGATCCTAAGCTATTAGCCTTTTTATTTAACGGTATACGCTATAATAAAAAAGAAAAAATTATACCCTGCCGCAAATATAATAATATTATATATTAGAGATTAAAATGCCCTAATAGTAACGAAAGTAATTTATCGTCGCATCGCCTGGATAACGCTAAATCGTTATAATAGCATTATAAAGGTTTTCGTCCTATTAGGTTTTTCCTTTTATACGGCTAATATTAATAAATATATGCTAATAATTTATTTATTATGGTTTTATATCGTTATTATACGTGGTTTTATATCGTTATTATACGTAGTTTTATATAGTTATATAGTCCTATTTTTATCGTTTAATTATAAGTTATCGTATCGGTAATAGTCCGCCGGTGTATTTATAATGGTTTGTCGTTTGTTCCTTAATTCCGTCGTTAATTTGTAATCCCGTTAATTTATTTATTAATTTATTAATTATAAGTGGTTTTTAATGCGGGATATTATTTATATATATAATAATTAGAGTTTTTAATTATTTATTTAGTTTTAATATAATATATTTTAGCTAATTCGCAATAGGATCGCCGTTAAGGAGTTAATCGTACGTAGTCGATTATATGGTTAGTCGTTGTAATATATAGCCTGGCGTGGTAGTTGGATGCCTTTAGTAACCCGTTAAAATCGGGTAAATCTAATGCGCGGCTGGTACCGTAATTATTATTGTATTAATAGAAGCCGTAATCCGGGTTAAGGCTTTAATTTTAAGGGAATACCGGTTTTAAAGTCGAAGCACCGTTTAAAAGGGGGGGATAATTATAACGATAATGCTTTTCCGGATTACGTTGCCGGCTGTTACTACTATATAACCGGTCCGTATATACGTAGCTTAGTTAGTTAGCTTTTAACTTTGATATTAACCCCCCGTATACTGCCGCACCTTACCTATATAGTCACTATATCGCCAGTGTATCGTCACCTATTTAATTATATTGCTTTGTATTGTTATAAAAAGCTTAATAATACGGATAAATTTATTTTTACCGTTACGTTAACGGCTATCCTTTTTTATTATTTAAATAAAACGATTTAAAATTATTATTATTTATTACGCTTTACGCTTTTTATTTATTTTTTTAAGCTTTTGCCTATTTTTATTTTGCTTATTAATAGCTTTTTTTTTAGCTTAAATTCGTTACGTCGGTATATAATTTCGAGGTTTTTATAATTAATTTTTATATTTTTTAGGTTAGCCGTTTATATAGCGATAATATTATCTTTTATTTTATTAAATACTAATATAACGCGGAAGAGTTTTTTTAAATTGCTTTTAATTGCCTTTAAAAAATTAATGCCTATAATATTTTTATCGGGCTATTTAATATTAGCTTTATTACTAAATTTAGCGGTAATAAGCTTTATAAGAATATTATTATTAATTAAGTTTTATTTTTATACCGGATTTTAATTTATTATAAAATCTGCTATTATGCTATTTGCTTTAATATTTATTAGGTGCTAAAAATACGGAAAACTTTTTAACGTCGGAGTAATGCTATTATATAAATAATTTTACAAAATTTACGAAATTATAAAATTATATAAATAATAGCAAAAAGGGAATTAATTAAAAAATACGATATAATAATTATTTATAAGTTTAAAAACTGCTAATTTCCCGTTTATATAGCCACCTACGGTAATAAAGCCGTAGGCACCCGGCTATAGCCGTTTCTAGACTTTTCCACGATCCTTTATTGACTATGGGCACCAGCAGGCCCCAGCGCCCTCCGCCAACAGTTTTTGATTATATACACATGAGGTTACAATCAGATCCAAGCTACTTGGCTACTACTGGGTCGTTGCTACCAGTGTACCTCATTACAGCAGGCCCGCACCAGCACCTGACATTGCAGAAAGGACGAGGGACTGAGATCATGGTCTATATTCTTGAAAACCGAACCATTGATTTCAAGGCAGAGGATCTCTGTCACGAAGGTATTACCGCCTGGACACAGCTTCTGGAATTCAAAAGCCTCGAATGCCATGACATGCGAGAGAATACGAAAAGAATACTCACTTTCCTCCTCGGTGAAGGGATTCTATTGCCGCTCTTAAAAGCCGGAGCGGACCCAAATGTCAAGATCTACTGCCCAAGCTCTCCTCCCATGACTTACTACAGGATTCACAGACCAATGGCTGTGGTATACATTGAACTATGCTTTGAGTTCCTGGATCAGCCTTTGGTCAAGCAGCAGCTCTATCTTGACGTGTTGGAAGAATTTCTTCGATTGAGTACAATTAGTACAGTCAAGGCCGTTTGTGTCGACTTTCGCGCGACTAGATCTGGAAATGCCGGAGTCTCACCACGGCACTTGCCCTTCCTTTCAAGAGTCAATGACCTCTTGTCACTCCATCTGGATAAATTTGGGGCCCCTGGACCCAAGTTGCTGCAGGATAAATGGCCTCAACAAGCTGTCCCTGCAAATCCACATACATCTATCAATTCAATCAAAGGTGAGAAGAAGCGGAAGAAGAGGGAGAATGAATCTGATGATGTTCGATGCGAAGGAACGAGGAAGAGATAGATGCATATTGCATTGAAAATCATGCATTCTATATGTCCAGGACATTTTTCGTCGAGTTTTCAAGATGGCCAGCCACCCCTCCCAGGGTAGTCCTTGGCTTTCATATTTCACAGGCTGATTCATCTTGAATGTATGGAGTCCAATTGGTGTTTATGTAATCGACAAGATTGCCATCACCACTTTGAATAACCTTGCTCACATGGCACACATTTATGACAGAGTGGTGCAAAAACAACTTATTTTTTCCAATAGTTGAGACTTTATCACATGAAACGTTGACAGTGTCACGGTTTGGGTAATGGCTGCGAATATCCAATGCCGAGTTGAAGTCGATTATATGGGGCGAACATGGCCAGCATTATTGAACACATGTTTTTACTATCTATTGTTGTGTCTTCAGCTGTGTACGACTGCCGACCACGATTGTGCTACTGGTTGATTCCAATATTGGAGATCGGAGGCAGGTCTCCGAATTGAATATAGATTTTTTTCGGGAGCTGACTAGTCCTCGAACTTGTTATGGTAACCTACTCGCCTCATGATCTCCAAAAAGGACTCGCGACAGTTGCGCTTTATTGGAGGATATTCTTACCTTTGCAGGGATAGGTCCAAGGTTGTTCTTCCTTGACGTCTAACATTTATCCACCCTGTCATGATGATACTCGCACCTTTATACTACGGATGCAGCTTTTAACGCGTCAAAAGAAAAAAAAAAGTGTAAGTCTCGAGGCTACAATTAATCCATAACTTATCATAATTATGCGCTCCAATCATTTGACCTAGGTTGGATGGTCATATTTCGTACTAGAATACGAAAATGTCTTCAAAGAAAGACAAAGCAGGGAATCTCTGTAATATAATAACAGGAGACCGAACATCAGCTTGCGAATGTGGAATACAGTTGACTTAATTCAACGTTCAATAATACTTTTTTCAATCACTCGCAATGAAGTCAGCACAAGTATTTCTGACTTTGGCTGCAGCTCTGCTGCAACCATTCGTGGCAGCCGGCACAGTGAAGCGCCAAATCTCGTCCGTTGTATCCGGCACTCCGCCGGGCTTTGCAGCATCCGTCACCGGGGGAGGCAACGCCACTCCAGTATATCCAACCACGATTGACGCGCTCAAATCCTACCTGACATCCTCGGAGCCTCAAGTCATTGTCATTTCGGGGGCCTTTAACTTTATCGGTTCAGAAGGAACTACCACCTACGAGGCATGCAACATCTATGATTGCACGCCCGAGAACGGTGGACAAGCATTGCTCAACACCCTGGGTGGATGCGGTTCCACTGCGACTTACTCGGTGGCCGTGGACACGGCCTCAAACGGCATCAATGTCCAGTCGGATAAGACTCTGGTTGGTAAGAATGGTGCCACTTTGGAGGGCAAGGGACTGCGCTTTGTAAACGTTGAAAACATCATTATTCAGAACGTTGCCATCACCAATCTGAACCCCAAATATGTCTGGGGTGGAGATGCCATTACGCTTTCGGGGACCAAGAACATCTGGATTGATCATGTTACGGTAAGCTCTCGTTCTGTTTTTACATGCAATATGAATGATGAGTGAATGATGAGACAATAATCTCATATTGTTTGGCAGACCTCGTTGCTTGGACGTCAGCATTACAGCTTCGGGCCAGACTCCAACCAAGGCATTGCCATTTCCAACAGCTTCATCAGCGGCGAGACAACGCAATCTGCCACGTGTGATGGGCGCTCCTACTGGGGTCTTGAGTTGGTCGGATCAGATGATACGATTACTTTCTTGAGTACGTCCCTCCTTTTTAACATCATATTAGAATCAATAGGTTGAGGCTAACGTGGGTCTTTTGCTCGATAGGGAACCGCGTGGATTGGACCTCTGGCCGTGGTCCTGCACTATCCGGCACCACACTATTTCATGCCATCAATAGCATATTCTCCAACACGGGCGACCATCTCATCGAGGGTGGTCTAGACAATGGCATGGGTTTGTACGAGGGCAATTATTTCTGGGCGGTCCCGACTCCCGTTGCTTCGGGCTGGGGTGGCCATTTGTTCACCGTCCCATCAGGCACAGAAGCGAATTGCGCGCAGTATCTGGGTCGAAACTGCGCCGTCAACAATGTTTCAAACTCGGGCGCTTTCTCCTATACCGATACTTCCTTTCTGAGTCGATTCTCTGGCAGCAGCATTCCTGCAGTTGTGGCAGCGTCCGAGATTATGAGCGCTGTTGTCGGAACAGCAGGCAATACGCTATAGCCAGTGTGCAGGTCATGTACCTAGCATGTTGCAATTAGGAGCAAATATGTTGTTTTATGCGGCCTGGGGTTGCTGTCTCTCTCCACAATTTAGCGAAGGTCGCAATAACCATCAAGGGCTTCTGCCCTGCATGTCCCCTAATCTTCCTAGAAATCAAGGTTCCGTAAATTTTCACATCAACGTCTGTCCCCTGTGCATGGTTGCCTTGCTCTAGGCGTCGTCCAAGATGCGACCGTTGTAGCCTGAAGAACAATTACTGGCAAACAAAGTGGACCGACTGAATGTGCTTTTGTATGAGAAATTACAGGTAGGGTTTGCGCCCAAGGCATCCCACATGGTACCTAGCTTGGCACTGCAACGTGCTAAAATAAACATCCTGGCAGACCCAACAACACTGGTCTGTAGCCGAGAATCTAGCCCTACGCTAAATCCTTCAGACCTGCCCCTGTACACTAAAATAAGCAGAGTCATGGAACCCAGAGCCTCATGTTCTCTCAGCTACCTGCATCCTTCGTATAACAGGTCGCAAATGATGACAATTGGGTGATTTGAGACTCGAAGATCGTCGAGTTCTACTGGACAGCACCGGGGGACTTGATCCTACCGCCTGTTCATTCGCTACTCCTCCTCGGGGTTGATGTATATTAATCCTGATATATTTTATCAGCATGCTTTACATAAGGCAACCTCTTGATGCAAAAATCATGAGAGCGAATTTTCGGCCCCCAAAACTTTGGTTGTCTTTTGGATCATTGAGTACATGTATACCCTATGCTGGCCATTGCGACATAGTTTTCTCTTCTTGTTGATGATATTTCCTGAACGGCTCCAGTTGCAACAACATACGCAATGCCAAATTCATACGAGCTTTTAGACGATCCGAGACGACTGTCGCCGCCCTTGTCACACAGCAATCCTCGCGACACTAAATATCAGGCACAGCACTCGCATTTACCCATTGGGGATTCCAATTCTGCCCTTCACCAGACGTCCTTTGAACACCATGGATTTAGACATGTGTATGCAGTTTGGAAAAGGGAAATCGTGGCTTATATACTGGTGCTAGCACTACCACTAATCATGATGGCCACTCTATACCCGCATGCTGGACAGCCGTTACCGCAGTGGCCATTAAAAATCACCATCAACACTCTTCTCTCGATATACAATGTTGTCTTCAAGACCTTGCTTGCGTTTGTGGTTGCGTCGTGTATTGGTCAGCTGCAGTGGACGTGGTTTTCCTCGCGCCGATCTCTGCACGATGTCGTCCTTTACAACCAGGCGGCCCAAGGCGCATGGGGCTCGGCGCGCTTGCTTTTGAGCCATCACATTGAGAATCCACTGGCCGCGTTGGGATGCATCATACTAATCCTGTCCGTTGCCCTCGATCCCTTTACGCAGCAGCTTGCCCGGCCCAAGGACTGCGAAGTCATTGAGCCAAGCCAGGCTAGACTGCCTCGCGCCAATGTCTTTTCCGATACTAGCGAGGATGACACTTTTGGCCAGGATATCGACGACACGATGAAGCGAGGTATTCTGGGGTCCAACAATGGTCTGTGGGTCAATTGCCCGACCGGGAACTGCACCTTTTCCGAGACCTTTGGGACAGTGGGCTATTGCAGTTACTGCGAGGACTCTTCGGATCAGCTCACCTTCAATACCTCGTGCTCGGCCACAGATGGACTTGTCAGCAATGAAACAGCTAGCGAAATCATTCCAGCGACTCCCGATGATTGCCCGACCAATACGACATTCAACCTGATATCCAGTCTCCCAGAGGAATGGTATCTCGAGTCATATTATCGTAACCCACCAGGCCCGGTGTCGCTCAACGTGACATACTCGCTGGGTGCAGATTGGTTCTATGGGCGTAACGGAGTCGAGGTCGCGGCAATGGATATCATGTATAATGACACGGAAAACACGCATCCCGAACAAATGATGGTGCAAGTAATTGCTGGCAAGACGACATCCTCGGACGAACACCGCGACTTGGCTACTGGAAAGAAGAAGACCGACTGTAGCAGTATTAATCCCCCCGACAACTGGCGATGTGGGCAGACTGGGGCCGCGACTTGCTCCTTGTCGCCATGTGTGCGCTTGTACAATGCGACCGTCAGCAATGGCCAATTGACGGAGCGCCTCGTGGATCAATCGGGTAGTGTGTTCTGGGGATCAACAGATGGCAACTCTGGGCTCGCTATATTGGATACAGAATGTGTCACGAATCAAGAGAAAACCGATTTGCAAAACCAGGGAGTCGTTTTCAACTCGACGGGACGATGGCTTCCCTTGAATGCCAGGCCCGAGTGGACTTCATTGTCAGACAGTTTCACTACGGCCATGAACTTGACCGAGAGATTATTCCACCGCCAGTGTCTGTATTACATGGGGACGGGATTTGTCAAGAGTATGGCGCCTTTTGTGATTGGTTCCTACTTTACTGGAACCCTGGCCGGCGTCGGCGGCAAAGGCGGCGGCATCGACTCCTTTGCCATCTCGCAGTTCAAGGGAGACTACATCATTGACGGTCTGTACAATTCGGGACGGGTCGACATGGCAAGTATCGAAGGTGCCATGGCCAACATATCGGAATCACTAACGCAATACCTGCGCACGCACGGCGACGGTAACTACTCGGCGGATGCCCTCGGCCAGGTCAGGCACTACGCCACGTGCATCGAAGTACAGTGGGAATGGCTCGCTCTGCCTGGTCTCTTGGCGCTTCTTACCCTGGTGCTCCTCTTGTTTGTCATCATTACCGCAGACGTCAGCAGGCAGCCCATCTGGAAGGGGTCACCTCTAGTGTGGATTCTACGGGGATATAATGAGGAGAGGGTGGATGGAGGGCGATGGAATAATGAAACGGTCAACACACTTGTAGAAATGGAGGATAGATCAAAAAAGACGATAGTATCCATCACATAGGTTGAAGATTACGGCTATATTTGAATAAACTACACGTCCCGAAGATAGGTGCCGACGTCTGTCCTGACTGACTCTGGTGTTCGATTGGAAACGTGGTCTTAGTCCCCACAACTGATTCTATCCTTTTTCTCTTTCTCATTTGCATTTTCTTTGGCTTGGATAATCATTGCGCATTGAGTTACCAGGTTCAAACGAGTGTAATCATAATTGACTTGTGGATCGATTCATTCCAAGCGTCAACATGAATCTGTCCAACAGACACACGCTGCGCCAAACCATCTTCCCACCGCACCAGCATGATATTGATAGCCCAGTCATTTTTGTAGCAATAATGACGTGTGTCAAAGATCTCCTCGTAGTACTCTCTGTCAGACGGGTATTCGGGGGGCAGACGGTGTTTGTAGTCTTGGATGGTCGCCGCAGTGACTTGGGCTTGGGTACTTCGAGATAGCATGACCAAGTCATGACGGTGGGAGTTGTTGTGCAGCTTCATCTCTGAATCAATGTCATACTTATGGATTGTTCCGCAGTGCTGACCAGCAATATCATAAATCCAGATCGAGCCGGCTACTGTTCGGCGGTAAAACGGGGACAAGCCACCACCCGCTTCTCCATTCCTCCACACAGCGCTTTGCTGCAGGCGGGGTTCTGAGATGGCGTACGCCTCAAGGGATATGGTCTTGGCTTCAAAACATATTGAGTACGGCGGCATCATCTGTTCAATACTTATAAGGCTGCCCATTTCAGTGTCTTGGTCAGGACCCTGGATTCTCCGAATTTGGCGTATCCCGCTTGAGTCGCGAATCCAAAAGCTTCCGACTTCCGTCTTCACAGTGACGTCCTGTCCTGCAAAAGAATCCAGACGCCATGGGTCCCACCAGATTTGATTTTTCCAAGCTGTCCAACACCAAGTGGGTAATGTGCAACTTGACTCTCTCCTTTCATCAGACGACCACCTGGCTCTGGATTTTTGGAGCTGCGGTTTCCAAAGCAATGCGAAGTCGAAGAGCGATTCCGGCAGAGCACACGCGAACTTCCAGTCAAGCATGTGCGTCAGAGAAGACAGGATGCCAGAAAAAGCATTGAGTGCATCACTAGGGAAGGTCAGATATCTGTGGCAATACGACTTAGTAAGCGATCGATAGAGTCTGAATTGTGCGCTTGGATCATCTCCGGTTTCTTGGCCAAAAGTGTGAGCCATCCAGCCCCCTTCTAGAGTAGGCGAATCGATTTCGTGGTTGTCCGGATGATCCTCCGATTGGTAACTGGTGCGACATTGCCAAAATACTTGGTGCTCTGCAAAATACAAACAACGCCGAGATAAGATGCCTTCCTGGAAGGTCCAGGCCCGAGAATTCCAAGAAGAGTCCTGTACAACATCAGAAAGATGCGGCAGTCTTTGAACGAGGTACGAGTCATTAATCTCTACAGGCGTTTGGACGAGGTTACGCGGGTGCGTGATCCCTGGAAGTGCTGATTCGGCGTGTTTTGGTGTCAGGGTTACCAAGGTTACGCATGCATTGCTATAGATCTGGTCCATGCGTGAAATATAAACACGCTTTGAGTCGTCGTCATCCTGAATGATGCAAAGTGCATCAACCCAGAGATATCTCTCACCGACAGCTTTGGTAAGGCAGATGGCATCACTGATTGCGCGCGGCATCTCGTCCCTCAACTCTTGCAGCGACCCGTCCTGTCGAAGATCGTTGATGTTTGCCTTTGTGCATCTCAAACTCTTGGTCCAACCCCACACGTAGCTCAGAGCCATGTACCGAGATTCCCATGCAGATTCTACCAGTTTCATGCCTAAAACATCGACCAATAATAATCTCAAGCCTGGGAGCTCCGTGGGGTGAGGCTTTGGTGGGTTACACTTCGAACCATGAGATAAAGCACACTGGCGCATCCAGTCTCGAATGAGAGCAATATCAGCCATCTCCCCTAGAAGTCGAGCATGGTGTGATTTGCCGGCCTTACCGGCCGTGTGTGCAAGTGCTTGTATTTGGAACAGGGGAACGATCTCTGCAACGGTTGTAGTGTAGCCCGATATGCCTTCTGGGTATGTGTCGGTGGTTGAATCAAACCAAAGCTGGAGGCCGCGCTTATTCGATTGTTCGTGATATCTGCCTAAGTAACAAACTTCGACAGGGTATACATCAGTCTTCCAAAAGGTCCTGGCGTGGACATTGAATGCTTTGATCGCGAGGCAGCAAAGAGGGCATTGAGTTCTCTTGGCAATGTCCTGGAAACGCCCCAGTCTGACGGTGCTGTGGTGTTCGTCAGTGTAGAGGTAGTCCTCAAGTTTGATATATTGGCATATATCGCAAAACTTTGAAGGAATTTCCATTTCAATTAGATTCTGATATGAGTGAGAGTGTTGCATATCTGAACAATGAAAAAAAAAAAAAAAAAAAAAAAAAAAAGAACTACTGGATCGCAATGTGTGGTTGGAAGATTGAGTACCTACCCCGTTGTGCCGTGAGGGGCAAAAGTCTCCCACATTTCTGTGCCGCAGGCTGCGGGGCCTCTGTGGTAAATCGGTGCTTCTCCTCAGCGATTTCCATCTGACGCGACCGTGACATTTCTGGTATTCTTGCATTGTAGATATCTTCCACTTGATCAAACAATCACACAGGGTCATATCTTGAGTCTCTTTAATATGCTTGACTTGATTTCACAAAAGACCCATCTACGAGTTTTTGGCGTCGAGGTGCTGCTAAAAACCAGCAGATTCGAAGGTCATGCTTTAGGTAACCGCGCAAAATGTTTATTCCTCATGACAATCTTTCATGAATCAATAGATTTGGCTCAAAGGCAAGGAACAAACATGAGACCTCAACGTTCTGAAAACCACAATCACGACCATTCGATCATCGCCTCGAGGTGTTATATCTATAGAGAGCCCTTCGGCGCTACACGATGGTGTGGGGCTGGTCTATTGGCAGGTGTTGCACCGCGTGAACGCCTGGACACATTTATCCAGAACGCGATCCGTGACGTCTCATGACCAGTAGTCGTTACTATGATAGCTTTGACGTGTTTGAACTACATAGACATGAGACTCCCTTTGCCCGATATCAACCTATTCCAGCCTCGGTTACAATGTCTGAAGCGCATCATTGGTCCGTGTCGCGATCGATCTCGGTGCGGCCGCAGATCATGAACGGAGACATGGCTCCGGTACTTAATCCCGGTAGGGCTGCATCGCTTTCGCCTAGGTTAGAACACTCATAGCTTGTGGCAATAAGCGAATCAATTTGTGGCAATGTCAAGCTCCAGCATACAAAACATAAGGCTACCGCGGAATTGTTGATGATGCAAAGACCGCAGAGTAGCACTTGCGCAAGGCTTTTAAGCTTATAGAGAGCGGCTGTATGCTGCAGAAATGAGAGATTGGACGGCGCTATAGTCGTTGGGGTTAGATCCATGGCAGTGATCTATGGATTCTATACCGTTAGTAAAACAGTGGATTGTAAAGCCAACGATTTCACCAATTCCAGGCCCCAACCGTCTGCCCCACACGGCGATAAACGAGCAGAACAGAGCAGTTTTGATTCTGGTCAATTTCAAGTAGTACCTTGGTAAAATGGTTTCTTTGGAAATAGGCTGACGCTAAATGTCAATGCCATTTGTTCTAGGTCGAGAAAAGTCGAATCCAAGCAGAGGCATTTGACCCCAACTTGGCCCTTGCTCCACTAACTAGTTGGCTGGCAGATCAATGACAATAAACCCCTGCATTACCCAAATGGTACTTGTCGCAGTGATGAGCTAGGCTATGTTGTAGTTGCTACAGATTACATGAGCAGACAAGGCTACGACGGTTGTATGGACTTGATGGTCAGCCTCAAAATACTTCTTACTTAACATTCTTCTAGTCTTTTTTTTTTTTTTGGTCTTTTCTTTCCGCTTCTCCCTGTCATTCTTTTCACCATTCATTCTTTTTCTGTCCAAAGCATTGATTTGCTTCTGACAAGCATTCTTTTCTAGTCACTCCTTCAGATATTTCAACTTTTACGTCGCATTTTCTTTTTCCTTTTCCTCCTCATATCAGTTACCACGATGCGCATCTTTGCATTTGTTTCCGGCCTCTTTTCACTCGTGGCCTTGATCGCGGCCCTGCTGTGTCTTCTGGCTGGCCAGAGACTGGGTTTCATGGAGGATGCCGACATTCTCACCATAACGGTTTCTGCTGCCGGCAAGGCTCAACTGCTCAATGGCACAACTAGTGGTGAGACCAGCGTCGTCGGGTCTCAACTCGAAGGGCTGACGGCCCAGACTGGCGTCAACGACTGGTTTGCCTTGCACGTCATGAACTACTGCAAAGGCTCCAACGCCAACTCGACTTCTGCGGCCAGCGAGTCGTGCTCAGACACGGTTCCCTTTTTTTCATTTGATACGATTTCAATCATCGATTCCGAGTTGCAGCAAGGTGTCAACCTTTCTACCCGCGGAGTAGACGTGGGCATGAGTATTTCCGCTTCGGGGTGGCCGTCGGAGATTTCCGACATCTCTGGCAAGGTGATGACGGCGTACAAGGTCATGTTCTTCATGCTTTGTATGGGAATTGCTGCTTCCGGTGTCGAAGCGATTGCCAGCTTGTTGGTCATGGCAATGGACGCTAGGCCTTATGGTCATGGGGCCCTGGTTTCCCTCATCAACCTTGTATTGAGTTTGGTAAGTCCCATTCCCATCTTATAGGACTGGATTTTGAAGCTCATGTGTGACAGATTGCTTTTCTCGGACTTGGACTAGCCTCGGCTATCATCACGGGCACAATGTTTACCTTTGTGAATACCATTAATTCACAAGGTAGTGATATTGGTCTGAGTGCAACAAAAGGAATGAAGTTCCTGTGCATGACCTGGTTGGCGACCATTTTGATGTGTCTAGCAGCTCTCGCCTGGGTTCTTGACTTCTTTGCCGAACGAAGAAATAAAAGAAGACTTGGAGATTATGCCGCCAGAACTACGGAGTTGGAAAGCTACAAAGATCGAGAGAGGGCATTAAAGATGGAAGAGAGGCTCATGAAAAAGAGGATGGCCCTGGATCGCAAGATTTCCGAGGCCCAGCGTTACAAGAACCATGAAGGAGAAATGGGCGTATCTTTGAAGCCTCTCCCAGTCGAGACCTCTAGCAGTGTTGCCGTGAGTACTACTTCGAACTTGTTCATTTCCAATTCCTAACATTTCTCCAGGCTCGAGAAGTCGGCGACAATGTACATGCACCTACCTCTAAAAAGTCGCTCGAAGATATTGATAGGCCTGAACCGTTGCATAACCGGCCTCGAGTCGTGCAAGTAGAGTTCGTGTAGATTCTAGATCTTTATGCTTTTATTCGAATGAAATTCCAATTTAGTACCGTCATATTCCGTGTTAGATTCGATAAGTGGTATTCCATGGTTGTCTGAATGGACTTGAGCCCAAGTCTACCGCACGCTCATTTTACCAGCTACACATCAAGAACAGCGCTGTCACAGCAGAGAACACCACTTTGAGCCCCAGCCTCGAGACATCCCTCCTCACGGCAGTAGTGGTCCAACTCCGCCTCAGTGTGCCCCCCGAGGCCGATGTTCCAGCCCCCGACGTTGAAACACCGTTGCTTCCGCCCTTGTACTCGACCGCAAAGTTGTAGGAGAGACCGCTGGGTGTACACTGCGTGTTCTCGGCGCATTGGACCACGACGCTCCACTGGCCGGCCGCGCATCGTTGCCACGATGTTCCCATGCAGTACCATTGTCCTTCTTCCGAACAAGAAGTGCCAGCCTGCATATCTCTCGGGTTTATGATGGAGACGGCTTTCAAAAGATCTTGGTGGCGTGATACGTCACTTGTCGGTGTAGCGCATATCATGATCGTACACATGAGAACCATGAATGTCAGGCTCATACCAAAATTGCACATTTTCCCAGTCGCTTGACCCATGATAGCTGTGAGGCTCAATCAGAGTGAATATGATAAATCGATCAATATGATTTGAGTGGCGGTCAGGAGCCAGGACAGGAGTCGGAGTCAAAAGAAAGATGAGAAAGCTGGTGGTGCGACTAATATAGGCGCGGTCTGCTTGCTAGCCCAACAAACTAGCATGATTAAATCAGTCACCGCATATCCTGACATGACCCTTTCCAATTGATAATGACATCATTCCAAGCAAGCTCTGACATGATTCCTGTCACTTTCATTTGGGCTTTTAGACGCAGTCGCGGAGGATCTGGTTTTGATGGGCAGCATTGCTGCCCAGTTAGCGGGGGTGCATACTTACACGAGGCGCATGTGTGCTGTGGCCATTGGCGCGCAGTTGCAGGCCAGGATTGAGTCGGGCATCCAAAGATGACCGTACATCTAGCGCCGTCGGATGAAGGAAACTCCCAAAAGCAAGTTAAGTTGTGTTATTATTTCTTTCTGTACGATTGACACCATCTACTATCGTAGCTCTTCCCTGCGGGCCGTTGTTCAATCATCTGGGTTGAGTATGATGGTGTTGAATAATCCAATATTCGAGCGATTTGATACAGGTCTGTACCAGAAAGAAATTGTGCAGCGTAGCTTTATGGCAATGTCGGCAATGTCTTGATAGAGATGATGACCATCAGGAGAAGTATTGCCATGTATCATACTATAGAATTGTGCAAGTTATTCAGCTTCGTGTATTTGGGAGATCGTGGGTCGGAAAAGAGAAGACGAGTATGAAAAATATTCAGGGATAAAAGACACATAAATCAAAAAGAGGAAATAAACATAGAATGAGATCGCTTCCGCTACTATATGTTGCGCAGAGCGCAGGCAGGGTGCAGTGCTAGCTTTTAGTGTCCTGATACGCTCATATCACTAGGTTACCAATGTGCTTGATATGCGGTGATGCTGTTCAATTCAGTATTTGTGTCAGACTTCACCATGGTCTGTTCAGTATCTCCCATGTTAGATATCTAAGTGAAATGATCGCTTCAAATACGTTCATCGGCTCATCAAAGAAAGTGATCAACTTACATCCGTCGTGGTAACCTTAGACCTTCAAAATGTTTGCAGTGGTGTGATTGTGGATGATGTGGTTTTTACAGTATAAGTAAGTGCTCTTAGATTTAAGTAAATGGCAGCAGTGTCACGAAAAGAGACCGAGATATGGAAGCTTGCAAACGTGAAAGCAGATTCCATAGCAGTATCGGTGTACTTGGTGGGTCATTGCAGAAGAATGCGATTAGAAGCAGTGCCTGAGTTTGGATGAGTTTTGCGGTGTATTTGGAGTGCGATCCGTCCGTGTAAGGACTACAGTCACTGCCTTTTAATTTGTGCCTGGATAAGCAACAAGCGGCCGCTCCGTCCCTAGCGTCCTCAATGTGAGGTACGTAGGATGCTAGCATCCGTCGCACGGTGTCGTTGCGGTTCTCGTGGTGCCAAGTTTCTCATGTTCGTCAACGCTGATCACTTCATTTGGCTCTCTCTCCTCGATCTCTAGATTTGAGGTTTTCTATTTGACTGTCTACCAAGCCAAAACTCCACCATAAGGTCATCGGAAAGTTGAGCATAACGCGCGATATGTTCCCGGAAATTCCGAGTGCCAAGACTTGCGATAAGTGGAGAAAGATATATTTAATCTAGATGAGCTGCCTTGTAGGGTTGGTACCTGGATATCCGTTCTGCTCTCGGCACACGACCCGAAAGGATGCAACGTCGATTCAGACTTGATAGCACGTGGCAGAAATATTCCCTGTGAGCGTCCATACTCTGTAGTATAATCAAACAAATCGGCAGTGTGGAACATGAGGTGATCCAGAAAGCGGGTCGTGGACACTCTAATGGATACGTCTTTGATTTCATATCGTGAAGATGTGGAGAGTTTAGGGCCGTCTCTAGCTACTGCTTATCTTTTTCTTTTCGTTCTAGGTATCACAAGCACTCAATAAGGAGTTTTCGGCAAGCAATGATTGGTACCCACGTGCAAAAGCCAAAAGGTCCAATAGTGATGGTCTTGGAGGCATGGCCAGGCATATGTGCATATAACCCCCGTGCCTCCACCGCCAAAAGCCTGGAGAATGTCAAGATACAGGTGTAAAGGTTTCTTCAGGCGACGTTCGATTGTACTATTTCGATTACTTGCTTTTCATGATACAGTCATGAAGTCAATCGTCCCCATTTTCTGTGTCATCGCCCCGAGTCTTCTCGGAACAGCGTCTGCGTCCACAAATAGCACATTAGATGCACTTGTCCTGGCTTCCACGGACAACATACAGGCAATTTTAACAGAGAGGTCCTCTTGGAATGTGTCGAAAACTTGTACAGCCGAGAATGTGGCCGTGCGAAAAGAATGGTTCGTCTTTCACTCCCAAGTCGATATACCTTTCTACAGTCGAGAGTCGAGTAGATTAACGAGACTTATCCATTTGCAGGTCAACCTTAACCTCCTTGGAGAAACTGGACTACATCGATGCCGTCAAATGCCTTATGAATACCAAGCCCATCACTCCTCTATCTGCAGCACCAGGGGTTCGTAGCCGCTTTGATGACTTTGGCGCTCTACACGTAAATAAGACATCCATAATCCACTGGACAAGCTACTTTTTTACGTGGCATCGGTATTATACCTGGCTTTATGAAAGCGCCCTCCGTGATGAATGTGGCTATAATGGGACACAGCCATACTGGGACTGGTCCAGTACCGACACTATTGCTAAGCACCCATTATTCGACGGGACTGCCACCTCCATATCCGGCAACGGCGCCCCGGCGAACCATACGTCCATCATCTACCTCCCTACTCCGGATATCATTAACTCAACGCTGCCATCGGGCTCGGGTGGTGGCTGCCTTACGTCAGGACCCTTTGCCAACTTTACCGTCACCCTTGGTCCTCACGGCGCCCCGCTTAACGACGGTCTGCAGCTCAATGAGCGCTGCCTTACGCGGGATTTTCGCGACTGGTACCTCCAAGAGTATCTGTCGTACGATAATGTTACAACAGCCATAGTCCAGCCTGACCTGCAGAGCTATAGCAACGTCATGGGGTCCACGTACGGCGGCTTACACGACGGCGGCCATCAGAGCATCGGAGGCCTACAGGACGACTTGTGGGCCAGCTCTCAGGATCCGTATTTCTTCTTTCACCACGCCCAGATTGATCGTATCTGGAGCCTCTGGCAGGGCCTCGGCCAGGATATCAGGACTAAGCAGGTCTCCGATACTATAACGATCAGAAATTGTGAGTTCCTGGTTGGATCATCAAAAGGAAAACGCGTGCTGATTTTATTTCGTGCAGTGCCTCCATCTGCCAATGGCACTTTAGAAACCGTTGTCGATATGGGCTTCTTGGCTGAGGCAAAGACGATTGGTGAATTGAGCTCTACCATTGACGGACCTTTCTGTTATGTATACGCTTAGACAAAGGAGAGTGTTGTTTCCATGGAAAAATGACGGATCAATTATACCTATAATACACTAGATACATATAAAAGAGAAATTCCGTCCGATTGGTAGACTGTCAAGCTGGCGGCTGAAACATGATCAACTGGAGAGTGTCAAATGGGAACTCTCTATGCCACCGCATTCGAGAAGCCAGCGGCGGCAGGGATTCCGTGCGGCTCTGGCGGCTGCGCTCGAGCGTTCCTCCTTCTCCAATCTAGTGAGTCTATGCATTACTCTTCATGACGTTGACCCACGCAATGAGAATGCCGAGTGTCAGAGCTTTGTCGGGGGTACGGCGGTCGATGACTTGGGCACCGCTGTCCAGAGGATATGTAACACTCCAGTCCTGACGACGTTGAGTTGTTCAACAGACGTTTCTGTCATGACCCACTCAAACATCAACGCCTCGGAGTTTAAACAAACAACAAAAGCGGTCTTACATTGTCTTTTCCAATCTGTCGCGGGGGTGGGGTGAGCTGCCATACGGGAGTTTAGGCTGCCAGCATGGGGTACATAGATAGGTATCTAGGTAGGTATCTAGGTCGCCGAACACTTGCTGTAATTTAGTGGCCTTCGTGTCAGAAGCTAGGGCAGACAAAAGTCATCGCTTTCCGATTCCGAACCTGCATGTTGAAATCACCTTGGACCTGTCAATTAACACGAAGACCGCTATACTTTTTGTTCCAAGCACGTGAAAACTAGCCGAAGCATGGAAAGTCAGAGAAAGAAGAGCGGTATAATCATATATTGTATAGCTAGTACGAGCCTTAACACCTAGGTATAATGCTAGCAGATTATGAGTGATTGGAGAGCGCGTTTAGTCAATGCGCTGTGTCGCAATTGGGGCACCAAGAATCTTCTTTCACGCAGTGCTCACTGGGACTCGGGGTGTTAGGTGCTAGGCACCACACTAGGTACTAGTACCTAATTTCCCCCGCAGCCACAGTAGCTTTCCGCCTTTCTTCATCACTTTTTGCTACACTTGCCACCCATAGATTGATGATCATCAGAGCCTGATAATCCACAGTCTCGTGGCCGTAGCTAATTGACAATCATCTTCCACCATAAACCTTCTTCTTCGTCGTTTCCCGTGAAGTACCGGTACTAAACCGCAAGGCCCGTCGACCATCAACGCGGTGTCGACGGGTAGCGGAATCAAGGCTACCTAGAGCGCTGTGACTGGTTACGATATCCAGCTGTATCAATCCAACGCCTACGACCTTGACGATTCCAATTCTTGCATCGGAGGGTCGGAGAATTGGGTCTTAGCGGAGACATTAGTGGCCTAACGCCGGGTCACCATTATTTTAGTGTCTGTGATCACTTGGACGTCTATGGGAGGAGGATTCCCCGGTGTTGGGCCTACAATCTTGATGTAACCAATCAGGGAAATGATTCGAAGATTACCTCTATTACACTTGATTGAAGAACGATAAGAAACTAAGCAATACGTATATTGCCCTTGATAATTGTATCTCCGAGCCGCACTTTGCGCGGGACGCCGCCGCCGATGCCGATGCCGACTATCAGCCCAAATCGGACGGCTGGAAAAGTTTGAGGTGCTCTTTATTACCCGAAATCGGGCGAGAAGGACAGCTTAATAGTGAACTGAATTAAATTAATTCAAAGTTCTCTATTTGCAATACTCCATCAGCTACTAACTTCATTGCTTCACCATCCATAAGCCCATGGATATACGAATCACCAATTAGACGATACAAAACCCGCGGGTTATCCTGACCATCAGTTTGGTGGACAGCTCGAAGAATGAACGGCGCTCTACCACCAGCAAGAACGCATAAACGATCGCCAACTTCAATACCAAGGGGCGCCAATCCCATGTACCCCGAGCGAGAAAGGAAAAACTTTCGCTTCACTATCGCATTGGATACGTGCTCGGTAAACTGTGCCACTTTCTTAACGAAAGCGCGATCTTGGCATCTGAATGTTCCCCCCCTGAGGAGTTCCATGTACCTAAGCAATAATGAGCGGTCAGTGTTGCTTATGTATTGAGTACCCAAATTAACCGTAATTCTTAAGCTATATCGTGGAGTATGGGACGGGAAGTTGAGACAAGTAAAAAATAGTCCTTTGAGAAATACATACCAGAATACGAGATGTGCACTTCGTTCTCCTGCACCAGCTCGCCTGATGACACTGGCTTCACTTTTTTCAGGCGCAGTACGAATGTGTATGTCCAGACATAGGGATCGCCAGAAAGCCTCAGAAACTGTGTCTCCCCCAATGTATGCCTTCCCTGGGTCTGTCTCTATCCCTGCCATTTCGCGCCAATGCCGGACGGCATCTACTATGGATGAATGAGGTGTATTAATGAACGAATCGCTGATTGATTCAATAGTGTCGCAATATACTCCAGCGAGGTGCAGTTTACCAGCTGGGTCACAGTTCGTGGACTTATAAAGCAATGTGCCACAAGCATTATAGTGATCTAAGAAAGAAGCCCTATATCTGCATGGGTTGATATCGTATACGCTTCCTATTGTCCAGTCTGGCACCCAAGATGGCATCTCTGCTACTGGGTAAGCTTCGTTGGTGTGACTCAATATGTGACTGAGTATGTCTAGATTGCTATCGTTGTGAATAATGTCTCGTGTGGCTAGTTCATATGCCCTAGCCACTGTCAAGCTATAGTCGATGGATGATTCTTTGATGCCATGAGAAATCCCAAGGAGGCCGTAGACCTTATCAAGGGGATTCGTCGACTCCCTGTGTCGAAACAACCAAGCGGCCTTGGTGAAACTTGCATGACCATTTCTCAACTCGGACTGATGCAGTTGCAAGGTGGCGTCTGCCGCGATTGTCATATCAGGGACTACGGCTAACGGACTACTCGGTGTAATCAAGTCCTGACAGCACCGGTTCGTGATAACGTGCTCTCGGAAACTTGCAGCCATCTCACTGAAAACATGGCCGGATAAACGTGTCGTTCCACGACAGTATGTCAGTTGATTTGCCAGGACGGCCTCTTGGACTGTCCATAGTCGGTTCCACCAAGGATGGTTCATGAACCTCGCAAACAGCACGTAAAGTTGATTATCGATATCTGGAATATCAATCCAGTGCCGTCGTCGATTTCTGCTCAAACTTTCAATCAACTTGATGATGGATTTGTCTTCACTTTCAAGCGGGCCAAGCCAGACGACAACCTGGGACGCACTCGAATATACGCGTTGCATCAGCTGCACCTGAGAACATCGCTCATTTAAGTCTTCTTGGTTGATACAGACCGCATCAACCCACAATATGAGTTCACTCCTATCATTTCTCAGATGGCGAAGGGCCGATTCCAAGTTTTTTGTGACGGCTTTGACCTGCCCATCAATAATGATGCTTTGACAATCGTTTTCGCTTCCCCATACGTACGAGAGTGCAAATGAAGCATCTGAAGGTTGTCTTGGAAGTTCGAGAGCGAGCGGCAGACTACTTGCATAGCGGAGCCTAGATATTATGAGGTCTATCATTCTGACATGACGTAGTAGTACCCACCGCAGATCACCTGCTCTGATATATCAGATAGCTCTTCAGCGCTTTTCTTTTTGTAGCTCTATAGGGCAACTTAATCTCCTTTCGTTACGTTTACGATTACTATAATTCCCTTCCTATTGGCTTAGCTGAGACAAGCCAATGATGAATGCACATTCAAAGACCTGATTCCAAGAGCTCACACCTTAGAGCATCCTATGGGCCCTGCTGGACGTCGGCCCAGTTCGCTCACGAATCAACCAGATAGTAGTATTGCCCAGAATGGCTGTAGATCCCGCGCAGTTGGGAAGTAATACCTGGTTTCACTCTGAAACTGGTTGTCATTCACAGAAATGATAGTTTGAAATCCAAAACGACAGCTACCTACCATCCTTGTCGTACAATATTGGTTTCTCACCTGAGCCAATATGAATGAGAACAAGTGATCTTAAATGCCACGAAAGAAGATCGAGTTGATTCAATAGATTTACAAAAGAGAGTGCTGAAGGACTACCTAGTATACCCGAGCAGGTGATCTGCGGTGGGTACTACTACGTTACTGTCATATAAACCCTAAGTTATTCCGGAATAAATAATCTAGTTAGCCTACATGATATCACAACCAATAGCCTCCGAAACCCAGCATTCTCGTCTCATTCTGCTGTTTCTTCATCATCGGGATCCAGGTCAACAAGGACCTCATTCTTCGAATAAGCACCCGATATATGGTCTACTACACTAACAAATTCAGTGGTTTGGTACATATGAAAAGACAGTCCAGCGACCTGCTGAAAAGTGTCTGAGAGCTCACGTATGCTCCCTCATGTTAGCAAATTTTACGTTTCTCAAGTTGTTTAAGGCAAAGCGGACGGGATGCCGAGTTTTCTAAAACTTATGGTCGTACATGCTTAATATAATGAATAATAAATTATATATACCTGGGTAGGCACCGAGACGTTGGTATAAATCACGAGCAATCAGTATTCTGCTGTCATCAGGCGCAATACGAAGGAGTTTCTTGGAGACCGGATGCTATTGATGTCATTCAATCATGATGAAGCTTTTATCCATTCAAATATACTCTATTGAGCAATCTAGCGCAGGTCCTTGCAAGGTTGCCGTTCAACAGCATTACTTTCTAGACAAGATCCGTGGCCGAGATCTCCTTTCTCACCACAATGGCATCGAGATCGTCCAGTCTCGAGAACTTGCCCTCGGACGTGATGCTCACCATGGTGTAGTGACCTGGCAGGTCTGGCCGGTATGCCCTCGGTATGCTATTGTTCCTCTCCTTGTGATACTCGAGACTGCCGCTCTTGGCCGAGGCGTCCATGGGATGCGAAGAGGCCTGTCCGGTCCGGATCTTGCGGAACAGCGGTTTCAAGGTGGCGAGGCACGAGGCCGAGAGTCCGGCGCCAATCTCCACGGTGCTCCAGATGCCGAGATCGGTGAACTCGTACAGGTAGTCTGGGCTGATGAGGAAGGCTGGAGCGTATGGAATTCGTACAATGGAGGCGATGGATGCTCTGAGGAAAGTACGTCAGTCAGAAGTGCAAAATCGAGCTGCAGAATTATATAGTACTAACATTGATCCGATAGCCAAGACGACATAGGTCGTGATCTTGAGTTTTCTCTCCATCTTCAGATTCCACAGGACCGTCGCTGGCACAATGGCCAAGATCCAGTCCACGAGGACGTTGAGGAATGCCGCGATATACGTCGGTATGGTCCCCAGCAGCTTGTTATTGCAGTGTGTCTTGTCTGTCGGTTCGACGCCGTAGCGCAGCCATTCGTGCTCAATCGGATGGCACGAGTTGATATTGAGGATAGCATAGAAGAGGCTGTAGACACCAATAACACCCATGATGATCCACAATGTCTATTTTCGTTGCGTAAGAAACACTGACAATCTAGACAAGAGGGCATGAATGGGGATAAACTTACAATATTATGCCACCGCTGCCTTGTACACACGCGGGTCAGGAAAATGCCGACAACCAATTTTGTCATTCCCGACACCAGGATATAGAACGTAATGGCGATCCAGCGCCACATGATGGCCATTGGCCTTTGCTCGAGCGGCACATCGACGACATGGGAACAGAGGCCGTACGAAATAGAAACCAAGGCGCAAGTGGTGAAGGCAATGTAGAACAACTGATGAAAGGATTCCCGAGTCAGCGCATCTGCTTCGATAACACGAACAAGATTCACACGCAAGTCTCCCGACATCAAGATTTACTAAAGAAAGAAAGATAAATCTTACATATGTCGCCACTGCCAGCCAATCCTCGACTGCAAACTTGCGCACAATAAACGCCCTAGTATATACGCGCGCCGCGATACTGATGGTGCAGGCAACTAAAAAGGCGATCAAGACGCCCTGGAACTGCGGCGCTCGCGTATCTCCCATGGTGGCGATGACGACGATGATTTTCTTGTGCTTTCTTTTTCTCTTCCAGCAAGCAGAGATCCTTGATTATTGAAGTTCGAAGATCTTCGCCGAGACTAGATATTCTCGTTCATGGCACACACGTATACACACACACACACACACAATATGAATGTGGCGAGGAGGAGTTGAATTACGACAGTAAAAAAGAGAAAACGATACACATATGGCGCGAAACCGAATCGTCTCATGATTTCGGACATTTTTTTGGTATTTAATATCGAACGTCTATCTGTATACAGACAAGACCCTCGTCCGGAATGGGGTGGGTGGGTTGGACTTCCCAGACAAGACTTATGCACTCTCCGCGGGGGGTGGACGCAACTCGGGCGCGCGGGTTTAATGCAAGACTCTAGAGCACGGAAGGTCAGAGAGCTAAGGTCATGGGGGGGTGGGTATCGACCGTAGCATCTCTTGGTTCGCGGCGGAGAACTCGAAAGCCAAGCGAGCCCAGTCATGGAATGATATGAAGAGAAATATGTCTGGCGTTTTTCGGTGGTGGTTGTCCCCATTGGAGGTGTAGGTGTGTCGTTTTTGCTGTGTACATAGTGTATTGGTAATGACTCTTGCTCCCGCCCAGAATGAGGTCGGACGGCCGGCGCTTGGGCTATCGGGGCTGGGCCTTTCGACAGGGTGCTTGGGCCGACGACTATACAATTGCGGCAAGTCGGCCGATGCGAGATTGGGTTAAAATTATGGAAACTTGGAGCTGGACTTGGTCGGCCAGCCTCTATCTACCCACACATATTCATCTTAAAGACTGCTGTGTGCAAGTCCACCACCTCTTCTTTTGCTCTCTTGTCCTTTGAACATCAGATGAGACTTCTCCGATATCCGTTCCCACCCCCCGCAAAAAATTGCTTCCCGTCGGACCCCTTGTTAGTATTGCCCAGGTTCTCTCACCCTTGTGCACATCTTTTTACCCCCCACCCAGCATTGTATGCAAGGCATAGATATTTATCTGTCTCGGATAACGCGAGTGTCCACAAAATAATGCTCGTCGCCAGATCTTGAGGTGCCACGGTTCAAAATATGTACAGACTGACCGTGCGCGTCGAACAAACGATGTCATAGCAATGACGAAGGCGGTTATTGCAAAGACAATCTTTTTGACGATCAACTACTCGGCAATCTGTCTTTTAATTCAAGTAGTAGACAGATTCTGAGGCAGACAAGACATGTGCGGAGTTTTGACCGCATCGGCGGAATACTACAGAAAAACACACATCAACGGGCCATAGGTATTAGATGGTATGCCTGCCTGGTAACCTGGAAACTCTTCAGCGCATATATTCGTCACCCGTCTCGTAATCAAATGCATCTTCAACCGGAACTAGCACTTCGACTATTGGCTGAAACCCCTGGCAAGTGTAGATTACTTCGCCTAGGTAGCCGAGGCCAGCTCGACGGTTTCAGTGTTCAAGCCACATGTTGCGTGTGTTATTTGCTAAAAGAAAATGCGCGTGGGAGATATATTTCAATGTATTGGTTCTTGACAAAGTCCAAACTCCGCTCTTCAACGGGCTTCAGTATAACCGTTGGAGGACCGTGCCACATTGACAGAGGGCTGGAGAGGAGAAAGCGTCAAGTCATGATTGATTTCATGACGCGGTCCGTTCGAGGGCAGCAGGGGTGTCTCCCTGGTTTCTCTCGGCCAGCGAACCGATAAAAACCGGGGGTGCTTGCTTATATTGCAGACGAGAAGTCTACAGCTTCGACTTCATGTGCAGCAGACTTGATTCTCGTTTGTGCTCGCTTGTTTTTCAGCCCGTCTCAAGATATCAATGTGCATATCTAGGATAGGTAAGATACGGCTCCCCCGAGACGGACGCTCTCAGAGCTTTCAAAGCATTCTCCGCATTCGCTCTACCGGCATGCGCAACCACCACCACGGCCTTCAAAGCATTACCCCTCGCATGATAGAGGCCGAGGCGTGAAACCACATGCTCACTCTGGCTTGGTGCCTTAGTTGGGGACACCAATGTAACCCTTCTAGAAGACGATACCGTCGAATCCCCGGCCCAAGCTCCGGGTCGTGGTCTCTGTTACACCACGGACGGACCGTCGAGCTCCAGCACCTGGAAATCGACAATCCCTCTCTCTGATCGACGTGGGATTGTGCCAAACTTAGCAAACTAAGAAGGCCTACCTCCTACCTAGGCAGGTAATGTTGCAAGCCGTCTATCGATCCCACGATCAAATGACAGGCTGGAAACGGCAATGCTTGGTATCTTCGGGAGCCTGCCGAACGTGGTATTCATGGATTTTAGATTGCTGATCAGTTTTTCTTTTTTCATTCTTTCAAGTCGTCGACTATTTCTTTATCAAGACTTTCAAGTCTTACCTTTGCACACAGTTGCCATTACAAATGCTCGAGTACTTCGTACTGCAGCATCAGAACTGTTTACTACACAGCACCTAGCATGCATACAGGTCATGGCGATCGCGTTCGAGGACGTTATCTCCATCCTGTGGGAAGAAGTCTTGTCGCGCTACAGCTTGCTGTCATGATTCACTTACCAAAGTTGGCAGAGGGAAAAGGTTGAGACATGATATGCGAGGCATCTGTGCAGACGGCACTTTCATGTCACTATCCTGGATAAGAATGGTCGCATGCTGTGCAACAACCCTCTACCTAAACTTGGGGTAAGGTGCTGCTAATATAAACCTTGAAGCCAGACTGGAGGAGCTCCAATGCCAAGATTCGCGAGACGCTGAAGGAGATGCCCCGAAGAATGGAAGTCATGGGCGGTGAGTTTTGGCAGATGAAAAGCGCCGCAAATTGCCATATGATACATGTTTCAAGCATCAGCCTCTGAAGCGTGACAAGCAACTCGGCGCCGCACGGAATCAAGTACATGTAAAGGCTTCACTATCAGACGAAGCATTTGGGGAAACATTTGGTAATAAACAATGCATTATTGTCCTCATTGGAGGTAATATAACTCGATCCTATCCACTGTGATCAAGGTGAATACACCCAGAAAGTCGTTAAGCGCAACATTGTGCGCAAGTCAACGCCGTTTCATTGATATCCCAAACCCTTTTCTGTCTCGAGTTGAACTTCAAATGCTCCAGCGCCAATCGCTAGCCTCAAGTACTACTATTGAGTCCTCCTGGAAACATGCTGCCAAAAATTCCATGCGCCCGTCCGCCTGACAGGACTCTACGCCTTGTGCTCATCGCCTCATTACTGCTAGGTGATCCACCTTCTAGCGACTAACTAGGCGTGCCCTCCCGGCTGGGTCTGCTCTCCTTCTTAGATAAGAAGCTTCGACGCATTCCGCTCGTGCTCTTCGGGCTGTCGGCTGTCAGGGACGACGCAGCCTCGGCGAAGGAACTCTTGATTACAACCGTTCCAGAGCCAACACTGATCTCCTTCTCAGCAGAGCCTTGGTCGCTCACAAAGAAGAGGGCTTCACCAAAATCGTCGTCGCTTCCAAATGTATGATGTCCCTTAACTTCCACGCGGAATTGCGTGTCGGCAGTACAAGCATGCTTGAACGTTTCGTTGAATTCAATCTGTCCAGATGGCGACTCGTGGTGCTTCGTCTTTCCAACAGTCCTCTCCCTGGGAGTTAGTTGGCGGATAAGGACGAACACATCAGCTGATGGTGGAAACCCTGATGCTGATATGATTTGGAACGTGGCAGTACCAGCTCCAGCACCACCCGGCGCCAGACTGGCCACGGACATACCACCAGCACTGACAACTCGGTGGTGGCCTGGACCCTCTGAGGAACTTGGGGGTGTGCGTGGTGGTGCGCCGCCGTCAAAGCCCAGCCCGCTGGTCCTCCTTAGACCAATGCCAGGCCCTAAAGCTGGAGAACCGCCACCATTCTCGACGATGGTTGGAATATCGGAGCTGGTGGGAGTCAGGGCTGAACCGTTCTCATCATCCTTCTTGCGACCGGTGAAACCTCGCTTGATGAAGCTGGCACCCTTGCCAACTCCATGGCCGACTACGCCGGCAACTGCAGCGCCACCCTTGATGGGGGCACCGGCGACACCAGTCACTATTCTTCCTGGGCCACCAAACGTGCCAGAAAAGGTACCGGTACCCAGACGAGAGCGCGTCACATAATCAGGGCGGAATAGCAGCCTCAGCCTGATGGATCCCGATTTGCCGTCCAGAAGCAGCTTAACTTCCTTTGCCTTGAACGGGTCCAAGTGCTCAAGATTGATGCTAGCTCCACCCAAGAAGTCGGGCTTATCCGCAAAGTCGTAGTCGTAGACCTTGACATTGAATTTGGCCGCCGTTCGCGACGGTACCGGCATCTCAAAGTACTCGTTCCAGGTAGGATTAAGTGTCTTCTTGACGGTTTTGGTCTTGAACACATCTTGTCCATTGAACTCAAACTTGGCATACGGATCACTCTTGCCGTTCGAGTCTGCAGCAGGCAGGTCTGTTGCGTCAAGAACGTCCACACGTAGGTTGCCCATGTTGTTGATACTCTCGCTGGGGTCGAGATGCATCTTTACTGGGATGTACTTCAAGCTAACCTTGATGAAAGTCTCTCGGTTCTCTTCATCCTTCAGTTTAAGAATAGTGGGGTTGTTCTGTAAAGGGTCAGCAATGATGTGGTCCAAGTCGAGAATACTGTACTTACCAGGCACTGCTTGAGGGTATCAAGTGTGTTGCCAGCGAGGCGTGCAATAGTGTGGTCCTCATCTCTCTCCTCGCCTGGCTTTTCGCGCTTCTCTCGGACCTTGAGAGTAAGGCGCGAAAACTCGAGTTCACGGATGAAGCAATCGCCAATCTCGTCAAATTTGAAACTCTTTGACTTGGCTGTTCCGGAAACATAAGACGGGTGGACCATGTCATCAACATAAACCTCCAAGTGTGTACCATGCTTTGGCATCTGGCCTTCCATGAGCTTGAAAATGAGGAAACCCGACTCGTGCTTCAGAAGTTCTTCTGGGTTCAAGTGAACCTTGGGCACTTGTAGCGGTTGATCGCGCGACTTGCGTCCAGCAGTGGAAGGCGTAGTTGGAGACTTGGGCATTGTGGGCGTGACTGGAGTTGCGGGTTCCAATTGAGATGTGTTCGTAGTAGTGCGCTCCAAAGGTGTGATCTTGCCAGCTTCTGCAGATCGAGGGATATCGAGTGACTGCTTTACGACAGGCGCTGCAGCGGCTTCTTCCTCTTCCTCCTCTTCGTCCTCTGGATCAGCAACATTGAGGCAGGGATAGAATGCAGTAGTGTAGCACAGGACACCCTTGGGAACACCCTTTCCATGAATTCTTAGGCCATCTTCGTGCAATGTCTTCTTATCGTGGACCATGTACTCGCCGCTCTCGTCCTGAACGACGTAATCGCTGGCCGAGAGTTCAATGAGACCAAGGCTGCGGTCTTTGCCCATCTTCTCGGCATCCATGACGTCCAAAGTGAGTCTGTCACGGGGCGAGTGGATGGGAACGTAGATGATCTCATCCCACTCTGGGCTGAGAGTATTGCGGTGCACAACGGTTCGTCCCTTCTCAATTCCAGATACAACCACACGAACGTAAGGGTCCGACTTGCCCATAGTCTCGAAATTACGAAGTTCGCGAGCTTTCTTAAAGTGCAGTCGCATGACACCGATCGGGGTCTGATAACCGCCACTTCCAGCCAAGACACCAGACAATGCCACGGGTTTCCACTGTGCAGTGACCTTGACACGACCGCTCTTGGCACCTGAAAGGAGGAACCAATCTTTACCTTGAGCAGACATTTCCAAGAGGTCGTCCAGTTTGATGTTGTGAGCTCCAATCAGTTGATCTCCAGCCAGTTCACGGTCATCCTTGATGGCCAGGCCAAGCTCGGCCTTCTTGCGATCGGTGATGAGCATCTCCTTGGAGCCGTTGTCCCAAATGGGGTTGTTGGTGCGCTTAAGTTTCTTGGTGGTATGGATAACCTTTCTGTTGAGCAGGAGCTCGGCATAGGGGTTGAGCAAGCCAACCAAACTCTTTGTGCCGTCGAGGTCTTTGGCCTGCTCGACGGTGTAGCGCAGAATACCAGTGTTAGACTCGGGAGGTGGCTCCAGTGAGCCATCCTCAAGTTTCTTCGGCTCGAGAACTGGGAAAAAGCGAATATCAGCGGAAACGATACCGCGAGCCTTGCCGTTTCCAATAACTTCGAGACGTTGGTTCTCATGGACTGGCAACTCTTCAATATGCTCCAGCTTGAATGATGCCACACCAAGTTCCTTGTCTTTCCGAATTTCATTGTAATCGTAAACCATCAGGTCCAAAGAGTCATTGAAAGATGTGATGATAACATAGTGAACCTCATTCCACTTTGGATTCGGCGTATCCTTGATGGTCTTGGTCCGCGCAATCTCAGAGCGCCTGTTCAGGGTCAGAGAAACATAAGGATCAGGATTGCCGGAAAAGTTATCAGGGTTCTTTAGGCCTTGGGCACCGTGGAGGGTGACAGCAACGACACCGATAGCTTGGTCGACTGGTGTTCCAGCCAACATCTTGGCGACCTCGATGGGGAACACATTGGGGTGGTACATCATAGGAGCAAGATTGCCGTGGATCTGCTCTAGAATGAAGCCTTCCAATCCAGGGATGAAGTTGATGTCAAAGCCAAATGTGTCACCACCCAGCGGCTTGCAGACGTAGTCGATAACTGGGCGTTCTGTGAAACACATCTCAACCTTTTCAATGTGAGGAAAGGGGATTTGCAGCTTCATTTTGAGACGCATGATGCCTGAGAAGGACATGTCTTCGACAATAACGTCCAGACCCTTGCTGATCATAGCTTTGCCCACACGGATTTCCAGCACCACCTTGGGATTGACCTTGTTCTTGACCTGGCGGGCAGTCATGTCGGCCGTATCGTTGGGCGTGAAGCTGAACCTCCAGTCCATGAGGACCGTGTCGTCCTCTTCCTTGGGGTAAGTCTTGACGTGCTCCATCCGTGGAGGCTTTGAGCCTAGCGTGAACGTCTTGAGTTTCAGGCTGTCGAGGAACGAAGGCGTTGCGGAGCTTAGGACCTGATCAACAGCGTTGATGATGGTCTCTGCAAGCACAGGTTGGTAGATTGGCCAGAATTTGAGCATGAAAGCATTGATCCACTCGAGTGATTCCGTGTCGCTGTCCAGTCTCTTGAGGCCCATTTCGCGCGTGATGTCATCGCGGAAGTTACGACGAACACGTCGCAGCGAGGTACGGTAGTAGGTCGAACAGATGGCCATGACGATGAAAACCCAAGCCAGTCCACCGCCTAGCACGGCAACTAGCCAGGAGGCGAGACAGGCGAAGATGATGACTCCGGCATTGTGGTACCAATCTCCATAGAACTTGTCGGGAATTTTTCCCTCTACCCATGTCTGGTGATCCAGGAGACTTTCACCCTCGAGAACGCTCTCGTGCGGCCACCCAAATTGTGATGTCCACCCGACTTTGGCGGCCAATGCTTCTTTATCTTCCTGGTTTTCTGCTGAGTGTCCTCCCTCTTCAGAATCGACATCGACCGCGGTAGCCTTGGAGGCTGCTGGGAGGTAATCGGCTTTGACACCACCGTCATCGGCATCGGTCGCTACTGCTACGGCTTGGTGTTTTCGGTGAAGATTCAAATCATCGGGGCGATTCTAGATTCGTGACCAGTCAGTAATTGAAGGTGGCAGATTTTTCAGGGGTGTCTGTCGAGGTCGGCTTACAGCTCTGATCTGCCGCCTCTTTTCCTCGGGACTGGCGTCCGGGTCAAAGGAGTAGGCAGTCACGCCGGCATTTCTGCTCTCCTCCACCATCTTCTTCTGGGCATCCTCGCTGGTGACTGAGGAATCAGGGTTGCCTGCAGCCTCAATGGCGCCCTGCTGCTTGAGCTCGAGGGCAGACTGTTCAGTTGCCATTTTTGCTTGTTAATGCTGCAGAAGCAGCTCGATTCGCAGTCAGGCCAGTGGTAGAGAGTAACGGTCCTTTGGAGAGTAGCTAGTAGTGATCGATGGAGATACTGTGCACGTTGTGGACAGCTCCTAATACAGCTTGCGTAATTCGGAGAGGTCGCAAAGTAGGATATACGGTCCGGGTCCGAGGTTGGCGTTGTAAGGTGTTCGCAAATGATACGTATGTGGTTTGTTGGCCCGTTTTGGTTGCTAGCTCGGAGCTGGTATGAGCTTGTCGACGTGAATCACAGCCCACACATGAGTCGCAATGACGGAACTGACAACTGAGCAATTGGGATCCCGGTCCTACGGTGGAAAGGACAGGTTTGATCGCCAATGGGTCTCGACGAGGGAGGGACGGGGCGTAGTCGACGCGCTTGACATACAACAAAACACACACACAGAGGGGGAGGAGAGAGGGAGCGAAGGGGGGCGGAAAAAATGAGGTTAGGATGGAAAGGTTAAAAGAGATGGGAAAGAGAGGCTGGTCATGATACTAGTAGTATTGGGACGACACCTCAAGTAGATTACTACCACATCAATTACCGTACCCGTACCCAGGCACAGCAGCAGAATTGGAACAGGCGCAGCGCCAAGGATGGATATGGATGGAAAGGTTGAGTGGTCGGCCGATCTGGCTACCTTGGTCCTTACCTAGGTACGTATGTTGGCACTAGACTGCCAGGCGGTACAGGAAGCAATTCGATAGTGTAGAAAAAGACGATAATGAGCTCATAGGCCGGGGGACCGAAGGAGGACGCCAATGCAGACGCTGCAGCAGAATCACCTTCTATGGGGGGTCACTAATGTAGAGGGCAGACAGCTGATGCAACACCAAAATCCAGGAAATTTGGCCATCATAGCTGGGCAGCTCTCACAAACTGTGCCGTTCCAACTGGCTGGCGAGGCAGCTTGGGATACCTGGCGAGCCAATCATTCGGCTTAGCTGTCCATTTTACCAGGGAAAGCTCAGCGCCCCCAAAGGACACCTCCAGCTTATCCCAGCCTGTGGAGCCAAACTACGTAATGCTACTCTGATGGAAGCTCCAAAGAAGCGGGCACCCGAGATGAGGAGCCGAATCAAACTCTCAAAATCCAATTTGCGACAAGTTACAACTTGAACACACTTCTTGAACTCTGTGCTCCCTCTACAAACTACTACTTGCTACACAGCCACCCAGCACTGAGCAGCGCACTAAAACGGTACCTGGCTAAAATACATACTAACATTCCCCCTCCCTCCCCTCCCAAACTCCTGTCCCAGCCACCACCAAGGATTTCGAACATTGGCACTGAACATTGTGGCACTGGGGTTTGCCTAGCTTTTTCTCGTCGCCCTTCGAAGTTCGTGGGGCATCTCCAGGCTGGAGCCTTTCATGTTTCAATGTCCTTTTATGGTTGTAATGTACCTGTTTCATGCCGAGCCACAATTGATCTTAAAACCCAGGCGGTCCAATTTCCACAGCAGTAGGGATATATCATACTACTAGATTCCACAGTTCATAATTGAACAACACCTGATATGCAACCCGATGCGGTCGACGTGCAATCATTATGTATCAATGCCGTGCATAGATAAAAATCCTACTTGTGTCAAGTCGTGCAAGTGTGACTTCAGCCACTTTTCCGCACCCGATTTGTCTGACTCGATAGCGTCGGCAATCGCTAACCCAGTTGTTGACCAACTACTGTAGGTCCCTGGCTAGCGGACCAGCCACGCTATATATGCTGGTTCGCCCATCATACTATTGAACAATGAATATCGTGAACCACATGTTTTGCCAATCGTATTTTTAAGAAACGACCAGAGCATAACTCAATGCATGAAGCAATACATGCCATTGCAGGTACCGAATTTGCTGAGATGGCCCTGCATTCCATAAGATTGCAAATCTATCGAGCTTATATATAACCAGGGTCGTCATACTGCTGGGTATTCTATACTGCTACAATATGAAATGACGAGAATTTGCAGGTGGCCGTCTTGCCTAAATAGTCGGCAATATTGGGTCCCCAGTGGATCGGCACCCAATGATCTATGCGATCTGTCCCAGAGATCTCATTTGCTTTGTCGATCCTTTCTCTCGCGGCTCTTGCCGATACTGCCGGTAGCAAACCCTAGGTAGCTTTTGGTTACCAATAAATCCCCTATCTTGGCCCAGCAGACCGGCTGCGCCCCTCCTGAACCAGTCAGGCCATAGAGCGATTCAAAGGCCAACACTTTCTTGTTTTTTTTTTTTTTTTTTTTTTTTTTTTACCTACGTATAGAGGTCATAGCATTCATCCTATTGGGCATGGAAGAAAAACCCAATTCATACCCCAGAAAAAAAATTGACAATGCAGACTTTAGAGAAAATTGATGGCTGTGGTGGGGTTGGCAGAAAGGTATGTACAGATAGTGAGTGTACTACTACGGAAGTATGTAACGCAGCATTGCAACACAACGGCCGTTTTCTTAGCTTCGGCTGTCGTTAGGTTGTTGGTTCCCTCCAAATGGCTACGGCCAGGCCGAGAGATGCGCCGGCGTCCTATCACCGAGACTCGGAGCAACTGGTATTGAGATACACAAATCAAGACTGCTGGAGGGACTGATGAGGAGTGCGCCGCGATGAAAAGCTCGCATGCTTTTGCTTCATTTGTATCAAGTGAGTACAAGAAAATAGCCGAGGCCAAGCAACATGGCTAGGAGAAAAGTTCTATCCCCGACATGCATCCCCATAGCTTGCTGTTCTACACCTATACCTTCCAAATATTCATGAGTTGCTACACTGTCTGCGAGATAGTATATATTCCGTCATTTATCAAGTGCGTATGCTATATTCATCTTTCCGCGCCGCGCGGATAAGCAAACGAGGCGATCGTCGCCCAGCATAACCCACATGTGGATCTGCAGCCTAGAATTGGAAGTTTTTTTTCCTTCTCGTCTCTCAGCCGCAACCCCGTAATGACAATCGCACTGCTACGTGCCTGTCCGAAATATGTCTCTCAGTATAAACAGGAGTGGATTCGATTACATCTCTACTGGGTCGCACTTAGGGTTTGGGCGGTCGCGAGAAATTATCATCTGTGAACAAGCAGTCACAGCTATTAAACTTTCTCACTACCACCATCAGCTTATGGCATGGCAATAAGATATGCTGGAAGTTTTCTCCACTCGTCAAACCACAACTCCTCCTGTCATCTGGTTTGACGATATAGTGCATTTCTCTAGAAGATACTCATTGAATGTATTGCCTTAAGTAGATCATGGATCATGATTGGTTGACGGATAATGGCCACCATCATATCGGGCTCGGTGGTAGGCTACCAAAGAAGTGTAAAGAAGGAAACCGTCTTGCGTGCACTTGCGGTTATAAAAGGATTCATGGTTCTTGAAAACTTCCTAATGATCTTCTGGAAGTTTCATCGAGATGCTTCATCGATGAAAAGACCTTTGTAATCCACTCGGTCAAAGAGTGTTTACTACTGAGACTTCTGGAAACAATTTGGTTTTCTTCCCATTGTCAAACCAGTTGTACCTTGTTCACTATGAGACATGTAGATTGACATAGAAATGTATGTATTAGGCCAAAGAGATTCGTGTCATTATAATAAGGTGATCGCATTATCGTTCTAGAGCTCACATTCCCGATCAACATCACACCATCAACAGCGACACTACATTCTCAGAGAAAACATCGACATCCATTAGCTCATATAATTCTTGTGATCAACTCAGCGCTTACAAGTATCCGAATCATCAATATGGTGGCAAAAGCAACCAGATACGCCGCAGCAGGCCCCTCGAGTATTAAGCACAAGGCGCTCAACACCGCCGTCAAGTATGCACCGTTTGGCGATCATGACGACGTGGCCAATACGCTCCGCAAGGGCTGCTGGCGAGCTCGCGACGTCCTCAACTTTACCGTGCAGGCATTCTACAAGCGCAACGAAGATGACCGTCTCTCAGATACGCAGGAAGCAGCTCGCACCCAGTTTATCAAGGATTATCGCACCCAGTGGGTCCAGTTTGACGGACGTGAGCTTCGTGACGACCCCGTGGAGCCCACGTACAATGATATTCTCGACTTATACAGACAACATCTTGACAAGTATTACTTCTTTAGCACATTGTCTGACTACCGACTGGCTGTCCATGCCTGCAACACCAACAGTGGTGATGACTGTTTACCAATCGAGAGCTGGCAGGAACGCAGGTTGATCATCCCAACCAGTAACCGCAAAACCGTCTTTGATCTTCACGAGGTTCTGGCCGTCCTCTTGCACGAGATGACGCACCTCTACCTCCAGCTCACCGTTTGCAAGTGCAGCGACTGCAACGAAGGCATGCTCCTCGGCGTGGGCGCGGCGGACGATCAGCATGGTCCCATTTTCCAAATGCTGCACCGTCTCATCCTGAGCGACCTCCGCAGCTGGCATGATCAGCTGGCCAAATTCGACGATGACGACTGCCCCGAGAAGTCTGTCAGTCAGTATTCCCTGGAATGTCACGACGCGGCGTGCGAAGGTTCTACCAAGAGCTGGAAGTACAGATACAATAACAAGGCTCACAAAAAACACTGGATTTCATTGGTGGAGGAGAGCGACGTCGTGTCTGTCAGAGTCCGCAAGGTGCTTCGGGATTCTCACAAAGCGCTCGAGGCTAAACTACTCAAAGCGGATGAAAAGAAGGACAAGAGCGCCAAAAGAGAAGACTCTGCTCAGGGTTCGAACAAGTACAAGGATTCAGATGTAGAGTCTGACGTGGCTTCTGATGATTACCGCTACGGCGGTGACTCCAGTACGTCTGGTAACAAGGGCAAAGGTAAGGCCAAGCCAGAGTCTAGCAAGACAACGAAGGGAAGGAAGAAGCGGGTCGTATGGAAAAAGCAGCTGGAAGAGTATGAAGAGGACACTTCGGCTAGTAGCAATGATGAAGGGGAAGGGTCTGCTGATGATGACGACAAGGGCGGGTCATCAAAGTCAAGCAGCAACACCAACTAACATGGCTATGGTACTATGGGGAGACGAGTGAACCGCCAACTGCTTGGTTGGTTTGCTATATGAAGCATGGATATTCTTTGGGCATCAGCTAAACATTCATTTGAGCACATCAACATATTCAATGCGAAATATCGCATGCCATCAAAGTCCTTGCTTCATGCATTTCAGACAAGGTCACGTCGGCTGAGTAGTCAAAAGATTTTTTAGATAGCAATAGAATTTTCTCTAGTAAGATCCCAATCTTCCGATCAGTCCTTGGTGGCGCTGACTCAAATATGTAAAAATTAACACAACCTATTCGCAAACCCTAGCATTTATATACAGTCTCGATTTATCACCTTGTCCAAACGAAGTTATGAATCTTCGGGGGTAATGAGGACCAAGGTAACCAAGATATCTACTCAACATTGCTCTGCACCAGCTTTATTGACCAATTGTAACACCATTCGACAGCTTCAGGCCGACGGGGAGACCAGTGATGAACTTTGGGTTAACCTGCGCACCGTCGCGCTTGGCAATCTTCTCCTCAACGTCGCGGTACATGTCGTAGCCGTTCATCTCCTCGATAGTGAGCTTGGCGCTCTCGTCCTCGACATTGTAACCCTCGACGTCGGTGTTGCTGGAGAAACCGATACGCTCGTTGATGTTGTAGGCGGCCTTGGCAGCGGCAGCCTGGACCTTGGAGGCGCGCGGCAGGCGCACGTCCGAGTAGACCTGCAGAGCTGCCTCGACGTCGCCGTTGAAGTACTTCTTGCTGAAGACGATACCCAAGGCAGCAGCATCCTCAATGGCCATGCAGGCGCCCTGGCTCTGGTGAGGCATCATGGGGTGGGCGGCGTCACCAAGGATGGCGACGCGCTTCTTGTTCATGAAAGGGTAGGGGTCGTGGACCCAGAGACGCCAGGGCTGCACCTCAATACCGATGGCAAGGTGGTCACGGACGCGCTTGTCGAGCTCGGGGTAGGGGGCGAGCAGGTCCTCGACCGGCAGGTCCTCGGCACCCCAGGCCTGCGATGTGTAGTCACCCTTCTCACGGGGGAAGAAGCAGTAGTACGACAGCAGCTTGCCGCCGTTGCAAGGGCTGAGCACGATCTTGTCAAACTTGCCCTCCTGGCCACCCCAGTACTCGAGGGCGTTGTCTGCAGAGTAGTCGGTAAGACCCAGACGGACGGCATCCTCGGTCATGACGTTTGCGTGCAGACAGCTGGAGGGTGCAGGGCGCTTCTCTGGGTGAATACCGACAATACCACGAACTGCAGAGCCGATACCGTCGGCACCGACAATGAGGTCGTGTGTCACTGTTACGCCGTTGTCAAACTCCACCGTGCCCTTCTCCAAGTCAATGTCCTTGCACTGTTTTCTTGGTCAGCATCTCAATTCATTACACAGTATTGTTTGGGGCCATACCTTGTGGTTAACAATCATCTTGGCAGGGATACCCTCACCCTCCTCCTGGAGCGCAGTGTCCTTCAGCATAGCGTGCATGTACTGACGGTGAAACATCCAGTAGACGTATCCCCAGCGCACATGGTAGTCCTCCAGATCGTAGACACTGTAGGGCTCACCAGTGTACCAGTCACGGCTGATGAGCTTCTTGAGATGCACGGGATCTCCCTTCTGAACATCGACTCCCCACTCCTCCAACCATCTGGTGCCGTTGGCAGCGCATGATACAGAGGCTCCCTTCTCACCGGCAAAGTCTGCGCGCTCGTAGATGGTGACCTTGTGTCCAGATCGGCGAAGGGCAATGGCCGTGGACAGACCTCCAATACCACCACCGATAACAGCGACATCAAGCTGCTTCCAGCCCGACGGGGCAGCGAACTGTGAACCCATTGTTTATCTTGTGAAGTTGAAAGTCAAAAACCTGGTTTTCTTTCTTTGACTCGTGTTTAATGCAAGGAGGTCAGCTGATGATATAAAGTTATTGGTGAGATCGACAAGAGGAGTAAAGCTGCGGTGTGATTCTTCATCTTGACTGGCACGGTCGTTTCGAAGCGTTTATAGATCATGTTTGCGATGCATAGTGGTGAGTATTCCTCTGCATTTTCCGACGGCTGTCGGAAGCGTTCTTCCATGATAAGACGTATTTGCAGAGACGCTGTCGAACTCTACTCATGGCTACAGATGGATCGACTGGAAGCCCCAGAGTCATCGACGCCTCTCATTGGCGAGTTACTGCTCAGATCTGGGGAAACTGGGGCGACGGAGTATGCAATCCTATTACTAGGAGGTTAATGGTAGCGGTTAGGTTCTGCTGCGTGACCGTTTGACCCCCCTTTGATGGTTGCGAGTTTTGGTAAGAGGAGCATAGAAAGGGAAGCGAGAGAAAAGTGCATTACCCGACAGCGGGAAATACACCTAGATTGCAGGGCGATTCATTTCCGTATCCGGCAGGGCGCCAATACTGCTGCCGCATGGTGCCAGTCTACTAGAGAATCCGCCTGAACTTTATCTCCTGAGTCGTCAACAGGTGTGTGAGCTCCACTATTATGTGTCGTGGGTATTTTACGGATCCATATCCCGCTGCCACCTCCGTTCCGTCTCTCTTGCGAGCATCCACCCCCAGACAGTATGCGATCCGCAGCAAAGAGACAGGAGAGCAATTCCCAAGGCAGTTTGCGAGATCACGATACGACAGGTGCAACAGCCGATTGCTCATGACAATCGAACGACTCTGAGCTGAGCTGAGCTGCTGCTGACTACCAGAGAAGACACACACTTTGTGGGCTTTTTTTTATTAGACACATACATACAAGTTTGTGCATGGTGTGAGCTCCTTTAGAGAAGCATCCGTGCCGACATCCGCCACGGCGACCCTACATCCGGCCCGGGCAGATTGCCGAAGGTCAAGGTCGAATACTCGGCCAAACCAGACAACATACCTAGGAGGTCCCGGTCGTCCGGTAGACGTTCCAGATTATTCTTCTCCATATGCCCCGGCCCAAGGTCAGACCCGAAGACCGTAGGCGTTCGGTCAGGGCATGCGATACATGCAAGCATCTGAAAAAGCGGTGCGACTCTCTCCTGCCCTGCACGCCCTGCACCAAAAAGGGCATCTCCGAGTCCTGCGAGTATTCTGAAAAGACTCGCAGACGACTCGAGAGGCCCTATTCTCCACCACAGCAGAGATCCGTCCACAAACGGGAGTCACGAGCTGGCTCGGCTTCCAGCCATGCTCCGAGCAGTAGTGCTCCGCAGGCCAACCATGAGCCCACGGTTTTCGAGGACACACGGGATAACACTCGCGCAAACACTCGAGAAAATACACCTGCACCCTTTGTAGGACAAAAGCCTGTTATGTTGTTCAGTTCAACTGGTGAAAAAGGTAAAGAGAAGGGAAAAATATGCCTCCTGCAATCCTGCATCGCTGACCTGTGATTCTAGTCTTTGTTGGAAACACAGCAGCACTTTCGTTCCATCAATTCCTAAGGAAGATATTGAAGCGTTTTGCTGGACCGTCAAGTTTCACGGAAGGCCAACAGAGTCGTCGAATGCTCGAAATAGACATTCCCGACAGTGAAGCCAGCGCGTTTCACGATGACCTGACAGAGGAAGACAAGAGAGCACTGATACAGTGCTTTCTGGATGCTGTGAGTCTATGCGCATCATCAGAGCACACCAAAGTACACGACTGCTGACGCGTTATCAGTCATGTGGACTACTAGACCTCTTCACACAACCAGATATCGAGCGGCTCATCAGTCTAGCTCGGCATGCACAAGAAAATGGCCTCGATCAGATCCGTGGTACACACCGGGAAGACCTAGCATCCTTTTATGCAATGATTGCGATAGGTGCACAATGTCGAGGGCGTGATCTCCAGGAACGATTAAATGCGGCGAGGTACTTTTCCAAGGCACGACAATTGTCCTTTGAGAGTATGCTGCAGGATCCCACCACAAACATGGCTCGCGCCTTTCTCCTAATGGCCTTTTTCATGTTTGGAGCATGTCGTAGGAATACTGCATTCATGTTTATTGGTGTTGCTTCGAAAGCCGCTGTCGTTCTCGGGTTACACGTATCTGGGCAATACAAGTATTTGTCACCTGAAGAACGCGATATGAGGTTGGTTGCATTCCATCTGCACGCATCTGATGCATATCTCTAATTAAGAACGATACAGGCTACGGACAGGTAAAAGCATCAGAGCACTAGATCTAGTGTGCAGTTCGATACTAGGCAGGCCCGGTAGCACGCTCTCCCTTCGCGCCGACGACGTATACGCTAGCGACCTAAGCCCAGAGTCTACAGGGCACCGAGCTGTGGCCTTGAGCGCAACCTACGAGGCCTCGACGGTACTCGAATCCATCGTCCACAAAGCCGCCCAAGACAGCAACATGGATGCCGGTACCGCTGAGAACTTTCTCCAGATGCTCAAGGAGTGGAGCGGCGCATTACCGCCAATTCTCCGCCAACGGCGCCGGAGCGACTCGATGCAACTGGACCCGTCGTATAGAGAATCATCGATTGGGAATATCCACGTTGCGTGTACTTATTATTTTGGAGTTATATTAACGACTCGCCACTTTCTCATCCAGCACACGATGCCGCTCTTGCGAAAACCTCCGATGCAGGGAGCGACCGGTGACAAGAGTTCGTTTCGCGACCATGGCAAAGTGGCAGAAATGGCTCACGTCTGTATCGATGCAGCTGTATACATGGCACAGATGTGTGCAGAGGCTGCAGACGGAGGGGTGCTGCTGGGGAACATGTGCATCCTCAAGTAAGTTCAACATAAATAGCGGTTTTGCGGAAATTAATACTGACATCTACTTGATAGGGCCTGGATATTTGCTGCTGGGCTAGTCTTGGGATTTTGTCTCTTATCAGGCGACCAAACCAATACACATGCAGGCGAAGCATTTGACGGATCTCGAAGGGTACTCGCATGGCTAGGCCAATTAAGCCCACAGGCTCAACAATATCATGAAATTTTGACGAGCTTCTCCGACGCCATTACCACGTACAAGGCCAAGCTAGCCCGCGAGAAAGAAAGATCAAAAGTGCCACTGGTGGAAAAAATATTGTCATTGGAGCCTGTCGGTGGCCCGCAAGACCAGCCAGGCTCAATGACGTCCATGTTGGATGGTGTTGATGCGACATTGTCGCTCCCCGAGGCCCCCGATAGTGAAACAACGCCGACATCGTGGTCCGACATATTAGGAACACAGGTATATTTTAGAAAACACAACTGCAATTCTCTTTGCAATCTCGGACTGACACTTTCTATAGTCTCTGCTAGATTTCCCAGTACCTCCTGGTGAAGACGAAGTCATGCTCAACCTGTTTTGGGATGGATACGCAATGAACTTTGGTGCGCCTGTTCCCCACCAGTGAGCTCTACGGACTATATAGTTACAGATGAATGAAATAATGTATTGAATTATTCCTATGACGACTCTCGTGACACCCAGAAGAACGTACCGGATTTTCCCTCGGCATCTGAAGGTTAACCCGCTGACTTCCTTTCACGACTTGATACATTCGGATTGCCCTAGAGAAAGATCGAGGGCCGAAACGAAAATGAAAGCGTGAATTATGCCATCTAGGTTTCAAGCGACTTTCTTCAACTATTGATATAATATGTAGGGCGGCTGGGGCGGCAAGGGTTTTTCTTCTTTGGTTCCCCGTCTCACTGTTCTTCTCATCTCCTTTATGATGTCTAAAATTGCGGTGAAATCGTTGCGCAGCTGCGCGCCCAATCAAATCGCAGTGAAGCACTACTTTTTCCAATCGATCTTCTCATCTCCTTCGTGAGGGTTAAAATTGCAGTGCAACCACGCCATTCCAGGTGTTGGTCCGTGCCGCTATGAAAGAAATTATCTTGGGGAATACTCTAAGTTCTACCCCGGCAGAAATCACGGATCCGAAATGCCCATACTCAAATAACGATGTCGCTGGCGTTGGATTACGGGCATTCCCATCTCATATACCTAATGGCGGATTCCACGACCATTTTCGGCCGAAAAAGCCGGAGCCGAACAGCTTGCTGTCATCCCGTCTCACTCTTACCACGAGCAGTAGGTCTGCGGCTAAATTTTCTCCAAGCGTCTCTCGAACATGGTATCAATGCTTCAATTTCATCTCGGCCCGGCATTCACGGAGAACGATGGTGACTGATCTGTTACCTGGATTTCTGTTTTGGAAAAACTAAAAAGACTCCGCAATTCCCCGCATCAAGAAATGCTTCCGAACGTCATCGACAGAGCAGTCTTTGCATAACGCAAAGTATCGCAATGGTATATCTGGCGCAAGAGTAATACGGCTCAATATTCACATGGAATATATAGTTGCGTGAGTCATGTCAAGGTTGCTGACCGGAGTTAATGGACGTAAATGTCAACTGGAGTCCATCAGCTAGGATTAAGAGCTCGCCTCGGCATCACCAAGGTGGGGCCAAAGCGAGGGAGGTCTAATGTAGAAAAGATGGTTCAAGATTGGAGGCTGAGGCTACGGGATGTCAACTACCCGTCTTTAGTACCTAGTATACTTTCCCATGATACACGTCAGACGAGAAGCTCGTTGGGTATAAATACTCCAACCATAGCGCCTGAACAGTGGACCGAGAAAATCAATACAACATTCTGAATACTTGTCCATTCTTCATCACCTACAACGCAATTACCGTCAACAAGATGTCTATCGAAGTCTACCACCTCCACCTATCCCAATCTGAGCGCATTGTCTGGCTCCTCGAGGAGTTGGATATTCCATACAATCTGCACGTCTTCAAGAGAAACCCTACGACTGCGCTCTCCCCAGATGATCTCAAGGCTGTCGTACGTGAATTCCTCCTTTCGCATATCTGAATTGGCAGCTAATATTTCACGCAGACCCCCTACGGCACGGCCCCTTACTTTCGGGATACTTCAGTGACTCCAGAGGTGACCCTCTCCGAGTCTTCTGCCATTGCTCAGTACATCCTGGCCAAGTATCCTGCCTCGTCAAGTGGTTCCCGCATGATCCGGGAGCCGTCCGACCCAGACTTTGCCCAGTACCTGCAGTGGTTCCACTACGCAAACGGCTCCCTCCAGGCCTCGGTATCGCGGCAAATGACCATTGTACTGGCCGGGCTGGGCAACAGCGACGTGGCCAAGATCTTCATGGCCCGTTTTGCGAGCCAGCTCAAGATTATCGAAGCGCATCTGGGCGAGAACAAGTGGTTTGCCGGCGCGGAACCCTCGGCCGCGGACGTCATGTCCATGTTTAGTCTCTCCACCATGCGCGGGTTCAGCCCGTACAATCTAGGCCCCTACCCCAATATCCTCCGTTGGATGAAGGACGTGTCCGAGCGGCCGGCGTACAAGCGGGCCCTGGAGAAGGGCGATTTCGGCATGGCGCCCATGATTGATCCGATCACTAGAAGATTTACAGAGTTTCCGAGCTTCAAGAAGGCACTAGAGAGTGTTGAGGTTTGACGAAGAAAGCTCTAAATAAATTTGCACTATGCGCGTAGCTAGAAAGCTGAACGCGAATCTCCGATTCACTCGACACCGCAAATACATGGAGTGGGCCCGATAATGAGGAGAATCTAACATTCCACTCAGTCGATGTCCAGTTGGATATGTTGCTGGACCAATGAGAAAGTAAAATAAACAGACTCAAATACACAAGACATTAACTTACTGTTCAATTGGATTCCTGAACCTGATCATACCTGTTTGCAATTGCATCTCGCTTCGTATTTAAACAAGGAAGTGGTGATCGAGAGGCTATTAGGCAGAAAAATGATATAATCCAAATTTACGGGACAAGAGAGACAAATGCAAGGCCAATATAAAGAAGAGCATGCATGGATCGCGACGACATATTTTAAGTCTTACACATTGGATGTGGCTTCTGTATTAACTACATACCTAGCAATGGGCTGCTCACACGAGGCTCAAGTCATCGGCAGGACCATTCCAGCGCCGAGTCGCCTAGGAAAGCCACCACATTTTGGCGGTTCCACAACTGACCATTGACAGGCGAGAGTCTTATCGCAATACTGAATGGCGGTAATTACGTCATATCATACCAGCTACATGGGCCACGCCCACGATGTCGGACCACGATGCTTTGAAACCATGGCATTTGTTCCAAAAGCTGGAGAGGCCTATCAAATTGCAATGTTGGCAGACCAGCCTCGGAGATGTACCGGTTGGGCACCTGTCGCGAACCCAAAATAGAGATAGATGCTGGTAGCTTTTGGAGGTTTGGACGATGACGACAGCGGGGCATTTACGCTACGCTACTCAGTGACCTTTGACGAGGCACTGTATGTAGCTATATGTAAACAATGACTATCCTGACTTGCGCCTGGAGGTTTTTGGCAGCTTTTGATATAAATCACTTCGCATCACATCCTAGAAACAAACCCGAGAACTTGAGTGTCAAACAATAGTTGAACAGTCAGGCATTGGAAAAATTGCTAGAAGCTTCGTAAGTTCTTCAGATCCCATGATTATCCCGCAACAGCCACCCATGCTCAGCCGATGTCTCGCGCTAGCTATAAGAGTCATGCCATGCCCAGCTCCCTTTCGCAGTCGCAACGCTTCAGTTCTGATCTTTACGACACAGATTCTTTTTACATATCATCACAAACTACAAAGTAATTCGCAAACATGACTGCTCCCGAGGTATCGCACGGCAGGTTAGTATCCGCTATTACCTCTCTTCCTTCATCGGCATCCCCCGAGAAGCAGCAGGCAGCCGGCTCCTTTGTCTGTTTGTAATGCTGCTCTCAAGCGCGACAACATGCCTGGAGCCGTGGTGGAAGAAGTCGAATGAGAAAAACAAGGACTAACTCTTGTCATCAAACAGAGGTGGGGCTGGAAACATCAACCCAGACGACACAAAGTACGTCGATGGCGAGATTGTACGAGCGGGGACGCCCGGTTCCCAAGGTGCTGGAGCATACAGCACTGGCCGTGGAGGTGAGTGATGAGCACTTCCCACACTTTCCAAGGTTGCCCAGCGGCCTCTGGTGATGCAGTATCGCTATCCTGGTCGCCCGAGGCTGGTCTGGGCTTGGCGCAACCAATATCCATTCACAACCCATCCTCGAATTCTGGGCGCATGGGGGTTCACTGCAATCTTTTTGGTCACTCGACCGATCCTTTTCAAGACGAGGATCTAATCACATCTTCACAAATTTCTTCTTGTTCTTTTGACTGACGCTGTCTCACTCACAGGCGAGGGAAACATTGGTGACCGGGGTGTTGTTCCCACTGCTCGGACGGATGAGGATATTGTACCCGATGCCGCGCTACGCCCGGTTGAAGACGACACGGCACACACTGGCAGAGGTAAGCGCAAAAACGAGCCGTGTTCTTTTGTTTTCAATCATTCCACAAATACTGCAAACCCGCGATCGTGGATAAAGATCGGATTGAGGGCTTTGGCGGGTTCTACACATTGTTACTTTTGCACAAGTTCGTCTAATGCTAATGTATTCCCTTCATAGGCGGTGCCGGCAATGTGCATCTTGGCCCCGAGCACAAGAAGAAGAGAGTGATGGACGGCGCCCAGCATGAAGAAGCCTCGGCTCAGCACGGCAGCGTCGCCGACAAGCTGAAGCATAAGGTTCTCGGCGTTTTCAAGAAATAAGACACTGCCATGATGATGACATGAATAAATGATAATTTGTTAGAAGGATACCCTGAAGGAGGAAAGGTTGACATGAAAGTCGTTTTGTCACTTGAGATTCGCAATGGAGATTATTCTGGAGTCCTTCCGACCTTCCCTAGAAAACAATCACATTATGAGCTAATAAGAAGCAAACTGAGCAACTATTGCACTCACTCGCCACATGTATAGATATTAAGTCACTGTGGACGTATTCAGACGATAGAGCGCATCAGTATGATCAGGCATCCATGAAGGCTTTGACATTCATCTACAACTACAAATATCCTTGTTAGGTTACGCTTAGTAGATAAGAGCCTCATTAGGTTAGGTGATATTGGGTGATAAATACCTACGCAGCCGCAAGCGAGTATATCGATTGGCAAATACATTGGAATCATGTCCGCATTAGACAGCGAGTGTACGAGCATCTGCGGTATGACCATATACAAGGAAATAACAGAGATAATGGAAAAGGAAAAGGGCGGGAAAACAGAGCATGCTTGGAGACTTTTGCTGAATTAGTTTATTGACACCATTGTGCAACATAGCACAACTTCAAAGGTTTCTGACACAAGAACACGGTGCCGACTTCTTTTCCCCCTTCACTCATGATTGTAATATGCCCTTTCGAGAGCGCTCGGAATTCTCGACAACCATGAATTCTCAAAAATTGAATCCTCATACCTGCAATCCGATCTATCCAGAAGTTCTGAACACTAGTATCAGAACAAGATCAAGGATTCATTTATTCACTTTATCGGGTGCTTTGAACATCTTTATGTCGTTTGCATCACAGATGCACCTCTTGAGATGTGTGGATGCCGCCCCAATGAATTTATATAAAACTTCGCTTTGACCAATGATTTCTGCTTCTTTTCAAACAATTCTTCGGCCACCATCACAGAGCAGGACAATATTCGACAATACTGATCTCTACACTACCTGAAAGCAAACAACAAACAATACTTCATCTCTCAACAACAGCCTCTGAACAGAGCCACACAAGATGTCTTCCAGCAAGCGAGTATCGTGGGGAACCGACGTTGTCGACACGAAGACCTCGGCACCAAGCAATACTAGGCGCAACCAGGAGGGAAAGGCCAAGTAAGCAACCAATTTCCAAACTTGAAGAATTAAAACAGGAGAAGCATACTTAGAGACACACAAGTGCTCAAAGAAAAATGTTCTGCCTTTTATTTCCCATTATATATAATGGCTAACCTGAAATCAGAACCTAGAATCTGTAACGACTAGATTACGGGTTTCTAGAATAAACCTGGAGTATAGGGTATTAGGGTTTATGTTAATAGGGGATAGTAGCTTCGAAAAAAAATATTAAGCAATAAGGTTCTAAAAATAAAAGTAATTAAACTAATTTATAAATATAGTCGTTAAAGCGTATTAAATGCTTTATTTATAGGTAAAATAAATGCTTAAATTAATTATTAAAATAATAACTATTTATATAAAAAACTTTTTTATAATATATATTTATTTATTCCTTTATTAATATTTTTTAAATTATAATATTAAGCCGATTTTATAATCTTAAAATCGATAAAATTTAATAATTCTAATAATTTATTTATTTGGATTATTACTAAAATTATAATCCTATTAGGCAGCTGGCTAATAGCTATTAGGGATAATAGTTTTTATTTTAACCTATTTCCGGCTTTCGGTATTAAACCTTTCCTTTTTTTTTTAAGCGCTAATATATTTATTTATTTTTATGCAAAAATATATATTCGTAATATTAGCTTTTTTTTTATATTTTTTGTTTTTCGAAAAACTTTAGGCCGTTTAAGTAGGTTATAGCGCTTATATACCGTAATTATTTTATTTCCCTTTTTTATCGTTTTTTTTTTTGCTTTATTTATAATATATATTTATTATATTAGAATTTTTATCGGAAATAACAAAAAAACGAAAAGCTCGTAAACGAATTAAGCTTTTTAATTTTATTAAATTAAACGGTTATATTACAAATATATTATATACGCTTTATTTTAAAAATAAGCGTTTTTGCTAAATAGCGAACGAAAAGTCGATTTATTATTTAGAATATATTACGCATTTTTTCCGAAAATACGATAATATTTTAGTAGTTTTTATGCTTCGGAAGGTTTTAGATTAATAGCGGAAATTAAAAACCGAAAAGGAAAAAGCGAATAATAATTTTTTGGAATTTTACGAAAAAATAGCTAAGCTTTAATTTTTTTTAGCGGCTATTATTAATCGGTTATTTCGGATTCGGAAAATTAAAGCACGAATAAAGGCTTGTAATTCCGAATTATTCGCTTATAGTATAAAGAAATTAGATAAAGAAAATAAGGTTTTTTTTATTTTTAAAAATTACGAATATTTCGTAATAAATAATTTTTAGTCGTTAAGTATTTTTAACGAGCCCGATTAGTTGGTATTCGGTTTCGGAAATAATTTTATAAATTTTAATTTTTTTATCGAAGCTAAAAGTATTAATTAAAAGCGATATAATTTTTAATATATTTTTTAGGTTTTTAAATATTTTCCTTAGGTAGGTAATTTTTTTATTTAACGTAAAATTAATATTTTCGTCCGATTTTTTTATAATCGATAATTTTTTTAACGATATATTTTTGCTAATTTGGTTTTATTTTTAGTATTTTGTTAATTTTAGCGTTTTTTGGTATTAGTTTAAATAGTAAAATATAAAAAGTTTTATAATTTTTTATAATTTTTAATAATTTAAATCGGTAATTAACGTTCGAAATTTTTTTATCGATTTTAAATAATTTAAATTTTTTAAAATTAAATTTATCGCTTAGTTGTTTTATTTTAATATTTTTGCGTAAAAGGTAAACCTTATTTCCTTTTTTAAAAATTAGTCTTTTAATCTTTTTTTTATCGTATTAAAATTTTATTTTTTGTTAAATAACAATAAAGGTTTTTTAAAGTTTTATTTATAAATTTTTAAATTATTTAACGCGTAAAATAATATATAATATAAATTTTTTTTTTAATAATTTTTTAATAATATCGGGTTTATACCCGTAATTAGTATAAAATAATAATATTCCGGTAGGTTTTTATATTATATTATTATACGCGAATTATACGAATAGTAATAATATAACCTAATTATTTTGTTTATAATTAACGTAATATTTAAGGTATTTTTCGAATATTTAGTTTATTTGTTTTGTTTATTTGTTAGTTTATAGATAAAAAGCTATTAAAAGCTTATAGTCGTATTTTAGCTAATTAATAAATGATTTTTAGAATTTCGATATAAAGAGTTTATTTTTATTTAAAATGATTTTATTTGGTAATTTATATTAATTGGCTATAATTCGAAGGAACGTATAAATTAATTTTTTTATATTATTGGCTTTTTTATATAAAAAAAAAATAAACGTATTTCGTAAATCGTTTTATAAATATTAGGATATTATTATAAAAGGTCCTAATTAAAGGTTCTTTTAAAAATAATAGCTTTATTATAAAATTTAATATAATAAATTTTTATATTTTATTTAGCGGTAATATAGGTTATAATTTTTTATATTATTTATATCGTATTAATTTTGCTTTATTATATAAATCGCATTTTTTAATAACTTTGCTAATATATTTGCGTAATTATAGGTAATTAAAATATTATTAAATTCGTTTGGTTATTTTAAATATTTTTTAATATTTACCGATAAGTAATTCGTAATAATTTTTAATTAGCTTTATAAGCAGTGGTTTTTTAATTTTAATTTTATCGTTATAATATTATTATCCGGGGTTATATTGTCCCGCTAGGTTATTATTTAGGTTTAGGTATTTAGCTATGCGTTTTATTTAATTATTATCGTTAATAATTTTTATGGTTATATATAAGGTTATTATTGGTATTAAATCTTTATTATTATCCGTCGAAAGGATAATATTAGTTTTTTTTAATATTTCCTGGAAATAGTTGGGTTTTCGGCTAAAAGCGTTAGCTTTTCCGTTTTCCGATTTTTTGCGGTAAATAATTTTAAAGTTAAAATTTGCTAAAAATTTTATTTATTTAATTTATCGCTTATTAAATTTTTTATTAATAATAAATAAAATTAGATTTTTATAGTCGGTATAGATTTTAATTTAATATTTAGTTCCGCTAAAATAATATTTTTATTTTTAGAATATTTCGATAATAGCTATAAGTTTTTTATTATAAATTTAGTAATTTAATTATTTTTTTGTAAATTTTTTGCTATAAAATGCAATTAGGTATAATTTCCCGTTATTATTTTTTTATATAAGTTATCCGCTTATAGCGTAATTTAAGGTATTTATTTCGATTTTAAATTTTTGTTTTAAATTTATTATACGTATTACGGGTTCGTTTATAATTCGTTTTTTAATTATTTCGAAAGCTTTTTGTGCTTCGAGTATTTAATTAAAAAATATATTTTTTTTTATTAAATACGTAAATAATACGGCGATACCTCCGAGTCCCTAAATAAATATTCGGTAAAAATTTACGAATCCTAAAAAGGATCTAATTTTTGTTACCGAGGTCGGGGTAGGCTAGTTTTTTATTATTACGATTTTAAATAGTTTTATTTTAATTTTTCCGGAGGATATTATATATTTTATAAAAATAACTTTTTTTTTATAGAATTTGCTTTTTTCGGGGTTAATTAGCAGGTTTGCGTTTTATAATTTTTATAATATTATTTTAACGTATTATTAATATTTATTAAAATTTTTAAAGTAAATAAATATATTGTCGAGGTATATTATTACGAATTTATCGAGGTATTCTTTTAAAACGTCGTTAATTATATTTTAAAAGCTTATTAATGCGTTAGTTAATCCGAAAGGTATAACTTTATATTTAAAATATCCGTATTTATAACGGAAAGCGATTTTTTATTTTTTTTTTTAATTCGTATTAAACCGTACGCGTTAGGTAAATTTAAAGCTATAAATTATTAGGCTTTATATAATTTATCGCGTAAATCCTTAATTAAAAGTAAAAAATATCGATTTTTAATCGTAATATTGTTAAATTTGCGGTAATTAATATAAAATTTTTATTTAGGTTTCTTATTTTTATTTTTTTTAGGTATAAAAAATATTAGGTATTTTACGGGTAAAATAAATTTTATAATTTATTTTTTTTATAGTATATCCGCTAGGTATTCCTTTAGTATCTTTTCGTATTAAGGTTTTATTAGGTATGTTAGCATAAAGTATAATTTTTTTCCTTTTTGGAAAGGTATTTTATAATTGTATTTTGTATATTTTAATAATTTTATTTTTAGTATTTTACTAAATAAGTCGCTAAATTCCTAATATTTTTTTAGTATTTTAGTTTCGAATTTCGGCTTAATATACTTAATTATAAAGTAAAATTTAAATATTTTAGAATTGCTTAAAGGCTCGTTTTGTCGCTTTTTAAAAGCTAACTTTTTTTTTGGTATATCCTATTAAAATTGGCCGGTATTTTAATTTATTTTAAGGTTATTCGCTTATAATTAAGGTATTTTTAGGATAATATTGTAGTTTATAATTTTTATAATATCGCACTTAAGTCTTTTTTTATAATCTTAAATATAAATTTAAATATATATAATTTTTATATTTATTATTCCGTTTCCGTATAATATAGGTTTTTTATTAATAATATTAAATGCGTAAAGCGTTTTTTTTTGCTTTTATAATATTTATAAAGCGTTAACGATTATTAGCGAAATAAAATTTCCTTAAGCTTTTATATTTATTAGGGTTTATATTTTCTGGTTTATAATTTTAATTTAAATCGTAAAATATTCGTTAATATTAATATTATTTATAGCACGTATAGATTTTTTAGTCGGGGTTTATTTTTATCGCTTTAAAAGTACCCGTAATCGTTTCCCGAATTTTTGTTAATTCGTTTATTAGCTTATCGCGTTTCGGCGGCCGTATATATATATTATTCTAATATATTTAAATTTTTTTAGTTCGTAGGGGTCGATTTCCGTATTATTTAGATAATTCGCCGGTTTTTAGTTATATATTAAAGGTATTTCCTTATTTTTTATCGTCCTTAAAAGGCTTTTTTAGCTTTTTATATTTTTAGTATACGAAATATAAGCTAATTATAATTCTAATATAAGTTTCTCCCGTTTTTTTTATTATTTCGATAATTAGTCGTAATAATAAGTTAGCTATTAAATATATAGGTAATTCGTATCCGTTATTTATAATTCGTATTAATTTTTCGGTATTATTGTTTTTTGGTTAGGTAGCTATAATGCGGATGCGTTTTATTGCTTTATATTTTTTAAAAAAATACTATATTTTAATTTTTTTTATTGCGTAATATTCGCAATCGTAATATAGGCATTTTTCCTATTTTTTATTTCCGTTTTTTAAATATCGGTCTAAATTTTATAATCGTATATAAAGTATTACGAATTTTCGGGGGTCGATATAACTAATCTTTATATTTTTTATTTTTCCCGCCCTAAAAAGGTAATAAATAGCGTTTTCGTTATATCGCAAAGGAAATATCCTTTTTCGGATTTTATTTTATAGGTATATATTATAATTAAGGTTAATATATCCGTATTATATTACGGTATTATATATTAAATATATATAGGTAAGTTTTGCGTTATTTTTTATTATTGCTCTTAAGGTTCGTCGGGTTTATAAAATATTAATTTTTTTTAAAGGATTTTTGCAAATTATAATACGGTATCCTATTATTCTATTATAATAATAATTATATCGTAAACGTAACTGGTTCCGTTTTTGGATATATAATCGATAATATATTTTTCGTCGTTATTTTAGATAAATTTAACGAATTTATTTTTTTTTTGCTCGTTAAAATTTATATCGATATCGATATTTTCTTCGCAACTAAAGGTATTATTGTATAAATTTTATTGGTTCCGGCTTTTTGCCTATTTCGTTTAATAGTATATTTCGTTTTTTAAAGTATCCGAAAATATATAATCGTTATTATTTTGGAATTGCCTTTATTTTCTAAAGTATACGGTCCTTTTTAGTCGTATAATTGCTAAAGTTCTCCGTTTTTAGGGGTATTATCTATTTTCGTCCTTATTGGATTTATACGTCCGATATTTATTATCGAAATATACCGTCTAGGAGAATAATTCGTAAAATATATTATCCTTTTTAATATTATTAAATTATTTTTTGCCTTTTGGTATTAGCTTAAATCCTGATTTTTTAGGTTAGCGATATTTGTTAGCGTAGTATCCTATTTTGTTGTAATTATAGTATTTAATTTTGGATTTATTTTTATATTAGGTAGCGTTAAAGTTTATTTATTTATTATAGGTTTCGTATAAGGTTTTATCGTATTAATTATTTTTAGGTTATTAGGTATTTCGTAATTTATTTATATTAACGTAATTGCGTTAAAAACGTAGCGTAAAATAATTCCTTTTTTTTTCGTTTTATCGAGCGTATAACTAATTATCGATTTTAACGGTAAATTCGTTATATTTGCTAAATTCGGCTAATCATTTAAGGATTTTGCTAAATTCGTTTTTAATATTATTTTTAAATTTTCGATAATATAATATAATCCTAATATCGTCGGTATATTTTATTTTGGCGATTATACGTTTAAAATCTGCCGTATAATTGGATATGGATTTTTTTTATTTAAAATTTTTAAATTTTTTTTTAGTTTATCGTTTTTCGTCCGGATTTTAGAATAAAAATCGAAACGCTATTTCGAATCCTATATAATTTTAGAAAATATTCTAAATTTCCGCTTTATATAATTTTATTTATTATTCGTGTTTAGTTACGTTTAAAAAATAAAGTTCGAATTAAGCAAATATTCGTTTTTTAAGGTAAAACGCAATATAAAGTATTTTTTATTTTTCTATTATAAATTAGTTGCCGTAAAAAATCTGGTAAGCTCGGACCTAGGCTAAAAATCTTCGGAGTAACCCGGGGGTATTATTAAAGGCCGCTAATATATTAAATTTAAGCTTTTCGGAATAAACTAAAATAAAAATAATATTAGCTATTTTAGCTATAGTATTATTGGAATTTTGTAATTTTTATATAATTTATCCTATTTGGGCTTTGCGCGCAAAGAAAATGGTTTCTTTTTTTTTAAATACGCGGATTTTTTTAACTAATTTTATATATTAGGTTTTCGTAAATTCGAAATTATTTTTTTTTATTTTTTGCGCAAATAAGCGCTAAGAGTATTTGGATAAGGAAAAAAGAGTTTTTTTAGTTAACGATATTTTGCTAAATATTATTTAAGGTTTTTTTTAAAGGTAATATACCTAAATAAAAATAATTAAAATATAACGATTAGATTACGGGTTTTTAAAATAAACCTGGAGTATAAAATATTAGGGTTTATATTAATAGGGGACGGTAGCTTCGAAAGAAAATATTAAGTAATAAGGTTTTAAAAATAAAAGTAATTAAATTAATTTATAAATATAGTCGTTAAAACGTATTAAATATTTTACCTATAGGTAAAATAGATATTTAAATTAATTATTAAGGTAATAATTGTTTATATAGGAAATTTTTTTATAATATATATTTATTTATTTTTTTATTAATATTCCTTGGATTATAATGCTAAGCCGATTTTATAATTCTAAAATCGATAAAATTTAATAATTTTAATAATTTATCCGTTTAAATTATTGCCAAAATTATAATCTTATTAGGCAGCTGGCTAGCAGTTATTAGGGATAATAGTTCCTATTTTGACCTATTCCCGGCTTTCGGTGCTAAACCCCTTTTTTTTTTCCTTAAGCGCCAATATATTTGTTTATTTTTATGCAAGGGTGCATATTCGTAACAGAATCATCGACCCCATATGGATATAATCAAGCACATCGAACAAGATCTCAGAACTTAGTCGGGCCAGGCCCATGGACAGTGAGCAATGTTCATAACTACATTAGCAACACCAATCACTGACATGTACGGGTTTATAGGGCAGTAGCAGTACAGTCGACAAGCAATGAAATGGCTAGAAACGCAGCGCATGCCCAGAAGTCTGCTGTTAGACAACAGGCTGCCAGGGGTTTCGACTCGGACGATGACTCGAGTTTCATTCCCAACATCAAAAGGTAGTTGACTCGACAGAATGTTCCTTGATCATCACATTAGTGGTATAGAGGACTACCAGAAGACATGAATTGACATCAGTAACATTATGAGTTTTTAATGATTTTCAATGCTTGTGATTAGATCCAAGTGTTTGCTAAGTAACGACCTAGGCTTGGCCCTATGTACAACTATATCATGGCACCAAAGACACAACAAACGATGTAACCTTGTGCTATGATCTTACTGCAGTGCGTTGACGACGGCAGTGTATGCGGCCTTTGGGCTGTAGTTGCTGTCAAACAGGAGAGGGTTGGTGCTTGCCCTCCAAGAGTCCTTTTAAATATAATTAGCACATATTCCTTTTGGCATGAAACAAACATCGTCAAGTAAACCTACCGGGTCTCTGACGCCCCAGACAGTAATACCAACACAGGTCGGTGTGTCAAGGCAGGCCTTGGTCACAGCAGAATAATCATTGGAAGGAGCAGTCTGGATATCCACCTCGGTAAGAGCAACCTCCTTGACGCCGGTAGCGGCCAGGGCCTTGAGGGCCGCGGCGGCGTTGCTGCCCTGGCCGGCGCTCAGGTGGGCCTGGCTGCCAATGCCGTCAATGGGCCAGCCGGCGGCGAGCCACTTCTTGACGTGGGCCACCATGCCGTTGGTCAGCTTGGCGTACGAGGCCGAGTCGAGGTTGTAGTCGTTGATGTAGAGAATGGCGTCCGGGTCGGCCTTGCGCGCGGCCTCAAAGGCGATGCGGACAAAGTCCTCGCCCAGCACGTTGGAGAAGACGGAGCTGCGGAGGGAGCCGTCCTCGTTGAAGATTTCGTTGACGACATCCTAGTGATCTTGATTAGCAGAGAGATATGATTTTATCCATCATGGGGACAATAGTCCTGGCTACGAACCCATGCCCTGATCTTTCCCTTGTATCTGGTCACCAAGGTTGTGACGTGGTTTTGCAGGACACTGGTCAACTTTGTCTTGTCATTGATGCTGCTGACCCAGCTGGGCAGTTGACTGTGCCAGCAGAGTGTGTGGCCTCGGATCGTCTTGTTGTTCGTCGTGGCCCAGTTGACCAGGTAGTCACCGCCAGCAAAGTTGAAGTTGCCTTGGGAGGGCTCGGTGCTGTCCCACTTCATGCTGTTCTCGGGAGTCACTTGACCAAAGTCGGCCTGGATGACGGCTGCCGACTTGCCCGTGCTCAGACGATTCTGGTCAGTACAGGTACCGTAGTAGAGCTTGCCCTTGGCCTTGATCAGCTGGTCGATCGAGGTGGTGGACTGACGCTCTGCCAACTCGACAGCCGGAGCTGCGAGGGCTAGGAGAGGGCTCAGAAGAAGGAGTGCAGCGGTCTTCATGACGAAAGAGTGAATGGAGAGTTGACTGATGCTGAATGTCGTGATTCTCTGGATGGCGCCATTTCAAGGAGCATACACTTGCCATATATATAGTAGATATTCCACACGTGGACATGGTGAAATTCTATTTTCAGTCACGTCGTATAGGCAAATCGTGATACCCCTCGGACATAGGGCAGATGGCAGTGCTGCACTGCAATATCCATATTATCAATACAGTAGCAGTCAATTAATACAGCAGGGTAACTCAGATTCGGAGTTGATCAGTATGACTAGGCCATATTTAGAGTCAAGTACGCCTCAAGACGGCATTGTCCTGAAGAAAACATTCAAGAACAAGGTCAAAATAGGAAAATACCAAGAAGTCCATAATTAGCCTGAAGTCGTTCCGGACGGTCATTACATTCAGCGCGGTTGCGATGCTATCGTTGATGAGGAAGTCGGCGTTGAGTCTCCGAAACCTTGCCTAGGTTGGTACATCATGACCGGGTATTTTGAGAGGGGCGTTTGCATATCCGCTTCGTATTTCTTCTTTGTGTAGCTTGGATAACAGATTTATGAACGACATGGTACAGGCAAGAGCGTCTACAGGACTGGAGATGATTACAAAAGCATTTCATGTCACACCGTTCATGACCCGCTTTGTCGTGCGCAAACACTGATTGGGTCATGCGTTTGTCCCTTGATGCGGGTGGGGAGATTTCTCTCTCTTTCTTCCAATTGTCAGATTGTATATTCTATTTTGGCCACGGAAGTAGATCAACGTATACATAGACCGGTCATGAGACAACCGATAAAAGTCTCGCGATTGATTTTCCTAGGTAGAAAATGGCCGTACAATGTCGCACGATAGCTTATCGGTGGCTTATTACTTGTGTTGGACGAAACCCTGGATCTTGAGCGCGGAAATTTTCATACGGCACAGCGATGATCTTCTCATCGATGGTGGTATGCGGAGTGCATGTCGATCATCCATGGGGACAAAAGTCTTTGGTCCGTGGGCAGACCCGCACTGTTGGGCCGTATTGAACCCTGCGTATGGTTTTGTTACGCTACCCACCCAGTTGAGGCCCGAGGGTTCTATTCCGAGGGTTAGGTCGCTTGTCATAGGGCGACGATGGCGTCTGAGCGAATAGAGAAAGAAACGTCTTCTGTGCAACAGAGCGAGAAGCCTACCTTATAAACCGACATCTCTTGATTCACCTTGCGATTTACTTACCTGACTAGGGTTGCTATTCATCAACACACCATCAATCAAGACCTGTGAAACAATGGAGGCTCAACCCCGCTATCCTACCTACCCAGCTGCATACTAGGTTGGTCGGAACGGGTATGGATGCCGCAGTAAGTGGGTGTACGGCGATGCAAATGGTGGTAGGCAAGTAGGCAACTGGTGTATACGAGCGTCTCCTACTGCCTTTTGAGATTTGATCAAATGATGCATGGTGCTGGTGATGACTCGAGATCGCCATGGATTAGAGGGATCTACCTGAAAGTTTGCCGTCTTGTTAGATGTAGAGTTGCTTTAGGTTGTCGATCCTTCAACTCACGATCTCCATACTATACTGCTTCCATCAGTGCTGTAGCACCGAAGAGTCAAGACATCCAATGCGTTATGTAGCCTTGAGAGTCACATGAGCGAGGGGCTGAGAGGCCAAGCGTTTACCGTAAACAAATCGGCAGGATCAAGCTCCCACGATCACTGTGTTCTGTAATATTACGCGTACTCTTCTTCTTATATTGACATACATTGACAGTTAGGAGCAACTTACTTCTTGTATACTTATTACTTTCCAAGTGATTCGCGTCAAGTCCAACTCTTCCTATAAAGCTTTCAAAACTGGTCGTCATACTGGTCTCATTCTCCAGAAATCAGACCCGGAGACCGACCGCAATCAGTTCAAAGAGAGGTCCGGGCTCTTTAAGCAACGAACTGCCGAAAATCCCCGGTGGATTAGGTCCCTTGCTTTGGTTGAAACCTGAATATCGCGTGGAAAATGGACTGATCCAGGCGGCCCAGTACACGAAGGGCTGCCAAATTTTTTTTTCTCACTCTTTTGAGAAAATTTGTTGACTGACATTGGAGGATTATTTTACCCCCCCTTAATTTGTGTGTCAGACAGCAAAAAGCTTCAAGGCGACATCCAAACGGAATTTTAGCCGTGCGGCACACTTTCAAGGTTGGAGGTGCATTCGAGCCGCCCAAGCAACTGAGACTCTGGGCGACCAGCCACTAAACAACGCTACTGGAGATCACCCGAAAGAGCGCAGAGAGGCCCCGGCTTCCCCCAGCTTGGAGCTCGAGGTGGTGCTACTACCTACCATGGTACCGCGGAATGATGACCACCTGAGGCGACCGCCGCTCAACCATTTGCTGTCCATTCAGAGCACCGTGTCCAAACACTCATACCGCTCACACACCTCATCCTTTGAGGCCGACGATGAGTTCTCCTCAACGGACGACTCATACTCTGGCACCGACAGCATGACCCCACGCGCGAGTATCGACGAGGACGGGCGATCGTCCGGTGCCTATCCGGGGGAAGACACCCGCCCCACGAGCAGCAAGGAGCTCCAAGGTTTCTATGCCTACGGGTTCGCCGCCGAAGTCTACGTGATATGTGGTGAGTCCTCCATGTCTGCTTAGTTTGCCTTGCCATGGTTTTGCTGATGTGATTTTCCTGCAGCTATCTGTAAGTCCGAAACTTGATTCATGTCGCGTCGCATCGCTATCCAGTCTCGACAGTCGAGCTTGTGCGCCGCGCAAACCAAACCTTCTGCTCCGCAAGCCATCTTCAAGGTGTCTAAACACTGCTGACCAATGCGACGACAGCATCATTCATACCCATCCTGCTCGAAAGTCTCGCCAGGGAAAACGGCGTCCTCCTGTCCGACCGACAAACACCCTGCGGCGACAGCTCTGCTAGGAAAGGGAAGGCTAGCGATGGGCAGTGCATCGTGGAAATCCTGGGCATTGAAATCAACACTGCAAGCTTCGCCATGTACACATTCTCCATCAGTGTTCTACTGCAAGCCATATTGGTCGTCAGTATCAGCTGTGCTGCTGATCACGGCAATTACAGGAAGCGCCTACTCCTGACATTTGGCTGGATGGGAGGCATCTGCGTGATGCTGTACATATTCATTTCTAAGCAGGTGTACGTACTTGGGGCTCTGTTGGCTATTATATCCAACACGTCCTTTGGTGCTTCGTTTGTCCTTCTGAACTCTTTCCTCCCCCTTCTGGTTCGTCACCATCCGAGGGTTCAGTATGCAGAAGGAATTCTTCACGACGAAACGAGCTCAGAATCGCAGAATGAAGATTACTCGGCGGACGAGGGACGCCCGTTGGACGAGGGAGACGCTGTTCAGCTTCCTACAGATGATAACAACTCGGAGTTTCACCAGCTCACGCGTACCTCAACCAAGTCAGAACTGACTTCCCTTGAGCTTCAATTATCCACAGAGATTTCCTCCAAGGGGATTGGCATTGGCTATGGGGCCGCCTTGTTTGTTCAATGCGTATCCATCATGATTTTAGTAGCCATGAAGAGTTCGACTTGGTCGCAAAGGGTTGTGCTCTTGTTTATTGGTTCTTGGTGGACGCTATTTACCATTCCTGCTGCTATGTGGCTTCGCCCGAGACCGGGGCCACCTCTACCGGACTTGCAGACCAAGGGCCGGTGGACTTGGCTGTCGTATACTTTATATGCGTGGAAGAATCTATTTCGAACAATCAAGTTGGCTCGACGTTTGGTGGACATTGTCCTCTTCCTTGCCGGATGGTTCTTGCTCTCGGATGCCGTTGCAACCACATCCTCCACTGCCATTCTATTTGCCAAGACCACGCTCGGCATGAAGCCATGGGCTTTGGGACTGATCAACGTCATTTCTACAACGACCGGTGTTATCGGCGCGTTCAGCTGGTCTTTCATTTCGAGGAGACTCAAGCTTCAGCCTCACAAGACCATTCTTGCTTGTATCGCGCTATTTGAAGTTATACCGCTGTACGGATTACTAGGATACTTGCCATTTGTGCAGAACTGGGGCGTGATTGGTTTACAGCAGCCCTGGGAGATGTACCCATTGGCGGCAGTCTACGGCTTGGTGCTCGGTGGCCTCAGTTCCTACTGCCGTTCTCTATACGGAGAGCTTATCCCGGCTGGGTCAGAGGCCGCATTCTACGCCCTGTATGCGATTACTGACAAGGGCTCAAGTGTCTTCGGACCAGCCATTGTCGGTGCCATTATCGACGCGTCTGGAGACATTCGCCCTGCTTTTTGGTTCCTGGCAGCACTCGTGGGTTTGCCTGCACCGCTCATCTACTTTGTCAATGTGGAACGTGGAAAACAAGAGGGCGAAAAACTTGCTGCCGTGATCAAGGGGTATAAAAGCCAGGCAGACCTGTCGACTGAGGATGCTCATACTGCAGATGAACGCCGCGGTATGCTCGCCGAATATGAGAGAGATGAGAACGACAGGTGAAGAGAGTAGTATATCAATGGTTTTGGCTATCCATGTAGTAATATATCTTTGCTCCTTGTCCATTACGACAACGACAAATACCATTGACGCGTAATCTCAGACCTTTTGCGGCATGACCCCTAGACACGATAACGCCAGCATTGTCGAGAGGGAAAGCCCAAACCCCAACGGATGGTACGGAATTGGTCAATCCATTGATTTTTATGTATAAATCAGAATTCCAGTCAAGATATGCACGTGTATTTGTCAACCGACTCCATGTTGGACTAATCAAAATATACATGAATTGTATTGAAGCAAGTGCCAGGATTAATCCCTGGCATTGGCACGTTGCGGCCTCGAGGGGGGCAATTGCTCCCCGCCACTAAATTTCTAGCGGGTTCGGTACATACGCGCTCAGATTACACCAAGAGCGAGAGGCCCGAATTCGTCAACAACCAAATGGATGTGCGCAGAAACTACGCAAACAAAACACAAATCGGCTACCGCGATTGCTGAGCAACGCAATCGCGTCCTGGTTTTCGCGGCTGCTTCTACTTGCTCAGTGTCACGCGCTCACAGTCCCAGGCTGCTTTTCGCGACGTCAATCGCGCCTATCATTGCTCGCGACCGCGTTTGCATGGAAAATTAGCATGTTTCCGAGCTAACACGAAACACCAACTTGTTGATCGCGTGCACTGCACAGCAGCACATCACAGCAGCACACTCAAGCACCTATCCAGATTCACAGCGAGTCCGCGCGATCGAGCGGCAATCTTACCAGTGGACTTGAAATCATGGCTTCGGCGCGCAAACGGGCAAGGCCCGAGGGCGACAAGGAGGTCGAGGCCGACTGCACCTTCACAATTGAATATCCGAATCCTGGCAGCAAAGATAACAAAGCCAAGAAGCGCAGGCGCACCGACTCGGCCTCCCCGGCGCCAGCACCCAAGGTGCCTTTTCAACCATCGCCGTTTGCGCCGCATGGAAGGTTCCTGAAAGATCCGAGTAATAACATGGACCGCCACTATAGAGTCTCGCCAGCTAAAGAATGGACCGACATGACGAGATACAACAGCTTTGTCCGTACGTGGATCAATATCATGCTGGTTTCTGCGATGGCTAGATATGCTGACATTTGTTACAACAGTCAATGGCGTCAAGTACTTTGCCGAGGGCTTCATATTCGTCGCAAACAGATCCACCATCGACCAACCACGGAATCCAGGCCAGATTGTTAAGAATATGGACAAGTCACAAGAGGAATGGGTGGCACGCATTCTCGAAATCAGGGCAAAGGACGAGCACCATGTGTATGCCCGTGTGTACTGGATGTACTGGCCGGACGAGCTTCCAGAACGCTCGCGATATAATGGCAAGCACGTCAAGGGCAGACAGCCATACCATGGACTACATGAGCTCATTGCTTCCAATCACAGTATGTTTCTCCTGCTGCCGATCCCCTTCTTGGATTAATGCTGACGTGGATTTTTAAGTGGATATCATCAATGTCGTTAGTGTGACTGCGCCGGCGACTGTGCAGCAATGGGACGAGGGGAACGAGGACGAGGTCCAGCCCGCGCTCTACTGGCGACAGGCGCTTGATGTTCGTACTATGGAGCTCTCGTCTCTTGTGGAACGCTGTATTTGCAAGCAACCAGAAAACCCCGACAAACTATTGATCAATTGCAGTAACAAGAAGTGTGGCGTCTGGCTTCATGCCGATTGTCTTGCTCACAAGACCCTCTTGGATACTTGGCAGCGGCTGGGGCCAGATAAGCCTCATATTGGGTCTGCTGCTGCAATCAAGCAAGAAACAGGCGCCGATGAGCCCAAACGATTACTCAGCCCTGATGAGATAGGGGCTGCGTCCACTGCACAGGCGTCGATTGACGTCAAGATGGAGAAGGAGAACCCGACGAATGATCTCCCATCCTCGTCCACTATACGTTCAAAACAGAAAAGCGACATCATCACTATACCGACGGCATCTAAGAAACATCGCGGTCGCTCGAAGAACCTTACGAATTCCGAGACAGGTGAGCCATTTGGGTTCACTGCTGTCGTGTTTGAAGACCAAGAAAGCGCACCAGTAATTGAGATCACAGACCTGCGCAACATTGTGGGCGGTGAAAGCTCTTGGAAAGAATCACTCAAGTGTCTTGCCTGCGGCGAGGATATTCAGTAAAGCCACAACTACGTTACTGGTTTAAATACCCCACAACACGAAAGATGACGAGTGAAGAGCATTGCAAAAAAACTAGCTACTGCCTGAGCAAATCACTCAGTGGCAAGTTGTGCAGAAGCAAATGTCATACTTTCTTTCTCTTCACCATGTGGGAGCTTCACGCATTAGGGGACCCGAATTCTGCGTATTGATAGCCCACGGAGTTTTGCATTATACCCCCGGTTTGCGTATTATGGTTTTGTTGTGGTCTAGAGTTGATGCAGGGAAGGGTAGCGATACTTGTCAGGCATTCATTTGGCTGTACTTAGATGGTGGCTTCGTGCATATACAGATTCCCAATCCGTTGGACGAATAACATGGCAATTTCTTGAGTCTTTACTTCTCTACCAGAAACCACACCTTGAGATCTTGACCGGACCAAACAAACAGTCACAGCCCCAAGCCTACTTAGCTGCCAGCACCTTTGTCAGCCACTTCTCGTCTCTAGCCGTGAACTTGGCATCATAGAACCTAGGGTGTGCGACGAGCTGATTGTAAACGTCGGAGAAATGGATAGGGTCGATATTCGGCTTGCGCCCATCTCCTTCCTCGGGCTCGCAAAAGTCAAACGCCAAGATGATGCGGGTGAGAATGGCACAAATGAGCCGGTTACTAATGGCAACAGCTGGACAGATGCGCACGCCGGCGCCAAAGGTGAGGTGCGGCAAGGGATTGTCGTTGCCGACGAAGCGGTCCGCCCGGTACTCCCAGGCATCGTCGCCAAAGTGTGCCTGGTCATGGTTGGCCTCCTGCGCATTCATGATAAAGGTGATGCCCTCGGGAAAAACGACGTTGCCGTAGCGGATCTCTCGGTTTGTCCGTCTGGGCGTCGCGTAGGGAGTAAAGGTGAATTGCCTCAGCGTCTCCTTGTTGATGCTCTGGATCAGTGGCACCTTTTCTTCACGAAAGCACATTTGCCAGGCTTGGTCGCGGTCGCCGCCGTAGGCTTCGAGAATGGCGTCGTATGCTTTTTGTTGCGTCGCGCGTCCCTCGGGACTGGCTAGCCACGCCAGGGACTGGTAAACACCCGAGGCGACGGTATCGGGGGCGGCCTGCAGAAGAGATAGACAGGTGCCATCAATCTCTTCGGGAGTCAAGCGATCTGCTCCCAGAGACGCAACTATGCAATCTACCGTCTCTCCTGACGCAACGCGATCGTGGAACTTTTGCATCAGGACGTCCCTGTGCTTGGACCTTCTTCTCTCCGCCTCGACCGTCTCGGAGTTGGATTCAGGGACCACACGGAGCAATGGGACAAAGTGTCGATAGTTCTGGGTAGACGACCGCACAGCCGAGATGTCATTGATGGCTTTGATGAAATTGATCATGAAATCATTGTCGACTTCGCCGAAGCGGGCGCCGTAGGTCAATGACAAGGCGAGATCAAACGAGATCATCCGAAGCCAGGCGTACGTGTCCAGAGCAACGGCGCCGTTTTTGCCCTTTTCGTAGACGTCGCGGACCAGCTTTACCGACGACGGCTCGACCAAGTGCCAATACTTGGGCCAGCTCATCTTGCCCAGCGCCCTCATTGCCGCGGCGCGGCACTTGCGGATCTGCTCCGTCATGGGCGAGCCCGTCAGGTCCACGCCCAGCTTCTCGACGAAGCCGGGCTGCGCGGGCCGGTGGATCATGGACTGCGACTGCCCGACCCAGAGGTCCTTGATGGCGGCAAAGTCGGACACGATTACGGTCCGCTGGTCGCCCAGGCGGCATTGGACAATGGGCGAGTTGAGCCTCTGGCACCACGCTGTGAAGACGGTGGCATCGTTCCTACCGGATCTGCCCCCGAGGAGGTGGAGGTGACCGATAAAGGGCAGGGCTCCGGGGACCTCTGGGACTCCCTTTACTCTGGAGAAGTTGCTGCGGTAGGATTCTCGCTGTATGACAATTAGTTTTCTTTTTATTCACCGAGACTTGAGATCATGCAAAGACGTACAATCAAGTATACCACGGCGAAAGTGATCAAGAGTGTTAAAACATTTTGCGAGGATAGAAGACCCTCCTTCAAATCAAATTCGATCCTGTGACTGGACGACATGATGAAGCATCATTGATTTCTATCATTTCCAATAATAATAATAATTCGAAAAGAGCGCGAGCTGTTTTTTATATATTGTTTCTTGCGATAAGCTACAGAAAATCCTAGAACGACAGGGGCTTACACCAGCATGATACCTGCATCCCACGGCGCCACTTGTTTTTACCATTCTCAAGGACCAGATTAGCAAGCATATCCCGCAACAAGATGTCCTTGTCCATCTGTATACTGTTGCCCCCAAGAGCTCACTTCTCTCACCAGGTAAACTCCCGGCCCAAGTGCTACTTACTCCCCACCAGATAAGGTCTCCCCTCTAGACTTCTCCACAAATACCTGACTATATGCGCCTCCATCGGCATCTGGACAAGATCCCGATACATGCTCAGATGGGGTACTACCCAATCATGTCATGGAATCAGATAAGCTCACTTTGAATATTGTACGGCGCTCATCCAATGCCTTTTTGCTATGCACGTAGGGCATGGAAACGAACCATTTACTTCCGTTCAAAAGAGGATCTTCAGCGGCTTCCGATATTGAATGCGGAAACTACTGCATATGCTCGGCCGGGTATAGTGGTCCGTAAATACTCTCGAATGATATCGCAAGACTCGGTATACGCCGGGGGACTGAAGACTTGAGTTGACATGATATCAAAAAATAAAAGCCGTTGCTACAATCAAGACTTTTGATTCTCGAACGCATCCTACGTACACCTGGACGTCCCAACATTCCATCTCATCGTCAAGGCCATCATGGCACCGCCCAAGCGTATTCAGCTATGTTTTCTCGAAACCGCCTGCACCGGGGGCTATATGGCTTCGGGCCAGTGGAAGTGAGATGGAACCCCCTCCAATTTTTCCTTTTTTGACTCCAATAAAAATTCCTGACAATTCTTTTGCAGACGCCCAGATGATGTCTCCTGCACCAAGGACACATTAAAGTACTACACGGACCTGGCCAAGCTGGCGGACCGGGGCAAGATCAGCGCCATCTTCTTTGCCGACTGGTACGCCGGCTTTGACGTGTACGGCGGCAGCCTGGACGCGTGCCTGCGGTCCGGCCACCAGGTCGCGCACCTGGACCCCTTGCCCATTGTCGCGGCCATGGCGGCCGTCACCGAGTCCGTCGCCCTGGCCGTGACCATGAGCACGAGCTACGCCAACCCCTACGTCTTGGCCCGGCAGTTTTCGACCCTCGATCACCTCACGGGCGGGCGCTGCGCGTGGAATATCGTCACGTCGTGGTCAAAGAGTGCGGCCAATGCATTGGGCTTCGATGATGTGGTTCAACACGACGAGCGGTACGAGGTGGCGGATGAGTACATGGATGTTGTCTACAAGTAAGTCAACTCTCCCCCCTTTGACCTTAAATTTGCAGTGCAACATGCTGAACAAACATGGTTCCTCTTGAAAAGACTGTGGGAGAGCTCGTGGGCACCCGACTCGATAGTCTGGGACAAGACCAACGGCCTCGCGTTCGACGCGTCAAAGATTCAAAAGATTGAGCACAAGGGCAAACACTTCCAAGTCAGCGGGCGCAACCAGGTGCACCCATCGCCGCAGCGAACGCCGGTCCTGTTCCAGGCGGGCACGTCGAAATCTGGCACTGCCTTTGCCAGCAAGCACGCCGAGGCCATATTCCTAAACACGGCGTCGGTCGCGCAGGCCAAGGACGTGGTGGCCAGGCTCCGCGCCCAGGCGGCCGCCAACGGCCGCGATCCGGCCTCTGTGAAATTCTTTCCCTGCATCGTGCCCACCATCGGACGCACCGAGGCCGAGGCGCGGGCCAAGTACGAGGCGGCCCGGGCCCACGCGGATCCCGTGGCCGGGCTGGCGCAGTTCTCGGGCTACACGGGCATTGACTTCTCCCAGTTCCCGCTCGACGAGCCGCTGGACCTGAGCGACTCCAAGCAGGACCTGGCTATCCAGAGCGTCTTCAAGAGCTTTGCGGCGTCGGGCGAGGCGTGGACCCCGCGCAGTCTGGGCATGCAGATGGCCCTCGGCGGGCTGCACCCTTGCCCCGTCGGCAGTGTGGAGCAGGTCGCAGACGTGTTTGAGACTTGGATCCGGGAAGCCGATGTTGATGGCTTCAACGTGGCGAGCATCACCAACCCTTCGAGCTGGGAGGATGTGGTGGATTTGTTGCGGCCAGAGCTGGTTCGCCGAGGCTTGATGTGGGACGACTACGACGTCCCAGGTGGAACGTTTCGGGAGAATTTGCTTGGCCAAAAGACGCTGAGGAATGACCATTATGGATCCAATTTCAAGTGGCAATCTGAAAAAGTCAAGTCAAACGGTACCAACGGTGCGCATAGTCATGACGAAAAGGAAGCTGGCATCTCAACTAGTAGTTAAGAGCAGTCCATATAATATCAGCAGCAAGTATTTGCAAAGGTCCCGAAATGTCTGCACAAGGTTCTTTATTTCTATTTCGCCAAGCTCTACGATGGTACTTTCTCCTCTTGCTCCTTTGCTTTCTCAAGGCCTTCCTCGTAGGTGGGATAGTTGGTGTATCCATTCTCGCGAATCCCGTCCCACGATCCGTAGAATCTACTACGATCGTACTCGGACAGGGGCAGGCCCTTTTGTATCCTCTCGGGCAAGTCAGGGTTGCTTGTAAAGCATCTTGCAAAGACGACGCCATCGTAGCCCTTTTGCAGTGCCTCGCCGGCATTCTTCTCGTCCCAACCGCCACAGGAAATCACGGGAATGCCCTTGTTGGCCAGGATCTTTTTGAAGGGTTCATTGGAGACCTCGGGTAGACTCCAGGACTTGTAGAATCCGTCCTTTTCAGCTTCCGAGTCGATGCGGTCAAATCTCGGTTCAATAAAGTGTGCATAGGATAACTTTTCGGCAGAATACGTGTCTGCAAGTTGCTGACACAGGTAAGACCACGTCTCTACACGCTCTGCGCCGCGTGTATGTTGATAGAGGCCGGTGGGCTCCAGGCGGATACCGACATTGGAAGCGCCAATTGCTTCTGCAAGCGCCGCCGTAAGTTCCAGGACGAATCTGCTTCGCTTTTCTGGCGAGCCACCATACTCATCTGTCCGAGTGTTGATGTTGGAGTGCAAGAACTGATCCAACACTACAATGCGATTAGTATGCATCTCTCTCATATTTTCGAATGGGATGCTGCTTACAATTACCATTTCCACCATTGATCTCAATACCATCGAACCCGATCTCGATTGCCAATTTCGCAGCAGAAACAAAATCGCCAATGGTCTTCTTGATCTGCTCATGAGTCATGGCAATTGGAGGGTGGTCCTGGTAGGCAATCTTTTCTTTGGTGAACGGGGTTCTGAATGGGAACTTTTCATCAGTGTCCCATGGCGTAGCCGAGGAACTAAAGGGGCCAGCTCCTGAGAATTGTGGAATGGTCGCTCGTCCCGCGTGCCAGAGTTGAGCGTAGATGTAACCACCCTTTGCATGCACCGCCTCGACAACCTTTTTCCAGCCTGGGACCTGAGATTGATCAAACAAGCCGGGGACGTTGGGCATGCCGCTGGCCTCAATCGAAGGAGGGACACCTTCAGTGATCAAGAGGCCGCCCGGTGACGCTCGCTGTCCGTAGTACAGGGCGACGAGATCATCGGCCAGCCATGTTCGGTTTGGTGCCTCTGGTGTACCCGCAGCCAATGGTACACCTCTGTTCCGCGTCATGGGCGCCATGATGATGCGGTGTTTGAGCTCGATGCGCCCATTGGCGATCTTGAGCGGGGTGAATAGGCTCTCCGTGGCACTCATTGTGGTTGTTGAGTCTTTTTTTTCCTTCGTCAAAACCTCCTTGCAGCCGCAAAAACAAATACCAGGCTTAAATTTTTACAATTTGACTTATAAGAAGGTTTTGCTCTTTTGATGTTCAAGTTCTTAGTCTCACAACCATCGCAAGTTCCGACGGCACTATACGGAATACTAGACGGCTATCGCCATAACCGACTGCGATCGCATCATCCGATCCGCTATCGGGGACCCACCAAACGCCCGGCACCTTATCTCAGGCACAATAAGCACTTCAATTGGCAGCTGAATCGCCAGCAGTTGCCGAAAACCATGGGGAAAGGTCTTCATTAAACACTGGATCAAGTCCGTTTTGGCCGACTAAGCTGGACAGGCCGGCTTCGAATGTCTCCGTGGGGCTCATTGTTCCCGGAGATACCGCTGGGTCGGAAGCATGCGGTACGGTCATTTGGGTGGAGAGCATATCGAAGCCGAAGTCCCCAGTATTGCTGTCAAAGGGCTCAGAGGCTGGGTCCATGGATTGCATCACTCCTCCGCTCATTTCTGAAATGATTTGAGAGAATTGTTCGAAGCTGTCGTGGTCTACTCCAAAGGGCTGATTTGCTTCCCACGATTGGATCGATGGGGCCAGCTCTGCTACAAGCCCAGACATGGTCTGTCGTGGCTGGCGAGATGAACCGTCCGAGACTTGGTCTATGACACGTTGCCGGATCACCTCAAAGGCATTCCGGTATTTCTTGGCAGCTGGCACACGCTCCGCTACCACAAAGAGAACAATACTACAGTCATGTATGCCATTGGACGTGGTGATGTCGAAAATCTCATCTGGGGAAATCCAGATGCAGTAGACCAGGGTGAGTCCTGCCATGAATACAGTTTGTAATGCCATAATTGAATATCCGACCGACATGGCTTGATGTAGGCGTTTGTAGGCGCCGCAAACCCCAGCACAAGCTGTGGCGCACTCCTTGAGAAAGCGTGGATTGACGGGCGTTTTCGAAATCTGCGGATAGAGCAAGAGTCTCTTGCATTTGAAGAAGTAAACCATGTAAACGTCGTATCCATCAAAGGGCACCGCCTCTCGATCCTTCATTCTGCGCGCGTCTAACGGAATGAGGGACTTCCAGTGGTCGAGTCGTTTGAGAAATGCGTCAACAGTATGATCAGAAGTCTCTGGGGTTTCGTCTACTCGGTAAATCGACTGCTGAATGTCGGATTCCATCCGCCGAATCCTCACGATTTGGATGAACGAGGAGAGGGAAGTGCTGGTGATTGGTGCTGTGATCTGCGCAGAGAGTTCAGGTATATTGGCCAATTCCTCCTCGGTGATGGCCTCGTCTATGTCAAGCGGAAGCGGCACGTCAATGTCCCTGTCGGAAATTGCAAAAGGCCGGCCGAGTGGGATGGAAATTTGCCGGTCAAACGCGTACGCTGCCCAAAAGACTCGTTTCCTCAGCTCTGTGTCGATCGAAGGCCGTCTCATGGCAGCAGTCTTGCGATGTAGCCCCAGGTTTATCGCGACAAGCATCGCCATCCTTGCATAAGTCCACGCCCCGGGACCCACTGGGTTGCGCAAGCAGTATATGGCCATCAGCATGAGAGTCGAGACCGAACGTATATCATCATGGTCCAGCACCAGCCCCAGAGTAGTCAATGCAGATGCATAATGGCGTTTCGGGAAGAAGGCGCCGTGCTCGCCAGTTGTTTCCAGAAACCGGCCCGCACTAGCATAGACGAGATGCAAGATGGTTCGTTCAAAAATATTGGTCAAGAGTAGTCGTTTGTCGTGTAAGTCTCGAATCCACGGCGAGTAGACGACTGGAAATCGAGTTGCGATATGTTTCAAGTAACCTGTAAATAGACGATCGGGGACATCTTGATGCATGTCAACAAACTCGATAGGTTGTGTGTTGATCTCGTTTTCTGAATGATTGGCAGGCCTTGTAATTCCAGTTGCTCGACGGGTGTTGCGGGCGGATGCACCATGTGTTCCAAGAAAACCAAAGAGCTTGCCCATCGTGACGTGTGACGACCCTCCAATATAGCCTGTTCCATTTGCATCCATTGAGAGACTCCGTAGGACAGACACGACATTGTCCACGCCGTCCTGCCACTCGAGCTCTTGGTCGTCATTTTCCGTGTCTGGCGTGTTAGTCGTCGATTCCCCGGCAGCTTCTGCAAGCTGACCAGCTGGACTTGATCTCAAAGAATTCCAGTGATCGTTGTTGACATCTGACACACCCAGTTTCGTCAAGGCTGTCTCCAGTTCCGCCACCCGTCTTTCTAGCGACTTGATGTACTGATTCTTGCCGAAAGGCATGGGCTTCTGCGGGACGACATACTCGCAAGCCACATTCAAGGCCTGGCACTTGGAGCATGGATTGGCACCGTTGCATTTTTGCTTTCTTGTTTTACATCTTTGACAGGCTAGAGCAACTCGACTCCTCTTGCCGGGGCGAGGCTCTTCATCCTGGGGCACCGCGGAGGCCCATTCGGGCACATTTACTTTGACGCCAGGCGAGTCAGACATGGCTGATCGTGCCAAACGGTTGGCAAGACTGATGCCATCGCGATGGCTCCGAGGGACACGACCCTGTCACAGTGCTGTAGGCAGGGCTTTGATTTTATCGGAGTGGCTTATCGCACATGCGACTTGTCATGGGTATAATCCCAGCCAAGACAGTAGGCCATGATAAGAACCAACCTACCGGATGCTGGCCGCCGAGCTGCTGAGTGCAACAGGGGCCGCTGGGCCGTAGGCGAGTTCGTTACCCGATGGATCGTGGTGTTACTTGGTGCGTGCTTCCGCCGGTAGTCGGGATTCCGTTAGTGGGTAATATGACCAGAATGAAATTTACTAACTGTATTGGTAAGTGAGTTGGTTGCTGAGTGGGGCCGGCGAAGATCGTTTGCAAACATTTTGTCGATCCGGTTTCATCGCTCAAACTGGGGTCTGGTGTTTTGAGAAATCTCATAGAGCCATTTGTATTAATATTCACCTGGTGATATTCTTTCTCCCTCTTTCCCTTGGCGTTGTCAGGGACAAATCGAAGGGTCCGAGAGAGCACTCCAGCCTCGCTCCAGTATAACATCTCACAAAGTCTTTTTGTCGAGGCTTTTCTGAAATTTGTCGACCATGCCTCTGATCTTCAGAATCTCATCAACCTCGGTCCAAACCCACAATGCTACTGAAATGGCAAAAACTACCTTTTCAGTGGAAGACAGCAAAAAAACGGCCTCATTATAACGCAGATACCCGTAGCTGGTCAGGGCAATCCACTGCACTGCTCTCATGACCGTAGCGATCCAAGACATTGCCTTGGTAAAGCCAAGTCCGGTCCGCGACCTAGGAGCAGTATAGTAGAGCAGGAAGGTGATATCAGATGTTATATCCGTCGCCCCGGGACCCAATAGGACCATGAGCTCAAAGAAGCGTAGAGCTAGGTCAATGTGCATCGTGGGCTGATGTTGAAGGTAGAACCAGTAATAGCATGGTAGGCCCTGCAGGTACAAATGATGAGCGACGAGCTCGGCAGAGGAAGGCCGCTGGAGGATTTCAAAAATGTAGCTGATGGCTACAAAGTACAGAGTCTGAAACCGATAATCCAAAGCAGGCCCACCATTGCACGTCGAGGAATGATCACAGAAAAGCGGTGAAGACAAGAGGACGTCGACAATGAGCAACATGACGATGGCCTTTAGAAGGATGACCGGCACAGCAATGGCCAATTGCTTTTGTCGGCGGTCTGGAAGGGATTTGACCCGTGGACTCAACCAAGGCAAGGCGAAGCCAGATATGGAGCCGACAACGTACATGGAGATGAGCTGCACCAGCACGCAAAGCAGGACACCATGGCGATCCAGAAAGATTGGCTGGAGGTATACCCGTATTGCTGTATAGTCTTCCATGATGTCGGTTGGTCTCTCGGCGTTCAAGATCTTGTTGTTGCAGGCAGGGTGTGTTTTTCCAGGCGGCAGCAGTACTTGTTGGAAGATACCATGTGTGCAATCCCGTCAATCGGCCGGTCAGTCGATGAAACCCGGCCACCTATGTGCACCCTTGTGCAATCACGATGGTCAGGTCCAGGCCATTCCAATCCCACCAAGCCCACCAACAGCACCTGAAAAATATACTGGGCCGCATTTGACGCCATTCTACTTTAAGCTGCATGTCGGAGCGCGGGAAGGCAGCTGCAAATCAATTCACGGGAATTAATACAGCCGGAGCAACGCCCTTGTGTGAAGGGTAGGTATAATCTCGTGTTGTCTGGCGCACTTGTCATATTATCTCTCTGGTCGAGTACGATAATTGTTTTCGTTGCCGCACATATTGACAGATTGCGCATCATCCTGAGGGTTACCTTTTCCTACTTTTAGCGTTCAGCGAGAACATTTTTCTCACGAAATACCTCTGGGTAATTTGACAGGGTTGAGTGGCCTGCCGTTCTTGGCGAAGCTTGATTCTGGAAGCGTATTGCCGTGAAAAGGAGCCGCTTGAGTCTCGATCATCCGTCGGCCGAGTTGAAATACCGATAGCAGCGAAACAGGTTTGGAAAAGAACAAGAGACGAAGAAGAAGAAGAATATAGGAAAAACCCGGATGAGCAAGAGAAATGCCCAAGACGTTCGCCCTCGCGACAAGTGGAACGAGCAGCAGAAAGAAACCACGCGTGGGTCATTTAAGCTTATGCTAGACTTTTTGTGTTTGTTTCCCAAGTCTCCGAAGCGACAGGCCGATTAGGGCGTTTTAGCGGGGTTTCGCTAGCACTAAAAATTGAATCAATGTCTCTGTTCCCCAGCCCTACCGAACAAGCGGGTTGGCGGGAATACAGCAAGAGCCAGTGAGCCAGGGCAGGTTCCACTGGAGGAGCAAGCAAAAACTCATATGACGTTTTCCCTCGTCACTTTCATTCCGAATGCAGGGTCAAAATGACCATCACAGATATGCGCATCTTGCAGGTAAAAACCCGGTAAGATTGACATGCACATAGTCACTGATTGTCAGGCATTACCTGCAAATGCTTGAACCCCGAGTCATTCATTCACCCCCATTGTCTGCGTTGTCTGTCAGCGGCCCTTTTTTTTCTTTCTTCTTCATGTCTGTTTCTTTTGGACCCGCCACGCCGACCGCGTGAGACCCTGAACTGGATTCTGCTTTTAATTCCGGCCGGACAGTTCGGAGGTTGGGTGCCGGCTCTACCGCTATTATCGCTCTTACCGGACTTTTCCAGGCGGACGGTCTCTCCCAATGGTTTCATTGTTTGCTTATGCTCCAATGGGTGTTTGTCATGATGGAAAGCTAAACAGCCATACGCCATTGTGAGACTACCCAAAATCAATTGACCGGAAACTGGGGTGAAACAATCAGCCGAAAAATCACAAGCTTTTTTTCTTTTTTTTTTTTCCTCTTTCAATGCCGTTCCCCCATCTCCGAGTTCGGTATGAACCGCTCCATAGCTTTGGGGGATCTTCACCTTTTCACTGATCAGCAGGAGCCGATTTTTTCTCTCTCAAGGCTCTGCTGATATAATCTGTCTGTTTTTTCTTTTTCTTTTTGGGACACCTTTTCCGCAATCCCCTGCCTTTAATGCCGGGTTTCGTAACGAAGAAGAAAGAAAGGGTGGGTTACTCTTGGGAAATGAAAGCATACTACAACCAATGAGTCACAGATGCTGCAAGAAGCTCGCTTCTGTCTCGGGTCACAAATTGACAGCGAATGGGCCGTTTGTCAGCGCCGGGAAAAGGCTATCATTCGCTACAAGGTACTGATTTCCGCGTCATCCGGAAACAAGGCGTTTGCCCTAGTTCCAACTCAAGCACATCATCAGATGATCTCACGCATATGTCCCAATTTGTATCATGTATCGACGTTTCCTGTCTTGTAGGTAGTAGACCATGTCGTAGCGAGCTTCCATGTTCATATGTTGTTTCCCAGCCTCTAACTCTCCCTTTCCTTCCCTCCCCCGTCTCCCTTTTTTATTCTTCGTGTAACACAATAAAAGGATAACGCCCATCCTTTTCTGACTGAGATTTACTCCAACCGCCACAAAGCTTAAAAAGTTTCAAGACTCGTCCCCCCAAACAACATACATACATACATCATAGAGGACAAGAGACCTTTCGCCTCCAACTTTTTCATTTTAGCTTATACCCAATGGCGACGGCTACAGTTCACCCTCCCCATCAGGGCATGCCAAACCTGCCCTCACAACCCATGGGAGAAACCTCCCCGCGTTCGAGTAATACCAGTGCCAGCAATGAGAAGATAGACATTGCTGCCACTGCTACTACTCCTGCCTCGCGCAAATGGTTCTTCAAGCATCACGATAATGCCTTTACTGTGGACCGATCTGCTTCCCCCAAGCGGAGGAAAACATTCTGGAAGTCGTTCAAGTATCTCAGGGACTTGACACCTCAACAAGTGAATGATTTCATGGCATCTTACGTTATCTACAACCTCGACTGGAACAATGAAGCCGAGATGATTCAAGCTCTCGGTCTCGACTACCAAAAAAAAGTCGGAGACTGCCTTAGGGCGTATTATGGTGTAATAAATCATCTGTAAGTGACTGAAGCGAAAATTCTACTCTCAAGACCCTTCCTCGATACTAATGTACACAAGATGTGCGCTTGGAGATGTCGAAAAGATGTACATCCCACCTCTTATGGATAAGCAGGCATCAGTCCTGGACAATCAGTTATTGAACGAGGAGGCCATTGCAAGGGAGATTGGACTCAAGGCTGGCGACAAGGTCCTTGATTTGGGATGCGGCCGAGGAAGAGTCGCCGCGCACATGGCCAAGTACAGTGGCGCCATTGTGACCGGTCTCAACATTGACCCGAATCAAATCGCACAGGCAAGAGAGTTCAACGCTAGCCTGGGTCTGCAAAACGAGTTTGTCGAGCACGACCAGAATGATCTGCCGCTTCCCTTTGCAGATGCCTCTTTTGATGCATTCTACGAGATCCAGGCGTTGAGTTTATGCAAGGACCCAAAGAAGCTGTTCAAGGAGATCTTCAGGGTTCTCAAGCCCGGATCCAAGTTCCTGCTAATGGACTGGGTGAGCTTGCCCGCCTACGATCCCACGAACGAGGAGCATGTCGAGCTCATGCGACGTGTTAAACCCCTCATTGGAGCCGTGGGTACTCCTACTCCGGACAGCTTCGAGGCCGCTCTCAAGGACGCTGGCTTCAAAGTCACCACATCCGACATTCCCAGCTTGGACGGCAAGCAAGCAGCACTGATTGACAAGGTGGACATTTACTTTCGTACCGTGCGGCAAATGATTCTCGGAGCTGTAGCCGTGAAGCTGCTGCCCGAGCACTTCAAGACCCTGATCAACCGGTTATGTCTAGACGGCCAGGCTTTTGTCAAGATGGACGCTATGCGGTTATGCACAACTGTATATCGTGTCGTGGCGGAAAAGCCTGCAGCTTGATTTCCTTTTACGTCGAGCGGGCAGGGAGATATGTAAGAACGGGGCGAACAAGGCAACATTGCATATGATTTTCTTCCAGTTTTTTTTAGTCTTTACCCCAGCACAGTACCTAGATTTGCATTTCACGAATTATACCTAATTGATCTTTTCAACACTGATGAGTTTGCAGATGCGGTGAAACTTTCATGCAGGCACCGAGTTACTATCATCAATTGACCATCTGCAAGATTGGAATGCGTATCGGTCAATCTTTTTGTGCCGCGGTACACAATTGGCCAGAATGACCAATGAATATTGTTTGCTATCTTGCTAACAGAAAATACTCCAGGCATGATGTACCTATTCTATTCTTTGTTGGAATGGTACATCTACACCGAAAAGGGCATCGCTTGCGGACATGCCTCTTTGAAGCTCCGACAACAAAGAAGGTGGCTAAAAGAGCATGTCGGTTGAAATTACCCACAAGCATGTATCTAGAGCCATCAAAGATGGTGAAGCAACCAAAAAGAATTACTGCAATTATAGGGTCAGGATGGAAAACGATGCAGACCTGGTATCGCCAAGATACGGCGTGGCCAAGCTCGCCAGCGTATTTGAAGAGCGCATGAACTCTCCCACCGAAGAGGTGACGAAAATAGATGCGCCGCGGCGACGAGCATCATCGCTGTACAGTCCAAAGACCATTGGGCCGCTGAAGGATGGCAGCAGCACGAGGCCGTCGCCACCGCCCCTTAGCCCTGGGCCTCCTCAGCTACCACCGCATGTCCGGCCGGGGTATAAACCTCCATCCTTGACTTCACCGGCCATCAAGCCCTCGCCACTGGCCAAAATCGTGCCTGGGTATGCTGATATAGGCATGCAGACAAGAGTACCGGAGAATACGAGCATCGCTATACAGACGATAGTACCTGAGGGTACAAATACGGGCACATGGCCAAGCACCGCAGAAGCTCTAGGTACAGACATGTCTACACAGACACAAGTGCCCGAGAACAAGAATACGCCAACGCAGATGGAAGTAGCCGAAGACAGATCCACGAGTACACAGACAGATTTATTCGAGAGTCCGGCTATAGCTACACAGACAGGTAGACCCGAGACTGGGTACATGGGCACGCAAACAATCGTACCTGAAAGTCTAAACACTGGCATGCAAACAAGCCCATTCGAGCCTACAGAAGTGGCCACACAGACTGAACCTTTTTCTCCAAGCTTGAAAACGATTTTCGCTCTCGGGCAATCGGCCCTGGAGAAACTTAAGCGACCCTCCTGGCCAATCTACGAAAAGGTCAAAAACAACAAAGAGGGAACTGTTGTGGATGATGCAGACTTGGACGACACATCAACATTGGTCGAGGAAGAATTGCCCGTACAACTTTTTGGAACAGGCGAGTTCTCTGACCCTATCCTCCGAGCTCTGCAACTCCAGGACAGCGTAGACGCGAGCCGAGTCGACAGCAAGATAGCAATCAAGGAAAGGCGCGATACCGGGCTTGCACTTTCAAGAGCGACCCAGCGTTGGCTTCGACAACACGAGCCAGGCCAGCGTCAGTGGCCAAGTAAAGATATGGATTCTCCTTGCGCTGTCTGCCATGCCACGCGTGAAGACGCTGCGCGATCAGTCTTGGACCGAAATCTGGGCTTTTGTAGTTCCCTGAACCTCAAGTACAATGACTCGGAGCAGTACGCGGTAAGCAACTCACTGTGTTTGGATATTTGCCTAAACAAGCAAACGGGTTAACATTTTCTAAAGTGGTCACTCGGTCATCGCTACGTCGTAGTCGAGAAGCAGTACTGGCGACTGCGATCCGACCAGCTCCCCGCCGAGGTCTGGGCGTCGCGGCTGCTGCGCAAGCACACCAAGGTCCCGACGCCGGCCGTCGCGGCCGCGTGGAAGGAGGGCCACGTCGCCATCACCATTACGGAGCGCGCCCGGGGTCGCCCGCTCGCCGAGCTCTGGGAGTCGTACTCGGGCACGCGCCGGCAGAGCGTCGCCAAGCAGATTGCGCGATGCGTGCGGCAGTGGCGTCGCATCACGTCGCCGGCCATGTCGGCGCTCGACGGGGGCCCCTGTCTCTGGGTTGATGATGCCGGGCAAGACGAGAGAACTATATTTTATAGCGATGCTGCGTATCGAGACTTTGTGCGCGGGAAATTGGTCTCGCGAGGGTGGGACAAACTGATGGCGCAAATGACGGTGGATCTGATGCCGACGTGTCAACCATTTGTATTCACCCATGGGAACCTGACCTTGGATAACATTTTTGTACACGAGGGCCGCGTCGTGGCCATCACTGGGCTTGGCCGAGCGGCGTACCTCCCATCCTGGGCCGAGTCGTTGGCCACGCACAATGTCTATGGCCAAGCAGAACGGGAATGGAAGGAAATCTTGTTTAGATATATCGGATCCGAAGGAGTCAAGACATACTACGATATTTACGAGGAGCTCTTGGGCGAGACGGACAACACTATTACAAAGAAAAAGACGGAAGCGATTCAACAGAAGCTTCGTGTGCTGCTTGCTGAAAAGACAGCCCGGGAAACTGCAGGATTAGAGCACAAGAATGTAGAGACATCGAAGAAGGAGGGCGCCGAGGTGGAATCACTAGAGCAGACTACAAAGGGCAAAGGTACCGAGGGGTCAGATAATGCCGACAAAGAGACAACCCGCAAGGACAAGAGAAGGAGCAAGCGACCCGCCAACATAGTCATCATGGCCAACGCCGGCACCCAGACGGAGCAAGGACCTAGGGATAAAATAATTGTTGGACTAACAGAAAGCGACAGACTATCGAAGAAACCCATCCCGAAACCTCGTCGCACGCTGGCCTTCCACGGGCTCCCCTTTTCGCCCCAGACGGTGAAGAATCGCAGCCGAGCATCCGTGTTCCACCCGGCCGGTGATACGCTGGCCAGTCAAGTCTACCCCGGCGGCTTCCATATCCTGGAGAAAAAGGACGAAATTGGAGAATACTGCGCAATACGGGCTATTTTCGACAGCCTAGTGGCCCAATTACCAGAACGGAAAGGAGCCATGTCGTTTCATGATCTCAAACTTCAATGGGATGAAGTCAAGCAAACAGCTGGCTTCGAAGAAAAACAAACGAGAAAACACCACTTTGTAGAGCGACTGGGAAAGACTTTGGGTCGGTGGGCCATGAACCGGCCGGATCCCATGGACCTATGCCTCGGCTGTATTCTTATTGATGGTCGAGAATGGATTGATGGGGGAGATGACGGAGTTCCTTGGAGTGATGCTGTTATTTGGATTACAACGGTCAATGCAGGGGGAAAGTTGTTCTTCAACAATGCAGACGATTTCCGTGGTCTAAGGCCAAGTCGGCGGAAGTTGTCAGATCCGTCATTATCCCCCACTTTCCAAGCTTCTCCAACTGTTTTGAACCACGTTGATAATTCAAATGATGGCATCGGAGAAGACCATAAAGTTGATAAAGGCACAGGCAGCAGTGAAGTGGGCAATAGTCAGGACGGACATAGGGCCAACACCGATGATAGTGCATCATGGAATCATGTGCGAAATGTCGTCTTCCAGATACTCGAGGTATAACATACCCAATCTAATTGGTACTCTAGTCCTTGCATTGATCTTGAATGTCATGAAGTGATCGTTGTCTTTATCATCAGAATCTAAAGAGCCACAAAGTACAGAACATGTCCATCTGGAAGCAAGCGGCAGCAGGCCTACATTACTCAATGTGTACCTATGTACTGGCCAGGCCAAGGCCACCTCCATCATTCCGAATCGTCCCTTTGGATTGTGACAATGTTCAGTGTTGCATCGTTATAACGTCGGTTTTTGACAGCAATCGAGGTGCCAGGCTTGATGACAAACATACCACCCCTTCCGAGACCATACTCCTTTTCAGAATCTTTTACTCGGACTTTGCCGGATGTATTGAAACAGATCCGCGTATGGGAATGCGAAATAGAGAATTGATGGGTGGTGCCTGGTTTGATTGACAAGTTATAGGCTCTTGTCTGGGAATTGATTCTGACTTCTGTACCATGTGTCATATACGCTGTAGAGTATATGAAATCTATCATGGTCAGATTCGTTCGTGGAGGATTAGAAGGAGAAACTTACTCTCTGTTTCAGGGCCCGATTCGTTGCGACCGCGCCCGGGAGCAATCTCCCATTCTGACATTTCTGAGGTAGAATCGGATTCATTTTGGTTCGCCGAGTTTGTGCGAGAGTCAGTATCAACGTCCTTTCCGGTTCTCTTGGAACGGCGCGGTGTTGGTGCCTCAATGCCCGAGTCCGAGGAAATTTCTTCAGCTGGAGTGACCGTCTTCTGCCCCTCTGATTGATTTGGATCTGATTCTTTGCGCCATTCGACAAGTCCACTACACCGAGACTGATTTCCCTTATAAAAGCAGTTCGCGCAAGAAGTCACATGTTTCCGGACTTGGAGGGGAGCATCCGGTGATATAACCACGCAGCCCGAAAATGGGCCACGGCCTTCCTTGCATTTTGTGCAAGGTTCAGGCGCGTCTACTCCCGTGATTTGAATAATGAGGGCCGAGATATCTTGGGTTTTGCGCTCAAAGTATACCGGTGCCTTGTGGTTGAACACGAGACTACGTTGTACTGAGAGAGGCAACAAGTATGGTACATAACCTGTCGAGGGGATTGGGGATGATGGAGTGTTTTGCAAATGAGGCCAGACCAGAGTATTCCATGTAGTCAAAGCTCTTGAATTGGCTGACTTGCCGGAGTGGTCAACTGTTGAGGGCTTTGCGAGCGAATTGAGCCCAACAACTTGCTTAGATCGTTTCTCTCGCCTGAGTGAGTTCTTGATAATTTTGCTGCTATTGTCTTTTTGAACTTGCACCTTTTTGCCATTTTTGGGTTGTGGCAAGGTCGGGTCTGGCATTGGGGGTTCATGTGAACTTGCTGGCCCCTTAGTGGTGACTATGGCAGGTGTTCGACCTTCTCCAGAATAGGAACGTATCTCAGAAAAGGTGCCATCTCTGTTATCATTCAATTCTACCGCTCTGTGTTTGGAGTTGAAATGACCACCTAGGCCTTCAAGCCGAGCAAACAAAAGTCTACAGGACCTTATTGGGCAGATCCAAGGCGTGGAGGGATCGTCGTAAAGTTGGTATTCCGAGGGCAGAACTACGCTAAAAGTGAGAACACGATAATCCAGACGAAAGGAAAGATACTTACGAGCTCCATAAGTCAGGATACTTCGACCATTGTCCACTGTCAAAGTCATGGTTAGTTTGCTTCCTCCACATATGGGGGTGATACCTACAGATCCATGTGTTGTATGGCCGTCCACCATCTGCTCGCAGCACGTGTCTGCTATGTGTGATTGACGATATATCAGACACCACCTCGAGGTTATCTTCACCGTTTGAAGTTTCAGCATACGGATTAGTTGATTCCAGGTCTGTCGTCGCTTGGTTGTCGTCTTCGTCGTTCAGATCACCCATGAGACTGTCATTCTCATGACTATCGTTCTCGTCTTCGTCGCTGTCTTCGTCCATCTCTTCATACTCTTCAGAGGAGTACATGTGGTTACTGGTGGCTTCCATTGCGTGGTGATGCGATTGGAAGCGCGTGGGATCACTCTGTCGGCGGTGCAAAAAAGAGGGTTCAAAGGCGGTTTCCCATTTGGCGGGTTGAATTGAGGACTTCTCAGGCTGCACCGCGGAGCCGGACTTGATTGGAGAATTGTTGAAAAGGCCAAAAGCCGGTGCCGAGTGACTAGATGAGTTTGAGGGTCCCGAGTTGATAGGCAGCTTTGGAGCCGGCACAGGTGTTTCCTTTGTCATATTTAAAACCATTGCGCCGGCATCTTCTGCTCGTTTGCGTTTCTTCCCTTGGTTGGCAGGGTCTAATATCACAATCAGCAATTTCATTATTGGGGATCAATATTGTGGTGAGACTCACCTCGTAGGATGCCCTCGATGCTAGTAGATGATTGTTTATTTCCGTTGTCGCTCGAGTCTCTAGGAAACATGGCACCGATGGCCCTCTTGATGAATCCCGATTCATTGGGGGGCGCCATGGCTGCAGCATTCGAGGCCGGGAAAGGCGCTTTGGATACGGTTGATGACGATGGGCCATTGATTGCCTTCAGCGATGGCGGAAAGACATTTGGTGTATGTTTTGCGAGTGCCTCGCCAGACACAATGGTCCCCGCCTTCTGTTCGTCCCTTCCACTTACAGGGTGAATAGCACCTGCACTACTGCCTCGAGTTGACGGGGACCGTTGTGGTTGCCTGTCCGCCGAGTTCCTTCTGATTGGAGGAGGTGAGACGACTCTGCCTCTTGAAACTAATGGTGACTTTCCATTGTCTTGCTTTTGACCGAGCTCTCTAATCAAAAGTTCACGCAAAACTGGCAGCAGTTTGGCATTGTCAATGGCGCGTCTGGTTATTTCGAATGGATAATCTTGTATTAATCCCCTTCGAAGTTCGCTCATTTGCACCAATGCCAATTGTGCAACTTCTGATAGTGTCCCGCTGAGCAATGCAGGCCTTAAGGCCCTTCCTGATCTGAAATCATCTTGGAAAATGCTGAGCAACTGCTGAAGCCCCTGCTTCTCGGGCGGCAACAGGTCGCTTGAGGTTCTCATGACAATAAGCTCTTACTCCTCGGCGCCAGAGATCGCAATTCTACTGCTGCTGGAGATCAGTGCATAGGAAAACGCGGATCGCTGTACCTTTTTGCAGGTTGAAAATTTGGGCTGTTGGGTGTGTTCCAACGACGACAACAACTACCCTGGAACGCGGTAACAATGCCAAGTTACAGATAGCCGAAAACAATTGAGACAAAGCACATTCGAATGTGCGATGAGAAGCAAGATCACTTTGGACGCTTGGCCATTCTCAAAACAATAATTACGAAGCCTCTGAATCCTTCATACTTTGGGATTCTGTCATGGCGTCGCGCTTTCACGACAGTTAATTCAGGCCATCTACCTGGGCTGCATCGCGTCTCCCTTTGGCAGGGCGTAGGGGGTGACGGGTTTGTCGTGTGCACAGGCCAATTGCAACAAAATCCAGTTGCTGTTTAGCGCAAGCCCCCCACACCCTCTGATTCTGGCGATTCAGCGACTGCGAAGGGCGATTGGCATGCAGCTGAGCTGAAAAAAGCAATCCTCGATGCGACAGAAAATATGCAGAGGTGCCTGGTGCGGCACCAGTCCAAGAGTCTTACCTAAATTCTTTATTGCATGTTGAAGGAAAATCCTTTTGGTGTTGCGAATAGGAGGGTACGCAACAAGACGGAGGAAACATGGCGTCCAACCACTAATAAACTGAATGGACAGAGGCTTGCGGGACTGACCTGCGGGACCTGCGGGACCCGGCAAATCCGCATTGCATCGAATTACGTCAACTATAATCTCGTTGCCAGGTGGAGGCTTTGTCATCAGCACAACTTCTTGCGAGTCGCGAATATGTAGAGTTGAGCGGTCTTGCGATTAGTCATCGGCATCGGACTTGCTCATTTGCTCCGTTTGAGCCACTAATGGATCAATCATCGTACTATCCGGCTGCTGAATAGCTCCGGCGACCAGAATGTCTTTGCACCGGCCCCGCCACAAGATGGTCTCGACGACCAGTGCGCTGACATATACGATGTGAAGTATATAGGGGCTGTATGAACGCAGCTTCTGTTGCATGTCTCATCCTATTATCTCTTTTTCAGGTTGCTCTTATTATTCTACGATTAAACTATCTCGAATCAAAATGCCCTCCTCGGACGCTACTGGAGCCGCCTTGTTTCTTGGCGAGGACGGCACTAGCCTAGAAGTGCTACGGAATGTGGCCAAGCCGCAACCAGATGAGGGAGAACTGCTGGTCGAGGTGCACTACTCGGGCATCAACCCAGCAGACCTAGCACACGCACAGCTCGGCATTACTTCAGTAGTTCTAGGCTACGACTTCATGGGCAAGGTGGTCCAGGCCGGACCCGACTCCAAATATGCCGTAGGAGATTTCGTCGCCGGGTATACACCCACCGGCATCGGTCGGCCGATGAAGTATGGTGCGCATCAACCATACCTTGCTGCACCCGAGGATACCGTCTTTCGTGTGCCGGAAAATCTGCCACATGCCCACGCTGCGACTCTTCCGGTCGTTGTCACAGTTGCCGCAGATGCACTGTATAATATCCTCGGACTTCCCTTCCCAGGGGAAACGCCGAGCCCGAATTTCAAGCCGGCACCACTGTTGATCTGGGGTGCATCCACAGGTGCCGGCATTGCCATAATCCAGCTCGCGCGCGCGAGTGGTGTAGAGACCATCTTTGTCACGGCATCACCGAAGCGGCACGGTCTCCTCAAGAGCTTGGGTGCTTCGGAATGCTTTGACTATGCGGACCCGGACGTCGTGTCCAAAATCCAAGCTGCTGCCGACCAAGGCACGGAAGGCCCAATCCTGTACGCCGTCGACGCCATCGGTGCACCCGGTGCTTCTGCCATGGTTGCTGATGCATCATCCGACAAGGCCAAGATGGCCTCGGTACGAGAACACAAGGACCCAAGATTTACATTGCCATTCTCGTCAAAATCCCGTGACATGGCTATCGAGCTACCAGGCATTGGCCGTATTATGATGCCAGCGCAGCCTCAACAGCAGGCCCAGTTATGGAGAGGCCTTCTTTGGGCAGTCGAGAACTACGGTTCCCGGTTCTCGATGCCATCGGTGGACATATTCGAGGGTACGGCTGAAGATGCCCTAGAAAAGGTCAAGATCGTGGCGGCCGGCGGAAACTTTGGCAAGATTGTGCTCAAGCACCCACTACAATAATTACGAGCCATTCTCTTCTTAGAAAAGAATAATACAAGAAATCAGATTAATCATAAATATGAACTTGGCAGCCAGAAGAAAAGAAGCCCGGGAACCATGATGCTGCTTTCAACGTCGTTGCTTGACATTTCTCGTACCTCGATGTAACACAGTCTAACGTGTATCAGACCTTGAAAATCAATTCCAGTCCCAGCCTTTTAGTAAGGAACTCTCGCCGAAACACTTCGCCAGAAATCACAGCGGAAACCGCGTCCGCCTTCCCAGGTTCTGGAGTTGACAAGGCGGAATCTGTTGACAATTCCGGGGCCTGTACGCTGATAAAACGTCAAGTTTGGAGTGACGACCACCTCGGTCAACTGGCCTCCTGTAGTATTCAGATTGATCATGGTTGGATTGATCAATCCATACTCGGGCCAGCCAATATTACCATAAGCACCAGGAGGGGCCGTCGCATTGGCATACCCAGCAGTCGCGTTCTGACGAGAAATGAGCGGCGAGTTGAACACGATAAAGTTGCCCAGAATCTTTTGAAACGCATATCGAAAGTCGAGATTGGGCACCGTGGCGCCGACGGCGAAGTAGGCCGTCAGGTCGTGGCCGTGGTACGCGGGCGTGACCGAGTACTGGTACTTCCAGGCCTGCAGCGCCCCCGGGGTAAAGGCCTCGGCCAGCCACTGCGCCGGGCAGTCGTAGACGGACTCGGCGCCAATGTCCAAGACGGCCTGCTGCAGGCCCGTCGCGAACTCGGACACGGTCAGGGCCGTGGGGCCAGAGTCGCCCAAGGTGTCGAAGCGGGTGCCATTGTCTCCTTGTTGGGCAAAGGCCGTCTGGTAAAAGGCGTTGAGACTAATGACATCGGCGGGGGTGAAGCGCGGATATGTCTTTGCGATGAAATCATTGTACTCGCTAAACGTGTCAACGTCGGGATTGGTGAGTGGGACACCTTCATTTGCATTGTTCTGGCCATTGTAAGCAGACGGGTAAGTTGATCTACTATGGAAGTTTACTCACCCCAACAAGAATGCGCTTTCCATTGACTTTGCCTGTCAAAAGCTGCTGCGAGGGGCGAGTTTGTATGTAACTACCGTCGACTACAGGCTGAAAGGCAAAGCTACCAAAATAGCCTCGCGTGGTAGACACGGTTCCACTGGCATTTTGCAGAACCAAGGTGTCTGCAGCGACCAGGCACGCAAATGTGCTGGCACCGTCCGCTGCGGAGGCGGCATTTCTACCGCATCCTACCAGATCGACAAAGGCCTGGTAGTTGCCCGTCGGTACCGGGTCGTTGTAGTTGTAGACCGGTGGTGTATACGGGCTAGCAGCAACTATCTGGATCACGATTAATAATTGTGTTTTGGTAGGGATACAAGTATGGCGCGCGCACATTATTGAAGACCTTGGCATCGTTTCCGCCATAGGCCAGGGCATGGAACATGACAGAACCGGCACCAGAAGACTCCCCGCCAATAGTGACACGAGTCGGATCACCGCCAAACTTGGTGATATACTTTTGTACCCAATCTAGCGCGAACCGCTGATCCAAAAGGCCGGCGTTGAGCACACCATTGTTCTTGATGTCGGGGGAGGAGAGATACCCGAAGGCGCCAAGCCGGTATTGGATCTCTACAAAGACAAAGCCATTGTCGTTGGTGTTCAGCCACACGCTCGGGTCATAGACAGCTCCAAACTTTGAGTAGCCGCCACCATCTGCAAACTCGATTAGTCAGACGCGAATGAGAAGCTGACGTGGGCTATTGACTCACGGATCCAGACCATTACAGGGAGCGAGGAGGCATTGGGGGAAGCATGGACATTCAGGTACAAGCAGTCTTCATCACCGTAACCAGAAGTGAATCCATAGACGGCGGGCAGTGCATAGCCTCCGGTCTGTGGACAGATTGGGGGCTGTTCGGTTGCGGGAATGACTGCACTGCGATTGGTCGGCGGGGGTCTCGGAGCTTGCCATCTGAGGTTTCCTACTGGAGGTGCGGCGTATCGAACACTGCACACAAGACATGTCAGATAACTTTGTGCTCGTGAGCTTATAGTCGAAGCGATATACTACCTTTTCCAAATATTCAGGTCATATGTGCTGTCATAGTAGCCCTGATATGTCGCATAGTCTAGGTTGACTTGCAGCGCGGCTAGGGCAACCGAGAACAGGGCTATGAAAACAGCCCGTGATGCTCTCTGCATTGTATGCTTTGTTTTGGAGGATCAGGTTGACGAGTTTGAGTATGATTGTCACTCTGAGGCATGTATACAAGACATCAGAAGCTGCCAATTTCAAAGTTGCGGGAATAGTTTTGTGGTTAAGTAGGTAGATACTGCAGCTCTCGTCTATTCCCAGGCCGTTTTCTTGGCACCATGATTTTTCTTATTCCTGGAAAAGTACAGGCAGAGGTGCACAAAAGCAAAAGACCGCTAATGCTGGTTTTCTGCACAATGACCACGATAATCCATGTTTTTCTGTTGAATTATTCATTTGAAAATCAAAATAGCATACGCATATTTTTGTTTAACTCGCATTCAATCAAAACCATGAACCTTTGGCTGACTTTCTCTCTGCGACAGCAGTGTCAACTCTGGTCATATTCGGTCGCAATAGACGGCGCCTATAGCCCCACAGCAGTAGCGACCATGTACTCATTGCAGTACGTCCTACGAGCATCCAAGTGTTCTATGGAGGTCTTTGATCCTTCGACTGATTATGAACAAGGTATACTCTGCCCTAGACATTTTATAACTGCCGAGGACTGTGCACTCGGCACAGCGATCACAGGGACATTTTGGCCAAGCTACCGTCCCCAACTCCACTGCGGCACGTTCCCAATTAGGATATGCGATTGTCATATATCTCCAGAGGAGCCTACCAAAACCTACGCCACACAAAGTATAAGACAGAAGATTGTCTCGGTAGATGACTCGCTCTTTTTTTTCTTTCTCCTGTTCTTCATGTCTCAACGCCGGACCCTTGAAGTCTCCGAAAAGTGCGCGGGCGCCAAACTCTGCTCGACATTTCTACGCCTACAACTGCCGGCCTTGATGGAATCGACTCGACCTTGATTGACAGCATGGACAAGCCAACACCTCTATTACGGACAACTAGACCTCCATTTGTGTTGTATTTGCATCTTGCTGCACTTTTGCGACAGGATACTGCTGGCGGCCATAAGCTCATAGTGGAAGCTAATTTCCCGCGACGACTGTCATCTGCTAGGCATATGCGCACCACTTTCTTTGGGTCGCCATCTGCCCAACAGGGTCCAAGACCCATGACCCAGGAGAAGGGCTTCCACGACAGACTGCCAAGAAGAGGCTTTTCGTATTCTTCTTCAGCAAACCTAGCGTCGCTGCTTAGATGATTGGCTCAATAAGAGATGGACGAAATCAATCGCCTCAATCTTAGGTAGATGCTGTACGAGACAGTATCTCACATCCTTCGACATGGCTGCACTTGACACATTGTGGGGTGACGGATATGGTTCCTCCGGGACCTCAATGACCACCCCTAGATCCTCTGGCGCTTGATCTCGATGTGCCGAAATATGCCCACTTTCGTGTGTTCTGGGCCGACGGCTGTCTCGCAAGGAGTGAGACATGGAGGGGGAGCCTGGCAGGGTGGCCAGAGAGGTGGGCAGAATCATCCAGTCAGCCCGACCTGTTCTCATCACCATGAACTCTGACTTTTGACAGGAACCGCAAAAAAAAAAAAAAAGAAAGAAAAAAGAAAAAGATGATCGTATATAGCCGTCTGCAGAGCCTGCAGGAGTACTAGACACACGGAAACATGGAACAATCATTGTGCATGAGAAGATCATGCTGTGGCGGCACACACAGCGTCAGACACCCCTCTGAACCAACAAAAAGAAATGGCACAGGAATACGATCCAGAGTATCTTGCAGAGTCGAGGGTCACGCTGGTGACGGTCTTCTACTCCATTCCCATTGTCCTCATGATTTTGAGCACAACACTTCGATTATGGGCCAAGTTGAGAACTGAGCCAAAAAGGCTCGCGTTTGATGATTACCTGATGATCTGGGCAACTGTAAGCAAGTACGACTGTCAATTTTTTGTTATAAAAATAACTCATAATTATTTTCAGGGAATTTCTGTTTCGTTTTGCATAATTGGACTTATATATGGTGAGATGGCCGCAAAAAGTTGTCTTCGTTTTGTGAAACTAACGGCATACCTTTGCAGGGCCCCCACAAGGTCTTGGTCGGCACATTGAGGCCATCACATCAGAAGATCTAAAAACCTTCATGATGGTACGTCAAATTACCCAAAATAGACCTTCTACAGAATTCTTAACTTGCAGCAAAAAGGGCGACTACATCTTTAGCCACCTCTACGATGTTGCCCTTGCCAGCACCAAGCTCTCGGTGCTCGCACTGTACTACCGCGTCTTTCCCGTGCAAGCGTTCCGCATCGTGGTCATCCTCACCGCCGTATTTGTCGTGCTCTGGATGATCACCATGGAGGTGGTGCTGGGGTTCGAGTGCCGGCCGATCCAGGCGTGGTGGCTGGCCGCCGAGGGCCAGTGCCTCAACCTCGTCGCCTTTGCCTACTTTACCAACATCACCAACCTGGTCTCGGACATGTGGATCTTTGCCATGCCCCTGCCCATCATCCTGAAGCTGCAGACCAATACCAACAAGAGGTTGACGCTCTGCTTTCTGTTTTCTGTTGGCTTGGGCGTGTGCTCCATCAGTGCTGCTCGGTTGAGGTTCGTCTTTGCCAATGCGTCAACAGATATCACTTGTAAGTTCTTGTCCCTAGGCATTACAAAGACAAATGCGGTCTTCAACATTCAATAGTGCTAATGCAATCCGGCAATAGGGGACGCAGTACCGATGGGTATCCTATCAGCTTGGGAACCTTGTGGAGGAATACTGTGCGCCAACCTGCCCATGGTATACGGTATGCTCAACCAGAGTATTCGCATGTCGAGGATACGTCACAGTACAGCGCATACAGACGCGTCTCAGTCTATTGCAGGGTCCTCGAGAGGGCGCGCATCCAAAGGCAGCTTCTCGCAGGGCTGGATTCATCTAAAAGACAGCTTCTCCAGTCACGACGAATTGGGGTTGAAGCGGCCTGAGAGGTCATATATATGGAAGATCAGTACGGGTACTAGCAGGTCGTCGACACAATAAAATTCATAGACACAAGACTCCGAGAATGGATCGCTTTGATTGATATCATCAAGATCTTTCAATCATGATTGACTATCACTTGACTTTTGTCGCATGTTCGTTAAATCTTACCGCATTGCAATTGACGAAAATGGGGTTTGTTAATCTCTTTAACCACAGTCTTTGATTATTTACTGCCAAGAAGAGACCCGAAAACCAGTTGAGTTCCCATTTGCGCCCGACATTCATGTAGTGGTCTGATCTAGGTACCTATCCAAAACTGGCTTGCGCCATGCGGTTGAATGAGTAAACTGCTGGGAGTGGTATATCAATGGTCTGTTTGATTCTCTGCGACGCGTCCTGCAATCCCATTTCCAGACCGGCATTAATTTCCGATCCATGTTCTTCCCCATCCCAATTCACAACCACCATTGTTCGAACTCATAGCGCCAGAGACCTTGGCTGAGGCTCCATGGTTTGTCCAGTTGACTGTAAGTCAGCTCCAAACCCATCACATACCCGAAGAGCATTGTCGAACCATTCCTGCACGGACGATACTGCAATTCGTCCGTCGACGGTCGGTCCGATGCTTTGCTCAAACCAGACGAAGAACATTGACGATCCTGCCAAGGTTGTGTCGGACATGTCGCTTCAGGTAATCGAATTCAATGGCGAGGTGACCGGCTCTCGAAATTTTTGGCAAGTCACGTACACGGATCTGGCTTGCGGGCGGAAGGGCATTAAAGTGACTGTCATCCATCGTGGCGAGGGAATATTATTTCGTGGCGGGCGTCGTGGAAATTCAGAGAATACAAGTAACCGAGAAACTTGTTAGTAGTGAATCGTCGTAAACGCATTTGAAATTGATCTGGGATGCAAGTAAATGGTGAATGGTGCATGTTCAAGGGGCGTGTTGATTAGGCTCGGGGGGGAAATAAACTTGATTGTGTTTCCTGGACGACCAGCTGGGACAAATCCAAATATGCAAGCGTGTAGTTTATCTAGAAGAAGGGACTATGGAGGGAGATTCCATCAAGGTGAGTATTTACGGTCGCGCCCAAAGTTTAGGTGTTGGTTTTTGGCAGCTGTAATCAACACATGGCTACTGGGGGGCCATATCTGCTGGCCAATCCCCGGGGCGCTCAAAGACATCCATCAGAAGTGGCCATCCATACATAGGTAGTAATGTAGGCTGTAACATGTTCATTTCTTATAGAATACCTACCGTCGCGTCAAGGTATAAAACTTTTCGTCGCCCACCCCTGCACACAAAGATCGGTTCACGCATTTCTTAGTCTACTCCGTCGTACGTAATTATTAATCTTTCATCATCCTACTTTCCCTCGACCATACTCATTCGTCCCCTTACCTTCTACTCACTGACATGTACGTAATTGGTGCCGCCCACGAATATTCTCATATCCGCCCACAACCACCCAACTTATACCCAATTTTCTCCGCCATCTTCAACAATTCATCTTCCAAGCATTTGGAATTAACCTCCGGGGATGTGGTCTAGTGGTATGACGTTTCCTTAGCATGCGATAAAAGCATGGAAAAGGTTCTGGGTTCGATTCCCAGCTTCTCCATAGTTTTGAGTATTTTTTGCAGTTCTTGGTGTCAAATCTTTGTTCTTCAAGTCTTTGTAGCAGTGTGTTTTATGACCTTGTATTAAACTTTTGTCTACTATATGTGATACCCGGCGCTCTTTTTGATATCTCTGCTTCGGGATCCGGTACCAATTATCATACATTGCATCTTCATTCTCCAAGCACGTTCTTTTGATAAACCCAAAAACTCGCTGTAAACATCATGGAACGCAGGGCTTGCTTATTCAAACGGTAATGACAAAGTTGGGCTCGCCGCGGTAGAACTGAGCCACGGAGCTGCCCTGGTCCTCGACGGGAAAGTCGGTGGAGGGCCACTCCTTGGAGCCGTCGACGACAGCGCTGGTGGCTGGGTCGGTGTAAAGAATGACCAAGAGGTACGGTCCGGGGCCGGTGGGTCCGGCCTGGATCTGACGCCACTGCCAGGTGACGGATGCATCGTCACAGGGGCGGTACGGAGTAATGTCCGGGAGGTGACCGACCGAGGTCTGGTCCGAGTACGAGCAGGTGGTGCTCAGAACGCCAGGGATCTCAATGTCATATGACATGCTATATATGGATTGTTAATGAAATGCCGAGTTTGATTGCGGAAGTTTTGCATAGACTTACAATGCCCCTGTGCCGTGAGGAATGGTGTTGGCACTGAAGTTGGTAATGTCAAACTCGGTAGCTTGGCGCTGCTCGAGAGGGGCGGCCGAAGCGGCAGACAGGAAAAGGGCGGAGATGGCTGCAAAAGTCTTCATCTTGATTGATTAAAGTCTATTTCGTATGAATATGTGGTGATTTGTTATAGCGAATGTTGAAAGATGGGTAATCCCGACTGTGGTTGTCTGTTTTGAATGTGCGAAAATGACTTGATGTGCAAATGAGTCGCTGTTTAAGGGCCTTTTTATAATCTGCCAGCAGAAGCCAACTTATATAGTTGGCACGACCCTACCTGTCATTGCAATAGCTCCTGTCACTTCCCGAGACCCAAGTGCTTTAGTTCCATTCGGCCCGGGATGCACTGCTTCAGGCAAAGAGGCTGACCAAGCCAAAGTGTAACGAAACATTTCTCTCGTAGGACTATGGGGGAAAACCAAGTGGATTGGATAGTGGTTACTAGGTGACGGATGAGCTCAGCCATACTGGGTGGTGGTGGTGGTGGTGGTGGCCAATCGACTTCCTAGTGCACATGATAGGTGACTTCCCTGGGCTCAGAGGCTTGCCAAGAAAAAAGGTGCTGACATCAGTCCAACACGAGGTTACCCGACGACGAGAGACCGCTTTGCTTTGCCGCTATTGCAGCTGCCAAATTCTGTGAAAAACATCGCGGTAGGGCGGCCTCTGATGCAGGAACACAAGACAAAAGGTCAAAGGTAGGCAAGGACAGGGCATAGTGATGGGGTGGCTAAAGATAGAAATTTTCCTCTTCTAGTCATAGGGGGTATAGCTGGGCCGGGCCTGAGTGGTGTGTTGTGGGCGATTTACGGGTATATGATCCATGGTGGTGTGCTTATTGTTGGAACCACCAATGTAACCTTACATTTGGGCGACAACCCGCTGCCTACTGCACTGCGTAGACCGGATTATGGAAAGAAGAAACGAGTTTTTCCACGCGGATCTAATGCTTGACGGGAAAGAAATGGTTGTGATGACGGAATACGAGCCAATTCATGGTCAGTAAGCGCAGACTGCGCAGTCTTAGCCCGGGGAGATCCCCCACATTCACTGCAAGCCAAAGGCTCGTACATGTGCAGCGCTAACGATGGAAGGATCACGAAGCTCCGCCATTGGTGAGTAATCGTGTACCAAGGCAAGTAGCCGGTCGACTACCATCGCCTAGTATCGCACCTAAAGTTTAGACAGACGCACAAGTGTTTAGATAGATGGGTGACAAAGATGCAAAAAAGGACGACGTCAAGCCTTGAAACTGCACCTTGGAAGAAACGTAGACTCTTGGAGGTGGTGGTGGTGAAAAGCTGGATTAGACAAGAAGTACTAGACGAACACTTATGTTGGGCCTTAACACGATAAACGCTGGCAATGTTCTGTCCTTTTACGCAGCACTACTAGGGACTATCTCCATCCTCCAACCATCATGCAATGGGATGGCAGATGCCGCTGACCGAAGCATGAAATCTACATCGACGCTACCGTGCAAAACAGATGAGAGCGCACAACGCCTAAAACTCCGGCTGCCAAGCAAGCAAGGGACTAACAAAAACGTCAGTACACGAAACAATAAAACAGGTCGCTGTTGTTGCGCAAAATATTTCGGTTCCAAACTCTACAAATCAAGCAGCCATGATACTTCTACCGCCATCAGCAGTAATACGGGCTCGAATGCGTACACGCAAAACCTCATGATCCAGTCTTCTTGGGGTCACAGTGACCGCCCCTTCTTGGTCTGTGCCACTCTTCTCCAAACCAACAAAGGCGCTTGGAGCGAAAATGAGAGCCTCTCCCGTTCGAAGTTTGACAATCTTGGACATCATCTCGAGGGCTGGATTTTGTGGGGCAATCGCAATGCCCTTGGCACCCTCAAATGAAATACCACCCGCGGCGCCATCTTTGTGACTGTCCTTTCTAGCCTGCTCGTCTCGAATGAGAACTTGAGAGGTCGTAGAAAGTCCAGCCAAGTGCCCCTTGAGCACCGAAAGCCAGTCTGGCGACTGGAATCGGTGAACAATAGTGATGCTGCATAGGTCAAGAAGCTTGGGAGAGATTGATGGTTCCTGTGTTGAGATGATGACCCGAAGAGCCAAGTGGCGTTGGAGGCGAATCGTAGACAGGAGCGAGTTAGTCAAGGTTTGGGCTTCTGGTGAGTCGCTCATGTACTTGTGTGCCTCGTCAAGAGCAGCAACCCGGCCAATAGATGGGCTCTTTTGCTCCAAAAAGAGGGAGAGACAAATGTTGAATAATGAACATGCCATCTCAGCGGTGACACATGGACATGATAGATCAACAATGGTCAATTGTCCCTTCTGTGTCTATTTGTCAGCAAAAGAGAATCAGGATATTTCCAGAATCTGAGTACAAACCTTTGGCGTCCAATCCGTGCCTCGAGAAGCAGCTTGCGAGTGTTTGGTCGGTTTCTTGACCATGAAGCTTTCGAGTGTCTCAAGGCGTTGATCAAGCGGAACCCTTTGCTGGTTCGTCAAATCTTCCTGGTCAATTATCTGTTTGAACTTCTTGTAGTTGAATGCACCGCCAGTGGCTTGCTGCTCAATGCGTAGGTCGCGGAGGACTCGTTGTATGACGTGAATGTACAGCGGCACTGTTCCGGCACCAACAGCCATCAGATCGAGCATTCGTTTCGTGTTAAGATCCTGCTCTTTCAGTCTCAGTTCCTCGACAGTCACGTTGGGTAGTCGACCATAGACGTTCTAACGGAGATTAGCCTAAAACACAACATTATATGTCGTTTGGCGTACCTTCATCATTCGGACATTCGTAGGTGCACACAGAATTCGCACTTTGACTCTTGGATCCGAAGACAAATGGGCTGCCTCGCACGGAGCTCCACTGAGATCTGAAAAGAACGTGTCATAGTGAAAGACGATACCTGTCAGCGGCCGAGGCAGAGAGCCAAGTTTGCTCGATGGAATGAGGCAATTTTCGAGGAGGGACGACAAAGTGTGACTCTTGCCCGAACCCTGGTTACCACAAATGAAGATACTTGACGGCGCCGTAACGTTGTAGAAAATTCCGGCATTGTCGTCTTGCTCATCACTTGCAATACTCGAATTGGCCCCCAATAGCGCGTATTGTGTGAAAGCTGGATCCCGAGACCCGGCAGTGAGAGATTTGGCATACTTCCATACAGGCTCGGTGAAAAGTGGAGAGTATCTGATTTCATTGAGAGCATCTTCATTTACAGGCCGTTTCAGGAGATCCGATTTATATCTGAGCGACTCGACAACCCTTGACTCTTCCTGTGGGGTGGTGGACGCGGCATCTACGTAGTCCTCGTCATCAGACTCGTCGTCGGAATCGGATGAATCTGATGTTGCCGTGTCAGAGTCAGTCGGAGCACGCCTCGAGCCACGGGCGTCCATTTCCATTGCCTCATCAATGAAATGCGACGACCGTGTCACTCGGGCGTTTGTGCGGTTGCTTGGTGGCTGGTCAACTTTCGCCTCCTTGGGAGCCACCTGTTTAGCACTCATCTTGGGGATCTTGCGCCCCAAAGAATCCTCCAATTCTTCATCCATGGGACCGGGTGGCTTCCAGTCTTTCAATTTTGCGAAGGGATTGGGTCTCGGAGTTGATGCTGCACCTGTTGACTTCGTCGGCTGCTTGTCGAACGCGAAAGAGAAAGTAGGCTGCTGGGGGTTGTTTGGCTTCAACACGGAGCTCAACGGCTCACCAGACTTTGTGGTGGTTGCCTTGCCCTGCCCATTTAATGTACTGGAGAGGTCGAGCTTGGAGAAGGAAAAGGTGAAGTCGCCACCAGTGGGAGCGTGCTGTTTGGGCAAATTATTGCCCACTTTGGGCCCGAATATATTGACGAAGCCACCATCTTGCTGGTTGGGTGACGTGTTCGAGTTGACGGTAGAAGGCGTGAATTTGAAGTCAAAAGGTGTTCCCTTGGGGTCTGTTGTCTGTGTTTTGTCCTCGGACGCATCGGACCACCTGGATGACGCCCCAGGCAAAGGGTCATTATCTCCTCCTGTTCCCTGGCTTGTCATGGTGTCTCATCGGCGGTGATTGTCTTGAGGGGATTGCAAATTTTCAAAGCACGCTGGGACTCCTCGGCCAAACCCTGACTCAAACAGTGAGAAAGACGGGATAAAAAATGCGGAGGAGAATTCCGAGCAGCTTATTCAATATTGGTCAATAAAGAGTGATCTTTGATGCCAAGCAAAAAGTGAGTGATTGTTGCCTAGGCTGCAACTATTGCCGACCTTCAACAAGCAGATTGAGGCAAAGAGACCCGCGCGGCTATTTTCCGCTCCACTGCCGCCAAGGTACCAGCGTTGCACATCCTCTAGCGCGTCCCTGTTGCCATTCCCCACGAAATCGACCAGGGGAAGGTTCAATAATGCCCCTCATTTTCGTATTCTTAGTGGGCTTATAGTGGACTGCAGCCCCGGAAGACCCTGAGATTAGTGACTACCAGGCAGCCCAATTCCCCCACGTTTACCAAGGAAAGGCCTGCCAAACAAGCGGGACGGGCTTGCTCATCGCACCATGGCCAACATTGAAGCTGTCACGATCCATCGAGTTCAATCATACAAAGCTAGGAAATTGGCGTCAATAACTGGGCAACTCGGCATCATGCACACTGATTCATCGCCGAATACGCTTGTTACAAAGGTTTGATATTGTCTTCCCGATAGATGATTCGCACGGCAAGCGCTCATCGCCGTCTTCTAGTCATTGGGTAGTAGACAATAATCGCGCCCGAATCGCTCGAGACGACCCTTGCGCCAGTATGAGAGTTTGTCATTCTCGTTCCGACTGAGGTAGCCTTGATTAAAGCAATGCGCATCTGACAAGAGTGTCTTTAGGTATTGAATGAAGGTTTTCGAAGGACCGATCTAGGAAAGTTGTACTCCAGCATGTGCTCGCGACCTTGACACATGCGGATGCTTAAGACATTGTGGTATCTTTTCTCCCATCCCGGAAGCGGCAGCTGGACTTGAAATCATATATCCTAAGACACGGGTCCGGTCTACCAGTCAGCCTCTGGCGGGTTTCCGGATTAATAACTAATATCTTACCTATCAATTGTCTGGGGTCCCGATCGTCGGATGAGGAGTGTCTCCGCAATGTGTTTCTGTCCTTGCGTGGCACAGAGCCAGGGTTCACATTTGGATAGCCAACCAGATCTCATTCGATATATCTGCGAGTCCACACCGTTCGTCCCATGACTTACCTATTCTGCCGGAAGAGCCCTTGCATCCAATCCGTTCGGGGAAGAGGTGTACAGAGTAGGACCCGGGCTCACTGACAACGGTAAATGAATGGGTTCATTCGGTCACCGGTTTTACCGCCAAAATACCTAGGTGCATTTCCCCGCATTCCACGATATATTGAATCTCGACCGCAAATTGTACCTTGGCCTTTTCTAATCCTCATCGCGTTCCTAGGGGTTGTCAATTATTCGTTTGGAACAGAGCGTCGCGCCCAAGTAAACAAGCAAAATGGCGGACGAGAAGCCCATCGCAGAAGTCGAACAGGGGCTTCCCACGGACTCGAAGCACCAAGATGATCACCCTCACAAGAAGGTACGTGGTACAAATCAAATCTCCAATGAAATGCTGCTAATCATCACAGGCCGTGACAAGCACAATACTCGCCTCTAGTGCCGAGGAGCGTGCCTTGCTATTCAAGCAGGATATGAGGTCAGCGATATTTTTATGCCCGGCATCACCATTTGCTAACAAAATCGAAGGATCATTCCTTTGTCGGCTGCAATCTACTTTCTATGCAATCTAGACCGCTCAAACATTGGCAACGCGAGAATCTTGAATTCCACCTACAAAAATGACATGCAGACAGAGCTGCATATGACGCCAGTGCAGTTCAATATTGCATTGATGATATTTCTCATTGGCTATTTTGTAAGTGTGGCTTCTTCCAATGGTAGCAAAGAAACACAGTTATGCTCATCCGTAGTAGGCATTCGAGGTTCCATCCAATATAATGCTCAAGAAGCTGCGACCATCACGATGGATTGCATTTCTGATGCTCTCGTGGGGCGCCATCACCATTGGCCTCGGTGGGACACACACTTTCAGCCAGGTGACCGGAGTACGATTCCTGCTTGGTGCATTTGAGGCTGGTCTGTTCCCAGGACTGGTCTATTATCTCACTTTTTGGTACAAGAGCAACGAGAGAAGTGTCCGGGTCGCCTTCATCTTGGCCAGTGCGACTCTGGCGGGCGCGTTTGGCGGCGCGATTGCCTACGGCATCGGCCACATCAATCAGGCAGGGGGTCTTTCGGGGTGGAGATGGCTCTTCATCATTGAGGGAATTCCTTCATGTTTGTCCGCGGTCGCGGTCTACTTTATCCTGCCCGACTTTCCCGAAACCGCAAGCTGGCTCTCTCAGGAGGAACGAGATCTGGCCACGCGGCGGCTCCTCGTTGAAGGCAGCAAAGGCGACGGCCACAGTATCACATGGGCAGACGCAAAAGCGACCCTCACGGACTGGCGTCTGTATGGTCACTACCTCATCTACTTTGCCGTGTCTCTCCCGTTCAGCTCTTTGTCGCTTTTTACACCATCCATTACTGCCGGTCTGGGCTACAAAGACCTCCAAGCGCAGCTGATGACAGTTCCTCCCTGGGCAGTAGCTTATGGTAAGTGATGGATTGTATCGCTTTCTAAACATCTCGTTTTAACATTTCGCAGTTGTTCAAGTCCTCGTTGCCTGGTCTGCCGACCATTTCAATGCGCGCGGCCTTCACTGCGCTGGAGCAGCATTTGCGGGTGCGATCGGATTCTTGGCTTCGGCTGCGGCACCCCCGGATGCATACCGTGGACGGTATGCCTGCCTCATCATCGGCACTTCGGGCGCCTTTTCGTCGATTCCCCCCATGCTCGGATGGCTGACCTCGAACATGTGGGACACGGCCGCGACAGGACTTGCCGTTGCACTAAACGTCAGTATCGGCGCCGGTATAGGTCAGATTCCTGGCGTTTGGATCTACAAGTCTGATGAAGCCAGCCGCGGCTATCCTACTGGCCATGGCGTCAATTGTGCCATGCTGTTTGTGGTGGCCATTGGTGCGGTATTGTTGCGTATTTACTATGGTCGAAAGAATAAGCAGATCATTCGGCATGCCAACGGCGAAGAGGAACCTAGGCTGTACAAACTCTAACATGTGGAAGAATCTTGAGGCGGCACAGGGTGAGAAATACAGTTACTGGACACATGTCTCCTGTTCAATTCAATCGAGCGTCGGATGCCAGGTCGTATATCGTATGCAGGAATCTACCAAAACAAGTAAAAGAACTAAATGTTCACGAACGGTGTTGACAAATCAGTTCCCAAGTATTTCAAATATTGAAAAGCTCATGGCTGGTAGATTGCGACGGCAATTGACGAAATGCATGCCTAATCCAAAAGACCAAGCTTGTGATATAAGGGATCTGAACATTTGTAGGACCAGAACAATGGACCTTCATTCTGATGTCACTGTACACTTTATGCTGGTTATCATGGGCCATATCGACTGTCCGGAAAGCATACAAATCTTTTATTTCCATGTTATCGGATTTGATTATGTCGCCTTGCATAAGCCCGATGTTGCATTCGCGGTAGTGCAAAAGCCCCCTCCAATTACCTGGCGCGCCGGGTGTGGATCATTATTTATAAAATGGTTGTTTTAAGCATTACCACGTTGCCGAACCGTCGCTTTTCCTACTCGATTGGGGAGGTTGACTTGCTCACGACGAATCAGCAATGGCGATCGGCTACAACTCTATAGCAAATTGAGCCCACCAGAGATAGGACGGTATTTCCCCATCTAATACTCAATGCCCTCCCCCTTGAGACCAAATTCGGGGGGCCTTATCTTGGCAGCATGGAATAGAGGGACCGACAGCCGAAAGGGGTTTGCAGGTCGCCTTGCTTCTTATCAACATCCGAATGTTTCATCCCATGTGCAAAAGGCCTCTGAGATCAGATGCAGTGACGACAAATGGGGGGCGTTTTTCGGACGATAATATCAAGGCTCTCGGCCGCTCGGCCGGCACTCTTGCTTATTGGTTGCCCGCCATGATTTTTTTCGTCATGGTGCAACAACCATCATAATGTTCAACACCATCTTTCTGTCCTCCTTTGTGGTTCTTCTCATTGCCGTCGGTCGCGTTCTGGGCTCTACCAGCCTGGTGGATCTCTGCAAGGACAATGTCGATGCCGTCAAACTGGCCCTGGCTGGCACCCTGCCCGCCAATGCTTCCATTGAGAATCTCAGCTACATCAAACAAGGAGATACGTATGGAGAAGGTTGGCATGACCTAATGTACCCGATTCAACCGACCGATCTTCCCGAGTCCTGTGCCGTCACAGTCTACGTCCAGTCCTCCGATGTATCATGGTACAGATATGGTCTTTTTCTACCCGTGAATTGGAATCAGCGGTTCCTCGCCGTCGGCAACGGGGGCTTTGGAGGTGGTATCAATTGGCTTGACATGGGAAGCTTCATGAAGTACGGCTTTGCCGTGGTGTCGACGGACACGGGGCACAACTCGACAACGGGAGATGGCCGGTGGGCTTTTTGGGCACCGGAGCGGCTGACGGACTGGGGATGGCGAGCCTTGAATGGTTCCATTGGCGCCGCAAAACAGCTTACCGAGAGATACTATGGAACTCAGATTGCCTACTCATACTACAACGGCTGTTCTACGGGAGGAAGACAAGGTCTAAAGCAAATCGAGATTGATCCTGATACTTTTGACGGACTTGTCATCGGAGCTCCGGGCTGGGACTCGAAAAGTCTCAACCCATGGATAACACGAGTTGGGATCTACAACCTCCCTGAGACGGCGCCGTATCATATTCCTTGGCGTTTATTCTCGCCCATGGCAGACCTGGTCATGGAACAATGCGACGAGCTGGACGGCGTCAAGGACGGCATCATCAGTCTGCCCGACGCTTGTGTTCCGGACTATTCCAAGATGTTGTGCAGTGTTCCCGGCATAGACCAGTCGGCCTGTCTGACGGACGCGCAAGCTCAGGTACCGGCCAAGGTCTATGGGGACTACCTCGGGTCAGACGGGGAGCTATTGTATCCAGGGCTTTCGCCGGGCTGCGAGGGTCAGTGGCAAGCCGTGCTCAGTTTTGCGCGCACGAGCACGTTTGGAAACCACTATATCCGCTTCTTTCTCCTCGGGAACTGGTTTTGGAATTACACTGACTGGGATGACAATATTTTCTCGCTGGCCGCCACTTTTGATCCTGGTCAGGCGACTGCCGACAATTATGACCTTTCAACGTTTCGGGATCTAGGCCACAAGATTGTCATGTATCACGGACTGAGCGACGGTCTCATACCACCGAGGGGGTCTGATTGGTACTACCAACAGGTGAACAACGCCACGAGTGGCAATCCACCGATCACGGATTGGTTCCGCTACTTTCAAGTGCCTAGCATGCACCACTGCTGGAGCACGCAGACATCGGCCAATGGGCCGTGGAACTTTGGCGGCGAGTTCCAATCGACGCACCTCGGCAGTGACCAGTGGTCGGTTCCGGGGTTTAGGGACAAACGTCATGACATACTAATGGCGCTCATGGACTGGGTTGAGAACGGCAACCCGGTAGACTCGGTCATTGCCACGACCTGGAACGAGCCGCTGGATCCCACGTCTGGGCTAAAGAGCCAGCGGCCACTTTGCCCATATCCGCAAGTGGCAGTGTATGACGGCGTCGGGGACGTGGATCAGGCGGCGAGCTGGGAGTGCGGGTAAGTTGTTCGATTGGAAGCAATCTCCTGCACACGCACTGATACGACAAACAGAGCACGGCCATCTCCCGAGGTAGTCGCGAAGAGAAAGATTACCAGTATCGGTGCATCCTCGTCTAGTGGTCTCAAATCCACGACTTCTTGGTTGGAAAAGAAGTGGAATATTCCTGAGATGATCAGACGGGGCTTGGGCTTCTGGCGTTGACCTGAGCATATCACGATTCATATTCAAACGCTATAGATGTTGATTAGATCAGTGCTCACGACACAGAGTTGCGCTTTATCTGTTCTTGCAATTCAGCACCTGATGAGAATTCCTGGAGTTTTACATATCTCAAATATGAAGCCTTCCAAGGAACCTGTGATTTCAAACGATTCAGTCTGAGTAAGTATGTATTGACAAGAATACAGCTGGAGGCTCGAATCATGGCCGCTGAGTAGATGATAACATCGGATCGTATATCGCTGTCGCAACACACGCAATAGACACTATATGAAGACAAGACCACTGCTACCACAACTTTGTCTTATAAGGCCAAGGCTTATCGTCCACAGCATGTATGTACTAACTTTTAAGAGTTCCCTGAAGTCGAGGGTCGGAATATTTTCTGGTTCTGGGCCGGAGCGCCGGAGCTTCAACTGCGGGCTGCCCGCCCCACCTGGGGCCGGGGCTGGACTCTTGCTGCGGTGCAGCATCAGGGCAGAAAGCCCAAGCTCGATATACGGCATAGAGTGGACCTCTCTTTCGCTGCATACTACCTGGTAGTAACGGCGTCTTGCCAAGCTACCACCGATGTTAATAATGATTTGATGTCCAGGCTTGGAAAGGGTCAATTTTATCAGCGGGCGCTGGGCCAGCTTGTTCATGACTGAGCATGACCGAAGGCCCCAAAACACCAAACATTTTTTTTTTTTATCATGGTGGATGGCATCTGGACGTCGGCGACAGCCGTGCATGTGCTCAGCACCGACGACGGCCTGGCGGAGTTTGACGAAGCCTTCGTCGACCCCGCCAAACGCGCCCTTCTGCGTGATATCAAGTTTGAAGTAGTGTTGCCCGAGATTAGCATCAAGAGGCTCAAGAAGGTGCAGAGTAATGCCGAGGCCGCCGCCAATGACGCCGCCTTCACCCGCGCCATCTCCGACTTCCTGGGCAGACTGGCCAGATGGGAGGCTCGCGATGACGGCGCCAGCCTTAGTCTGACCATCACGGCCGAGTCGCCCACTCACAAGAAGAGGAAAGAGTTGGTGGAAAACGGGACGCTAACCAACTCACACAATTCGTTTGGCCCGTCCATCTGGGAAATCAGAAATATGGACCGTATGCTCCGCTTTGAAGCCGGCAACCCTCCGCAACTGCCAGAAGTGCCGTGCATCACCAAGCTCTGCTGTGTTGAATACCTCTGCCCCCGGAGCCTGCACCCTGGCGTTCAGGTAGCCATCTCCAACGCCTGCGTGGCTGCGAGCGTCGTCGAGTGGGATCTGTGTTTGCCGGGGCGCCGTACCATGCCGGCGCGCGTCCGGGAGCGGGCAGCCCTCGCACAGGCCTTGCGAGACGCGAAGCTTGCCAATGTCACAGAGCTCATGCTTACCCTGAACGACAACGACCCCATGAACGAGGCATTTGAGCTAGACAGCCTCCTGGAGCAGCACGACGACCTCGACAGCCTCAGCCTGGGCGTGCGGCACATTGCACAGCTTCCGATGCTTCGCAAGCTGGAACTGAGAGGTACCTGGATCTTATCCCCCGTCGCATTTGGCCCTCATCCGGAACTGCCGGATGTGCACTGCTCTTTGCTGGAGGAGATCGTGGTCGATGTCTCCATGTGTACCCCGGACGGAAGGTATTTAATGATGGGTGATCCAGAAGACGCAGGTGAGGACGATGGTTACTATGAGTCTGGCGAAGAGCCGCCCCCAGCTCCCTTTGATTCGGACGACTCGGACACGTCGGACTGGGCGCCTGAATTCGCATGGGGCAAGGAAGAAGGCGATATTCCGGTAGTCATGTTCCGTACGACGCCCAACGATGAGACCTTTGTCCCCATCTGGAAATCCTTTGCCAGGGCTGCCAGGTGCTCCATGCCGAAGCTGCGGAACATGACCATCAATTTTGGGACTGGGGCTAGCCACGCACCCTCCGAGGCACAGTATTACACCGCCGGCGCGCCGGCCACTTATTTTGACTCTTACCCAAGCTGCACGGAATTCAGTAGAGAGCACGCGCGGGAACCGCGATGGTATTTTACATCCCACGAGGACTTTGACAAGTCATGGCGGCCGCCTCAGGGGCTGAGGGACGAGCTCGAGGGCCCCGACGAGGATGGGAGAAAGCGGCATGTTTATTGGTGGGTGAAAATGGAGAGGATCGAAATATAGCAGTTGTAGTAAGAGGTCTAGTGGATGCGCCGAGATTTGTCGTCGATTATTTGCATTGTGCGAAGCACTATCAAGACCTGTTCTGAGTCAATATTGGAATTAGCTGTCTCGTAACATGACATCAATCTTTGCAGTCTACATCAGATTGGCCAGAATAATATCGGTGTCGTGCGTCTATTCTTTGGCGCTTAGTTTGTGCGGTAATATGTGTCTATATGCAACACGTTTGACGCTGCGAGAGAAGTCACCCAGCGACGCCCATTGTGAAAGAGAATGTCAACTACATTGTACAGGTATTCTCCCAATACGGACCGAACAGAGTTGGAAAAACGGGGCCGGTAAGGCAGTTTTGCTCGATTCGTTATGACTTTGGGCGTGCAATGACCATGGGTGAGGAAGGGCAAATGTTCTTGGTGAGTCTGAGGTACATTGGGAATTGAGACCGGATACACAACGGTGACCAAAGGGAGGAGTCAACCTGCAAGGCGCATGATTTGATCACGTCTATTGCAACTGGAAAATACTTTGGTGCGGCTTTGGACCCATATGGGCCAATCGTGTCAACGACGCTTCCTACCGGCAGTTGTTCAGATCATTGAAGCTGCATCATGTAGACTTATTTGCATATGATCTGATCTACCCACAGCGCCTTGGAGATTGAATCTCGGATTGATCCGTGATCTAGAAAACCTCAAAACGGAAAGTGTGAGAATTCTCACCCATGCATGCACAATTTGTCAGGCAAATGTCGAAGGCTTCCTCTATCAAATGCTGGCGCCATGAAATGTTGCATCTTCACTTGCTATTTGTCAGAGACAGAGTATTGCTGGCGCCAGCTCGCAAGCAAGGACAAGCATTGCCCCTGGAACAGCTCAACAAGTGGATATTATTTCTGCCTGCCGTTGTGTGCGAGGTAAGCGCACCAGTAAGTGCCAGCCGCGCCAGCGGCCGATCTGCCATTTGCCATGGAGTGCTAAAGCGGTACTTTGAATGCTTATCCTGTCGTGTGGCGCATCCTCTAGAACTGATCCGTATTAAGCTTGTCAGCATTATATGGGGATTCTGCAGCGCTCGGGTCCTGCGCACCAAGCCATTTATGGTTACTTGCGGTAAAGTAAACAGGGGTAAATCATTTACAAGGGTCCACTGCTCTTCCTTTCCTCACTCTGCTGCCCTCTCAGCTGCTCAACGCTGTCCAACGTGTCACCTATTGGCGGTTGTGCGAGACAAGAGAGACAGTGGAGGGAGAAAAGATCTGCTCTGGAAACTTTTAAGCTTGAACTAGTAGCCATGGTACCGGTAATATCATAGCCGAATGCAGGTAGGGATCAAGGAGCCAGAGAGGTTGTGTCTGGTCCAGTCTGTCGTCTTGGTCTTTAATTTCATTCCCCATGGCCATGCGTCACTTTGAATCCTTCGAATCCTCTTTTTCCTCACACATTGAAACTACTCCAACAAAGCGGCAAAACAAGAAGAGTCCGTGATATTTCAGACAAGAGATTGGATTGCGCATCAGAAACAAAGTGTGTACTCATTCAAACTGAGCGGTGGTAGTACGTAAAAGGCGACATGGCTCACCATAACGCCAACGAGCAACCGGGCCTCGAGGTGCATGAACAAGCCGGGCTTGAGGTGGTATCGGAACCGGAGGCGCCACATGTTGTAAATGGACCGACAATATTCGGAAAGCCAGTTGATCAAACACCACAAAATCACCAAAATTATACACAATACGGGGCCGGAGCAGCAGCATCACCTTACCATGAATACCCACAATATCCTCAGTCGCCGCCGTACGCAAATTCGCCAGTGCATCCACCACAATCACAATGGGCGCCGTCGCAAGTAGGGACCATGGGGCCGAGTGCATCGGAAAAGGGCGCGCCTGAACCGACAATTCTTGGCATAAAACGAAAGAAATTCTGGCTCATTTTCGGACCTCTTTTGGCTGTTCTCGTCATTGGCTTGGCCGTTGGTCTGGGTGTTGGCTTGGGTACAAGCCACAGCACTTCGACCAGCACGGCGGCAAGGTGAGTCAACGTTTCCTATATCAATATATCGGGCGCCCGCAACTGAGACACGAGTAACTAACGCTCCGCGCTCCCCCACTGTTATAGTTCCTCGACTGCGACAGCCACCTCGTCAACCGCGACCGCGACCGCGACCGTCTCGGCGATAACGTGTCCGTCCAGCAACGGCAGCTACTATGTGACCTCGGACGATACCAAGTTCCTGGTCCTGTGCAACCTCGACTACAATCAGGGCGGAGGCACCGAAGATATCTCGAATCCCGTCACAAACACGGTGGAAGACTGCGCGACGACGTGTGCAAACAACGGGACTTGCGCCGGTGCTGGCTGGGGAGAGTACTATGGAACTACCTATTGCTGGATGAAATCGTACCTTGGAACGTCGCAAAGCGCGCCGAATTGGTACTTTTTGATCAAGCAATAAAGTGCTCATGCATGACCCATGATCACGAGTGATCATTGATCATCCCCTCCACATTGCCCATGATGTATATTTGTTACAAAATACGGCGTACAAATGATTTGCCGCATTACATATGCAATCGAATATCTGGATGGTTTTATATACCAATGACTAGCGATGATAATTTACTCTCTATTTTCAAGATCCAAAGAGCTGCTCCGGCGTCATGGTAACTGTGGCATTTTGCGATCACTACTACACTCTGTGGAGGCTGAAAGATCAATAGGCATGCCCCATCATTCGATGACTTGCTATACATGTGAACGCGATCAAATGACCATGTATATGGTGTATATTCACGACACCTCAACTCATGTTGGCCGCAGGTGATGTATGACATGATGCTCCATGTCCGATGTACAATCGCCCGGCTTCAGAACCGCCAGTATATGTTGATCTGGTCGGACGAGCACGCCACCTCCCGATTCCAGACCAAATCCCTCACAAAACAGCTTCCCCTGCTCCGGGAACGCAAACGTGAAATCCGCATCTACCGACCAGAGACGGACCTTGACGTTCGTCTTGGCAGCGAGCAATTTTTGTAGTTGCTCGAAACGCTGTTTCCAGCCATGCTGATTCCCGACAATGAGAGTAAAGGAATCATAGGAGCACAGGTCCAAAGTGGATCCCTGGCGTGCAGATACATCCTTTTCGGTCCACTCTTTGACATAGGATACATTGAGCGGCTTGAAAGAATCAGGCTTCCTTGATTCAATGAAATTTATCCAGACGTGCGGGAGCCTGGCACCGGGAATGTATTTGGCCTTGTAGTATGAAGCATGCGCAGGCACCTCCTTGGAACCGTAAACGTAACCTATGTGCAACTCCAGCTTTCATCCAGATGATTAGCTTTTTTTTTTTTTTAAACTTGAATCCAAAGCTAGGTCCGTCCAAACTCACATTATCAAAGTGCTCGCGCTGGCCCTCAACCTCCCTCTTGATCATCTCTTGCTTGTCGGGATCATGAATCGACCTGAGGAGGTTGGCGCGCGCCTGCTCCACGTCATCGATGCCGGCTGTGCCCAGAGTCTTGAGAAAGGAAAAGATGGCCTTGCCATTCTTGACGCTCTGGGCCGCATTGATCATGGCAATGGGCCGCCGCTCGTCGTGGTATGACGTGAGAAGCTCGGGTCCGGCGCCGCCTTGGTGCACGGCGGCAATCTTGTACGCGAGGTTGTGGACGTCGGCCAAGCCCGTGTTGAGACCTAGTCCTCCGGTGGGTGGGAAGGCGTGCGCGGCATCGCCGGCCCTTGAAAAGAGACAAGAGTCAGTATCGAAACATTAAACGCATTCAAGATCGGAGCGCTTGGCCCGAACAAACTCACAGAAATACGTTCCCAACGGAGTACTGGTTAGCAACCTTTCGGCTCAGAATCCAGGGCCTGTAGCTCAAAACATCAAAAGGGATATCTGTCCCAATAGCCGCTGCAACAACAGTTCTACTGAGCTCCTCAGTCCATGATTCCACAGGATGTTTTTTGGACTATGTAACATCAGTCATAGCTCTTCGACAGTTTCTGGGGGGTAGCTCTACTCACATCAAAATTACTAATGAGAACCTGAGTTCCTGACAAGTCGTATGCTATGATGAACCCGGAACATGCAGGATCCGTAATCCAGTGAAGCATTCCAACTTGTTCCTTGACCACCGGGCGCATATCGGCGCTGAAATGGATAGTCATCATTGTTTCATCTTTTGGATTATTAAAGACGTATCAGCCAAAATGCGCCCTCATATACCATTTGAACTTGACGGTGGTAGACTCACATCCATCTTCACCCTCGCACTCGACGCCAAGATGTTTTCTGACCTGGCTCTTGGCCCCATCACAACCAATGACATGTCGAGACTGTACAGTAAAGCGTTGTCCCGTCTCACGGACTTGCAGCTCACTTGTGACGATATCGTCGTGCTTTGTTTTTGCTATTGGTCAGCCTCTTGTGCTATGTGCCATGTACTCGGAACAAGCCATACCTGTTGACACGACACAAATGCTATTCCTTTATGCATCTCCACGTTCGGATCTTTTAAAAGTGCATCGTAGACAAACTGTTCAAAGTCTGGCTGCGGTACGTTATGTATCATCTAGCAGAAGGGGTCAGCGATGACACAACAGGCTTTTTCACACCGACCAAAAAACCAGCATATCTCACCTCTGGGGTATCATTCAAGACCTCGGGATCCATTCTCTCATAGGGCAAGACGCCTATCCGTTCGCCAGAGAGATTGGTGAGAAAGTTAACCCAGAAGGCATCCTCGCGGGGCGAGCCCAACTTGCGCAGGGCCGCCGTGTCCAGACCAAACTGGCGGCAGATCTCAAAGCTCCTCGGGCTCAGAGCGTGGGCTTTGGGCGCTGCCAGCCTCTGAGGATACTTTTCAATCAGGAGCGATTTGACTTGCAAGAACAAGATCATAAGTATCCAAAAGTCTCTGATATTGTCCAAGAATGGAGGAGAACAATCTCACCTCCTAGTTTCGATAGCATATACGCCATGAGCAAACCGCTTGGGCCGCCGCCGACAATCAGAACTGGCACATCCCGACTTTTGACAGCAAGCTCTGGTTTGGAATTTTTGCTTGTATTCGATACCGCTGAGGCACTGCTTACTTTTGCATCTGCGTCGGCACCCATTTTGTCGGTGTCTGTCAAGGACTGAAACCAGTTACTTTCGTCACCTGTCTTTGGCTAGCATCAAACGTTTGTGATACGTCTCGATCACTCAAAAGTATGTGACTGCGAATCTTCCTTGTGATGTGGCAGACCTGATTGATATAATCATGAGCAATCAGTAAGCTCCCGTCACTCGCCTCCTTATAATCTCTTCCCCACACTCCTCTTTGTTCCACAATCCCCACGACTCCCCGCACTCTCCACTGATGAGGTGGCTCAGAGTGGTGATGGTGGGTCGTGGGGAGTGAGTATACACAGTACATAGTACTTGTCCTGGAGTAGAGGCCCCATTTGTAGCAGAGTGGAGATTAACAAAAAATTGTATACCATAGAGAAGAGTCATGGTGAGATCTATAGTCTATAAAGCTTTTCCTTGCAGTCGTGTTCAAGGTATCTGTAGTACAATCTTTCCGCCAGCTTTTCGCCCCTCTAATTCCTCATGAGCCGTGCCCGCTTTCTTTACATCGTCAAGCGTGTAACCGTCAACTTTAACCACCCCCGTGCGAACCATCTCAAACAGGTCGTCGGCATATCCCTGCGTTTCCTCCCGCGTATTCAAGTAGGCAAATACCGTGGGATAGCACAATTTTATATTCTTGGTCCCGCCCAGTCTCAGCACATTGACTGGCGGTATTTGTCCAGACGCATTACCAAAACACACGAGATCCCCCTTCTTGGCAATGGCTTCTAGGTTTCCGTCAAAAGTCGCCTGCCCAATCGGATCGAAAATGGCATCTACGCCGTGACCACCCGTGATCTCCCCGACTCGTGCGACCCATTCCTCTGTACTGGTATCAATGACGAATTCGGCACCGCGGTCCCTTGCGGCGCGTGCTTTGAGGTTTGACGACACCGTCGCCAGGACCTTGGCGCCGGTCGCGGCGCATATTTGCACGAGCAGCGAGCCCACGCCGCCCGATGCGCCGTGGATCAGGATCCATTCTCCGGGTTTCACGACATGCGCTTCTCGCACCAGGGTCACGGCCGTGAGGCCCTGCGCGAAACACGCTGCCGCCGCCTCTAGGGAAATATGCTCTGGTAGGTGAACCACGCGGTCTGCAGAGACGGCGTTGTACTCGGCGTACGCTCCGCTCTTGGCCAGATAGGCTACGCGATCACCGGGTCTGAATTCATTTTCCACCGACGGGTAAGCAGCGGCTATTACGCCGGCCCCTTCGCCGCCAAGGATAAGAGGATACGCTGCGGGATAGCGACCGGAGCGGAAATGGGTGTCCATAAAGTTGACGCCTGCATACTTGGTACGGATCAGGACTTCATTTTCCTGCAGAGAAGGCACCAAAGCATCTGTATGCCAATGCAGTCGAGAGACGTCTCCTGGCTCGTCCAACCGAATAGCAGACATGATTGAGGGGATTTGCATTGTAAAAAGGTTCAGTTCATATATCGTCTCTTTATGGAAGGAATAAGTCGCCCAGTTTGGACACAAACGCAATGAGAATTAATACCTAATTATATAACACACAGATCATTGGCATGCACGGTATGACTTTTATGTATTTATAAGCTTGGATAAATCAAAGACCGGAAAGTCCGTCCATACGCCAAAATTGAAACCAGTATTCATCTCCTAGAGAGTTGGCGGGATTTCACATAAGCTCCGAGCCGGAAAGTTAGGAGTTCTACAGGTGTGCACGGGCCAGCCATTTGTCGATGACTGTTCCTATGGTTGATGGTGCAAATTCGCTGATTTTGTGGTACGCTATTGGGCGAAAAGAATAATAAAAGAAATATATATTGATTTCATGGACAGTGTGCCTTCAAAGTCTGAAGTACCTGTTCCAATTCAACGCACACGCCCCACTGCACCGATAATCCGTGGATAATTGTTTGCAGCGAATTGAGTTCGTATCGTAAATTTCGCGCCAGTCCAATTGCCGATGTTGGCGATTGAATATTAGAGGCAAAGAACATTTGTGTTTTACTGCGCCCGCTATCCTCGTAATTATCGTGGCCGGTCGTCGGGTCCACTGCATCTAGTACAACGCTCCAGTCGACTGTGTAAGGTACGGTCACTGTTGACACTCCATTGAGACAAAATAGTATTGAAACCATGGCTGCTGCAAAGATGGGTATTGGCATCCACATTGAGTTGACCTGACTAAGGGGTAATTGTGCGGCAATGTCCTGAATGGCAGTAGCATGAAGTAATGCGCGCTTCGCGTCAAAGGAGTCGACATTCCAATCCATCACAGCAGGTTGTGCTTGCTGAGAATTTTCGACTTGGAACAAGTTTTGTGGGATTTGATATAGACGGCACAAATCTTTACTCGTAGCCGTCAGTTTCACCACTGCGTCTAGGCAGCATAGATGCCATCTCATGAGGAGACCGAGCTTTTCGACCGAATTCTGGGACCATCCTACTTCTAGATGGCGTCGAATCTGCAGAAGAGCATTGCTGATATCAGACGAGGACGGCGGTCGCCAGATGGTGGGAACGTAGAGCGGATCTTGCGTTTCACGGATCAGTGCATGAACGCCTTCGAGAATAACGCGAAGATCAATGTGTGACTGAACATTCCATAGATGCGAGCTCCCGCCGAGAGCAGGGTCAAGAGCTGGCGGTTGAAACAGGGCACCATAGACATCCTGGAAAGAGGTTGAGGTCACTGCCACGACCTTCATCTCAGAAAACCACTCATCAGCAGTCTGAGCATCGAAGAGTCGAGAGTTGCTCGACATCATGAGCGGATTCGCAGTGTGCACCACAGAAGTTGGTTGGCCCGACATGAAGGACAGCTGCCCGTCTAAAATGTAGTGTCCAAGAAGGGCGCGAGACTGCAGCTCTCTTGACACCCATAATTTCCAGCCTCGTACGAGCCCATCTCGATCATTCGGATCCGGAAGATTGAACGGAGCAGCGCCGTCCAGGTCAAACATGCCGCAATGTCTTGCCCAATTAAAACTCAAGCTGTGGTATATTTGGCTTGTCACTCGGAGGCTTTCATTCTGTAGACTCTCAGCACATTGTTCTGTCGTCATCACCAACGTAACTGACCTTGGATAGCATCGCATACGTCTGGCCCAGAAGTGCCGTCAACACAAGCTGGAACCCGCTTCTAGAATCGTAAGCTCCTCGATGGGCCATAAAGCTTTGCCACTACAGATGTTTAGTCACGTTCGGATAATGAGAAAACGGCGGTTCTGCGACATACAGATGTTGACACGGCGGTATAAGCCAAACGCCACAAAGCCTCTCCCTATTTTTGGACAATTAGCATGAGTATCCGAGTATGCCGCCAGACAAGAATCGCGATCGGTACCAACCTTTGACACGGCATCTTCTGTGCCAATGAACAGAGAGCCAAGGGCAATGGCGTTCAACAAGAGACTAGGAGAGCACTCTTTGAACACAAAAGTCGGTCTATGCAGGACTGGGAATGTTGGGTTGAAGCGAGTGAAGTAGGTCTGTAGGCAGTTGTTCAAGAAGGCCGGGTTCAAGTCAGGTAACGTCTCGACAGCGTTTGTGACGCGGCTCGACTATGTCAGGTCAGATTTGTTCTGCCGAATGGCGATTGGTCAGTGCTTACCACATTCGTGATCATGTTGCTGAGACTTTGGATTGCCATGTGTGATTCCCCATTGTGGGTCGAGTTGACATGAGTCTCTTGCAGCCTAGGATCTATCTGGGCATCGGGAACCACGCCGGCGGTCGAATGCGTGGCCGGCCATGTCTCTGGCGGCAGGGTCAAGGAATTCCAGTCAGACGATATAATAGTCTGGAGCAGCTGTTCGGCATCTGGCCATGCCAAGCCCGCCTCCAAGTCCGAGAAGGGAGCGGTAAAGGCATACTCGTTTGACGGTGTCGTGCCCGCGGGCACCTGGGCAACAGAGACTCGGCGATTGTCGGGACGAGGTGGCGGCGGATGTGCATCGCTACCACCACTCAGACTGGCCGCGTCATTCGTGTTATTAGAGACAATGACTTGATGACTGTTGTCCGATTTGTTGTGTATGCGCATATGACGCGTCAGGGAATCCGAACGGGCAAACGCGCGACCACATGTTGAACATGCAAAAGGCCGGTCTCCAGTGTCTATAGGAGAGGCACTAGTTTCAGCTCCACATCATGGAATACATTTGTTGATCAACGGTCTTTTATTAATAAACAGAAACTTACGGGTTCTCTCGTGCCTCTGCAGATGAAGAAAGAGATGTTTGATTAGCTCACATGAGGACACGCCAGCACACGAAGAGCCAACAAAGGTCTCACCTGCAAATGTTCCGACTTTGTGTAAGATCGGTGACAAATCCGACAGGTGAAATTATGCCTCCTGGAAGACCCAGTTCCGGAGGCGTGGGGCGAAGGCATTTCGGGGGCAGCGGCAGTCTGTGTGTGGGGGGCTGAGGAGGAGCAGCGTGTGCCGAAGTGTCGACTTGCTCCGCTTCCGTACCTACTGGATGGATCGCGCAACTGGATGGATCGATGTGTGGGAGCTCGAGGCGGCGCGTGGGGATAATTCCATCAAACCGACGAGAGTGATGGTGTGATGCGACGCGTGCAATTTGTTCGGGGGGCGTCCTTTCAGCTCACGGAGGAGGCGGAGAATTCGTAAATTCGTGGGGAAAATCTTTGGGGCTTGGCCGGGGGAAGTACCAATGTTAGCAGTAAAGCACCAGCAGCGCAGTGTGCTTAGCAGGTGAACAGGTCGCCTAATAAACTCACAATTATGCGACTAGGGCGGCAGACAAGTTGCCCAGCCTAGAACCCTAGAGTAGAGGCTGGAGGTAACGCGGGGAAGCAAAGGAGGGCGGGTGGCTGGGGGAGGTCCGGCAAGTATCTCTCCCAGTGCTCAAGTGCTAGTACTACTAGTGCATCGTGGGGCACACTGACGTCCACGGGTAGGTGTTACACCTCAATCTCTCTCTCTCTCTCTCTCTCTCTCTCTCTCTCTAGTAACACTTCAAGTAACACTTCAACTTACGAATCCCTTCAAGGCCTTGAGATGCGAAATTGTCTACATGATTTCAACATGAGCCACTTACATGAATCACCCGGAAATTGCCACAGATATTCATGCCAAGCTAAAGGGTTGTTGTGGAATCAAGTCGACCTCTGTACCACTACACGATGCACTTGTTCATTAGATATTTCCCCTCTTGCCTTGTGGTTTTCTAACACATCATTGTAATGCCGCGGGTTGCGATAGTTTCGTATTTTGATACTCGGCGATGCTCGGAGATATGCGACTGAATCTGGACAGAAAACCCCGACATCAACACACTACCAAGTTTGCCAGATATAATCAACGGATCCAGAGTAGAGAGACTACCTCTGCGCTAGGACAAGCGGCACCCTGCAGATGCCTCACTCATACAATGGTGGCATTTCAGCCGCACAACCACTAGTCTGAAAAGGTCTGGCATTAGTTATTATATCTCCGACTATAATTGTGTTGGTGAGTGAAAGCTGCAGCTCAATGTCGTTGTCTACAAGAGACAGCTGCCGCGACGAACCAGGAAGTGCACAAAATACAATCAGAGCAACCCACGAAAGTCATGCGACCAAGGCAGAGAATCTTTCTCATAGACCTCACCTATAATAACAGACGTGGAATCGGTGTTGGGCTTATTCTTTGATCTGACATTGGTACATTGTGACCGGTGCTACTCAACATGGACGTTGCAGGAGAATAGAGGCAAACCGCAACTGGCGGCAAATCGGAACAACACTCGCTGCAGGTGGCGTAGGCGCACCCACTGTGCTGGGTCTCTATCACTCCCATGATCTTATCTTTATGTAAGTTCTTCCATGTCTCTTGCGCAGTTGATGGAGTGTTGGTTGCAACGCATCAAGGTATCTGATGTTTGGGCCCACGCTCATTGGCCAATCGCCATTGACGTGATATTGCACCATACAGTCTGCGCGCTCTCGTCGTCACTCGGGAGCACTGAGGGGAATACACATACCCGCGCCTCGCTCGTCAAAGGCTTCAGCTTTTCAAAGACGCCATAAGTCTAGAAGCAATATTGCAAACTATTCGGGGCTGCAATGCGTAAACTCGCTGTCTGGTCTGGCTAATATGCGCCACATATCACATCACCTGAGCAGCTCGACTTGAACGCAATGTTTCCTGTCAAATCTTGTCAACACAAATCGTTTTTTGCAACCATTACATGTATCATATGCGGGTCAGATCCGCACCGAGCAATAATCCTTGATCGCGCATGAGCTATGATGCGACTCGATGGGGGGGGAACCAGATGATATTAAATATCGCTCGCACCCATCAATCCAACGTAATAAAGAACCTGTAACCAAAGCATCATTTGCGTCCTCCTTCTTGTGACTTTCGAGCGTCAAGATGGCAAGCACACAGGACGACATTCCCTATGATGGGGAGAAACACACTACGGCAGTGACTGCATCTATTCAATCCGAGCCTCAGAGCAAAGAAATCACGTTTGCTCGCGGAGGGAATGAACAATATTATGCTCCGAATGAGAAGTATGAGGGCGCTCATCGATATGACCCCCAATTTCAGTGGTCTGAACAAGAAGAGAAGCACTTGATTAGAAGGGTGAGAGTTTCAGCGTGCTCAAAAGTCAAAAAATATTTTTGACCAATCCTTAACTATGTGTGCTAACGTGACCTCAGCTGGATTTCAAGATTTGTTCGTGGTGTTGCTTGATGTTCTTCGCACTCCAGCTAGATCGAGGCAACATCACCCAAGCACTGTCCGACAACATGCTCAATGACCTTGGTCTAACAACAAATCAATACAACTATGGGCAGACCATTTTCTACCTGAGCTTGTAAGTGGATGAGCAGATGTCTTGGTCTCGATCAAACACTTATCCGACTATAGTTTATGTGCCGAGCTGCCGTCTCAGATGATTAGCAAGAAGCTGGGACCCGACGTTTGGATTCCGATTCAAATGGTGACATGGAGCATTGTTGCCTGCTGTCAAAGCCGATTGACTGGAGAGTCTTCTTTTTACGCAACACGCTCGCTAATGGGGCTGATCGAAGGCGGCTTTATCCCCGATGTCGTCCTCTACCTCTCATACTTTTACAAGGGCAAAGAACTTCCAGTCCGTCTCGCCTTTTTCTGGTCCAGCTTCATCATGACCAATATCGTGTCTGCATTCCTGGCATACGGTATCCTGCACATGCGCGGTATTTCCGGCTGGGCTGGCTGGCGCTGGATGTTTGCGCTCGAGGGCGGAGTCACTGCTATTATTGGCATCATGTCCTGGTTTTATCTGCCGCCTTCGCCTACGGAGACGGCCAGCTGGTTCCGGGGCAAGGATGGCTGGTTCACGGAGAGGGAGGAGAAAATCATGGTAAACAGGATCCTTCGTGATGACCCAGGAAAAGTATGGTCCCATCAATCACCCTTGCAAATTGCCTATTGGCGCTAACATACACGCAGAGTGATATGCACAACCGACAAGGCTTGACACCAAAGCTTCTTTGGCGGGCCATGAAGGATTACGATTTATGGCCAATCTACTTTTACGGCCTCACCTGGTCGATCGGAGTTACTCCCACGACCGCCTATATCACCCTCAACCTCAAATCGCTCGGCTTTGACACATTTCAAACAAACTTATTGACCATCCCGGCCTACGTAGTATATCTATTGCAGCTTTTGTTCTGGACCTGGTACTCGGAGAAGATTAACAATCGATTCCTCGTTGTTCTCATCACCCAGATATGGGTGCTTCCGCTTCTGATTGCTCTGGAAACACTTTCCTCGAGTGCCAGTCCATGGGCTTGGTACTCGCTGTCGGCCTTGATCATTGGCAACCCCTACACGCACGCCATTCTCGTCGCCATCACGTCTAGAAATGCGGGAACGGTGCGCACGCGGACAGTAGGAAGTGCATTTTACAACATGTGTGTCCAGGCCAGCAATATCATCTCGTCAAACGTATGTCCAATCTTAGTGTATCCCTTGTACATTCCCTCTTGATTGACCTGAATCCCACAGATCTATCGTGCCGATGATGCGCCTCGCTACCGAAGGGGTAACAAAGTACTAATCGCCATCACTGCATTCAACATGGTCTTTGTCATGGGGATGAAGGGTTATTACATGTGGAGAAACAAGCAGAAGGAGAAGCAGTGGAACGCCTTGACGGCTGAGCAAAAGGACGAATATCTGGCAAACACCACCGACCAAGGCAGTAAGAGGCTCGACTTTAGGTTTGCTCACTAATTTCAGTGGGGATGAACTGTATAGTCAAGAGACTCCGTCGGTTGACACATGATACATAATTTGCAGTACAAGACTCAGCAAATAATCTTAAGAACATGAAACTTGAACGAGAGATTGGAAGCATTCATTGGCGGTGAGGCGCTTAGATGACACCGTCGTAGGCAATCTGAGCTATACCGCAAGATACTGGGTGCCCCTACTCTGGCTGCTTCCATCCGTCCACGTCAGTGCTGTAAGCCAGCTTCTTCATGTCCGGTCGTCCATATAGCTCACTGTAGTCCTTCAATTTCCCTTGGATAGAGGAGTAAGCATCGCTTCCAATGACCATCCGTAGCGGTGGGTCCTTCATGACGGCCAGCTGATACATTGCTTTTCCACCCTTCTTTGGATCTCCGGCTTGTGTACCATGGCGAGCTCCCATCTTCTCCTTGGCATCAAGATGATCATAGGCTGGGTGTCTTTTCTCGGGAAATTTCATCGAGCGACCGGCCCAGTCCGTCCTATAATGATGTTAGTACCAATATTCACTTGATAGATCTGATCATACCTGAAACCACCTGGCTCGACGCAAGTGAACTTGATATTCCATTCGGGCTTGACCTCTTTGCTCTGTAAATTGTCAGTAAGGTGACATTCGTGTAGGGGTTGACTGGTGGCTGTCCACCAACAGTTTTGCGCGCAGCTTACCAGTGCCTCCGTGAAACCTTCCACCGCCCACTTGCTCGCACAGTAGATGCTAAAAAGCGGGACTCCAGTTTGACCTCCGATTGACGTCACTTGCTGAATCACTCCTCCCGGCGGCTTTTGTTCTCGCATGACGCTCATGGCTTTTCTGGTTACGGCAATTAGACCAAAGAAGTTGACGTCCATCTGCGTTCGCGCCAGCTGCTCGTCGACCTCCTCAAACGGGCCCGCGAGACCGTAACCTGCATTGTTGACGACCACATCGACGCGGTTGAACTTTTTCAAGGCTTGGGTGAATGCGTATTCAATGTCTTCCTGTTTCGTCACATCCAATTTTAGTGGTAGAAAGTTCTTTTTACCGGCCAAGGCGTCAGTTCACGGTATCAAAGACGCTGCCTTGGAGGTGGCAGGTATCAGGACGGCGAACCTTGTCAGAAGTGTTGTTGAACTTGAGCTGATCCGGATTCCGTGCCGTAGCAACACAAATATCTCCCTGGTCAATGACTTCTTGAACGAGATGAGAGCCGAAGCCGGTTGAGCAGCCAGTGACTAGAAAAACTCTGTGCGCCATTGCTGATGATTGAGTATTAGCGGAGGATTTCGTCGGATTGACTTCGTTTCAGACCCAAAATTAACAACCAGAAATAATCAGGCAGGAAGTTGTATAGAGTCGCGTCCGCTGTCAGCAATTTATACCCCGCTCTCAATGTTAAATCCGGGAGAAATCTCCGTTAAGACCATGACCCACAACCTCAATTACATGAAGCTGGTGAATTGGAGCATTTGAGTTATCACCATCACTAGTGCGAGTGCACTACTGCCAAGTCAAGTTTGCGAGGGGACGAGTAAGCACATGGTTAAAGTCCTCACTCAATGCGTAAATGACGTCATTATTCATACGGTGGCATATCATCACCAAACCTTCGGGGCGCTGACAAGCGGCAATGTCACACTCCAAGTGTCTGGAACCTTTGGCAGTTTACTCATGCCAACATACGAAATGCGTTTCGGCTTCAGTTTGGTCGGGGCTAAAAGTTCTCCCCGCCTGCGTCGTCAGCACACGGGAATTGCCTGATCTCCTTTTGCATGCGACGTGGACATCTTAGGTAATTGGTCTCAGTGTGTGGCATGTCTTCCCCGCTACCATGTCTCACAGCACAACATCATTTGAAAGTATGTTGTGATGCTTGAAATGCCGATTTTGTTTCTACTTGGCAAATCGATGGGATCTTATTGGTTGATATAGTCTTTTGCTAAGCGGTCTTGGAAAAGCGACGTATATCCACCGGAAGATATTGACATTTCCTATACGCCGTTGAAATTTAATTGGTCGGATCGTATAACATGTAACTGAGCATTGACACCCCCTTTGAGGTGCTTGGAGCGGAGACAAAAGTCCCAGGGATATTGGCCACTTGACATCTGTGAGCACGGCATCTAGGTCGATCATTGCTCTCAAAAACACGAAACTTCACAGAACGTAAGCACTAATTGCGGGAGGTTGAAACTCTCGCGACTTGCTTGTTCTCGGATCTGCCGGTTTATGCATCAAGGTCATACCAACAAAAGGAGTATGGAGACGCAAAGCTGCTTTGGCCATAAGTTGTTTGGAGTGTGTACAAGATCTATTCAAGTAGTAGTAGAGGCTATAGGTCCAATATACGGCACAATTTCCGGCCGCATGGTATTTGAATTCTTGATATCATCGTGCAATGTTATGACTCCGTCAAAACAAGGCTGGCTGTGTATGCACCAATATTGGGCCCCAAAGCCTCAGATAGAGGAATGCTCATTTCAACATCGTGATCTTCATTATCATGATCTCTATCTGTCTGTCTTTCAAAGACTGCCTATCTCAGTAGAATTATTGAGCGGCCGCCGAATGAATTGCAAATCTGAGAATAAGCAAACGTGTCACGAACTTGTCTCCTCTGCATATTCAGAGGGTATTCGACCTTTAGGACTGTTCCTCTTTCTGGCCAATATGTGTCGATCTTTTCTTTGGCATGTCCGAAGTGTCTTAGGTTGCTTCGCTTTCAATTCCCTGGCTAACAGGACGACTCGTGGCGGGAATGGCTTGCTTCAGCCCTCGCACCCGTCTAACACCAATTATGGTGAAAGGTTTAGGACCAGGAAGCCCGTCATCATGTTGGACATGTAGCACAGATTTTGTCTTAGACGATGTATATATAGAGGTAGTGATGAGCTCCTGAACGAGCCCCTTTTCTTTCATCCATCAAGCCATAGTTCGACAGTCATTCGAAATCATACACAATTGACATACTATTTGCCTCTTCTTCCTTCTCCAATATCAAACAATGCAGTTGACCACAGCACTCATGGCGGCATTTGCTGCATTCGCCATGGCAACGCCCGCGACCCCTAACGAAGCTCTCAACATTCTGGAGGCGCGTGCTGGGGAACTTTGCCCTTGCTTTCCCAATTGCAAATGCCCTTCAAAGACCTCTTGCCACTGTCTCGGTGGGGTTAGTGTTCGTGCGCCATGCTATCCCAAGTGCGGCTGTCCTTCTGGTCTCACGGGTACTTGCGTTGTAAGTCGAGACTTTTAAAGTCCAAGAGTTGAGAATGGGTAACTAAACTCCATTAAAATAGGCCAATGCTTAAGGTGCCAGGTTGCAAGAAGTGATATCGAGTGGCTTTTTTCCCACTGGTTTTTCCTCTCGATAAAAATAGGCAAAAATTGTAGCCATTTTAGTGAAGTACTTTGATCAGGTTCTTCTCAGCAGTGCAGAAGGCATTTGTGCTATTCATCTGGTCTGTTTCCGGCTTTGCCGATTTTAAACACACTCACACTCATTTATATGGAGTAAAGCCGTTACCAACTATATAAAAACATTCGTTTAATTATACAAGGATGGATATTATTTGTATAAAACGTCCAAATTATATAGGTGTGCATGCAAAGTACCAACAGAAAATTGCATAAAACATACCAGTCTTCTGGAAAATGATCAGTACAATGACAGTCAACGGACAACATCTGTAATTCTAAGAACCTAATTCGATGTGCTTCTTTATTCATTCATGGTGCGAGCCCGCCCATGCGAGCCCGTCCGGCTACCACACGTGGTAAACCCCGCTGTGGTAGTGTGGCTGATAGCTGAACCATGAGAACAAGCAATCTACCAGACACAAACATGAATCTCCATAACGCACCTACTCCTAGTAATATTCGTGTATACGTTTGCTCTTGTTATGCTAAAAACGTGCTCGGTGAATTCTTGATGCCGAGGTAAAGTGATGTTGACAGTATTATTCTTTCAGATGCTCAGACAAAATGCATTCCTCTCTCGATAACAACACGCTCAGTGACATTTCAGTGGAAACGAACGCACGATTTACTAGCTTAAATCTGACGACTTGCATTTTTGAGTATAGTTCCACAGCAAGTACTTGACATGAAGGAGCGCACACCGCCGACATAAACTACATGAAATCCACGGCAGATTGTTTCTGATCAGATGATGACTAGAATAATATGCAAGCGGCTGCCTCCTGTGCTTCACACGGGATATCGCCGATGAACAAGTATTCTTAAAATAGTCGATGCAGGACTTTGCCCGGTGTGGTTACCATTTCGTCAGGTCCAGTTCCAAAAGATCATCATCAGCGGATATGCAAAAGCCAATCTCGTGTTACGATTTCCTGTTATAGAACCATCTTGCAGACGCCGATGGTGCATTGCGATTGTCTTTCCATTGTCGCCGGGACCCCGGAACGAGGAACAAACCGAGAATAGCCATGTCACTGACGGGAAAGGTTGCCGAAGGAACATGATTAGTCATGTAAATTTTGGCTTTTCTTATTGAGAATACGAATTTGCCGGAATCCTTCCATCGCATCTGAGAATTATTCGCGCTCTATATTGCTACTTGATACAATGGACATGCACAGTCTTGGCAGTGCCAGAAACTGCAGGTCAGCTATCAGTGGAGTTGTGATATTGAAGTCCTTGACGTCAGAGGCCGCAGCGACTTTGCCAATGAGATCAATTTGGATGACTGCTGAAAGCGTGCCCAAATTTCAGGAGATGAGATCCATGGGCTGATGCCTTTCACGATGTAGCCTTCATCCCTTGTTATTCGTCCGATGGTGTTGCACATGTGAAGGCTGCGACAGGGGTGGCGGCTAGCCCACAATAGGCAGGCAAAGAACAACCGCCAAATACTATGGAAGCATTCGAAGCGGCGCACGCTTGCCTATTTCGTAAGGAGAAATAGTATAAAACGATTGGTATGCCAGTATCGGCCTGGCACCGGTGCCAATTGAGCGTCGCGTGGTTATTATGGTGGTGTTCCGGCAGGTAGCCTCACGCATCAGTGCGCCCGATACTATACAAGACAACCTTGTTTTGGCAACACGTCGTTCTCATGTTAATATACTGCTCCGGCTTCCTCATTGGTCAATGCCAAGACTTGGGACCCGGATGGCCCAAGGTCGATAGTATATCTACGGCCACGCAGCCAAGGAGCCAAGAAGTCTTGTCTTTCTTGGCCCGTCGGACTCTTGTGCTGTATCGAAGTCATTCATACCAGGGGAAACACATCTTTGGGCGCAATGTTCGTGTCTACTACCGTCGCTCCCGCCCTTTTGGCGCTTGCGGCCCGCGCCTTGGCTCTGCCATCCGCCGGACGTCGCGATGTTCCGTCTACCAGTGTCTGGGAGTCCGTTGAGGCTGCTCCCTCTTCTTGGGCTCAGGACGAGATCGCCGCTAGATCCGATGAGTCGATTGAGCTTCACATCCAGTTGGCTCAACAGAACATGGTCGAGTTCGAGCAATTGGCCTTGGCTGTAAGTGTTTTCTCCCAGCGTCGTACAAACCCTTCAAACACGGCGGATATTGGAAACAGTTGTGCTGGTTGGAATATTCCAAGTGATTGCAATACCAAGAAGCTTGGCAATGCAGGATGGACCCGACAACTCGGTTTGTGGGACACTATAGTTTCTATACCAAGACCTCGCTTCAATGCTTGGCTACCTGGCTCGACCATGTAGGGTTCTAGTGGCAGTCAGCTAACTTTGACAACAGATTGCTACTCCCGGTAACGCCAAGTATGGTCAGCACATGACTCGTGATGAGATTGACGCCATCATTGCCCCCAAGGAGGAATCCCGGCAACTCGTTTTCGAGTGGCTCGGCAACAACAGCCTCTCTGACACTGCCTCTTTGAACGAGCGTGGAAACATTGTCACTGTCACCACTACCGTCAGCAAGGCCGAGCAGCTCCTCAACACCAAGTACAACAGCTACAGTGAGTCTCTTCGCAGTTTTCGTGAGAATGATCCAATAACATTGTACAGCCAATGCCGAGACTGGTGAGAAGGCCACTCGCGCCCTCAGCGTCAGCCTGCCCGAGATTCTGTTTGAGCACATCAGCACCATCCAGCCCACGACCTTCTTTGGTTTCAAGCCCATCACCCCCAAGGTTCGCACTGACATTGGACCTGATGTCACCTACACCACCCCTACTTCCCTGTCGACCCTGTACAACTTCAAGGGCGCCACTGCCCTGACCCAGGGTAAGATGGGTATTGCTGGTTTCATCAAGCAGTGGCCCAGCACTGCTGACCTCAAGACCTTCCTTGGAAAGTTCGCCATTTCCGGCTTCGGCAACAGCGCTCTGAGCTACACTTGCACCAGCGTCAACAGCGGCCAGTGCCCCGCCAGCCCTTCTGGAGCCAACATTGGTGTCGAGGCCAACCTTGACGTCCAGTACGCCCGTGCTATTACCAGCAAGATCCCCAACGAGTTCTACTCGGTCGGTGGAAACAACAACCAGATCTACGAGTACCTCTCCGAGTATCTTCTCGCTCTGAGCGCTGCCGAGCGCCCCAACGTCGTCTCCGTCTCCTACGGTGGTGATGAGAGCTCCGTCACCAAGAGCGTCGCCTCAACCACCTGCAACCAGTTCATGCAGCTCGGTGCCGCCGGTGTCTCTATCCTGTTTGCCTCTGGTGACTCTGGTGTCGGCTCTGGCTGCACCATCAGCGGCTCCAAGGCCTACCAGCCCGACTTCCCCGGTGGTTGCCCCTACGTGACCATGGTCGGTGGTACCACTGGTTCGACCACCGAGCAGGCCTGGGTTGACGGTGGCGGTGGTTTCTCCAACTACTTCACCCGCCCAACCTGGCAGGATACCCAGGTTTCCTCCTGGTTGTCCAAGAACAAGGACGGCAACACCCAGTACTACAACAGTGCCGGCCGTGCTTACCCCGACGTCGCTGCTGCTGCCACCTACTTCGAGATTGTCGACGGCAGCAAGACTGAGGCTGTCGACGGTACCTCTTGCGCTGCTCCCACCTTTGCCAGTATCATTGAGCTCGTCAACAGCAACCGTCTGGCTGCTGGCAAGTCTGCTCTTGGTTTCCTGAACCCCTGGTTGGTAAGTAGCATCACTGGTGCCACCCGCATGTTTGCTTGGAATAAACAGACTACTAACTTACGTGTAACAGTACGGCAACGCCTCAAGCGCCCTGACCGATATCACTGCTGGCTCCATCGGTGGTTGTGCTGCCATCTCTGGCGCTGGTTTCACCGCCATTGCTGTAAGTTGCACCAAGTCTCATTCTCACGTTGACCGAAACATGTTGCTAATGATAACTTCAGGGCTGGGACCCCGCCACTGGTCTTGGTACACCCAACTACCAGAAGCTGCTCACCGTCTCCAACGCCACCTAAGTGGTGACACTCTAACACTGCAGCGTACCCATGTTGCTGGTCAAGTGCTTTTCTTCGCGAACTTTGACATTATCAGCTCCTTGGTGCTATTTTCGATCCTTCAAAGGCTTTTTGTATTATTTGTAAATATTCAGTCATATAAGTTCTTTGATAGCTTCAATCTCAAGGATATTAAAATAAAATGCGTGGTGCACATAGTCATTTGTCGTGCAACTGTAATGGGCTGCGATATCTTCTGGGTGCTTATACTCATTATTGAAGCGTATTTTGGGAGCACAAAGCTTATTCTATAGTTGCGCGTCAGCAGTTTGTCGTCCTTGACGCCACATGATACTCGTTCCCCAGTGCGTCGCATGACCGTTTTTAGCGCTGGTCTCGCCCAATACGGCAATTTTAAGCACCGCATAGAAACATGACACCGAATTGCCGTTCCAATGGATGGAGATATAAGCTTCATGTCATGGCCAAGGATGACCGGGACTACCCCGTGGGGATGTGCCGAGTGTGGATTTGCAAGTTGGGGTAGGATACCTACCTAGTCACCTTGGGGCAATTGACTAATCAGAAGCCAGGGCTAGTCCCAGGACCACGTTATACCAAGACAGGTCGACGGGAAATCCGAAAAGATGAATGAGTCTAAACATTTGCTAAGAATGGGCGATCCGGACATTCCGTCATTTGGATTTCCCGGATAGAGTATAAAAAATTAAAGCTTGCGGCGAACTAAAGACCAACTCTATTCATAATCACGAAACATGAGGGTCGACACCTTCATCGTCGGCCTTCTTGGCTTGGTGCCAGGGCTTGGTTCAGCTTCGCATTGTAGTCTCAATGACCAATCTGAGTCTCTATCATTCGTTTCTAAGCCACGTACTTTTATCCTGACCGATATTCTGAACGAACCTGATGATTCTCAATCCTTGATTCGATATCTACTGTACGCCAATAGCTTCGATACGCGAGGATTGGTTGCAACAACATCGATTTGGCTACAAAACAATACACATCCCGAAGCGATAACAGCAATCTTGGATACTTATGCCACAGTCGTCGACAACCTGAACCAGCACGTCGGTTTCGAGCCCTCGTATGAAAGCTCTGAAACTTTGAAGCTTCGTGTGACATCTGGACCCACGGTACGTATGATGGAGCTGGATTCCGAGGCGATGTAGATGACTAACATAATCAGGTATACGGGCAAGCGGCATTTCAACAAGAGTTGAGCCATGGAGCTGCTCTGTTGATTTCAAGCCTGCAGGAATCCGAAGAGCCATTGTTTGTGAGCTTGTGGGGTGGCGCCAATACACTTGCCCAAGCACTGCAGTACGCTTCAGTGACATATACCGAGGATGAATTCAGCGTATTGCGTAACAAATTGCGTGTTTACGCCATTTCAGACCAAGATGATACCGGCGAATGGATTCGTCAAACATATCCCGATATTGTGTACATTGTCTCTAGTCATGCCTGGGCCATCTATCCGAACGCGGCATGGCAAGGCATGGGCTTTTCAGGAATGAGCGGGGCCAACAACTCTATTGTGAGCGCAGACTGGTTGGCCGCAAATATCCAGTCTACCGGACCCTTGGGGGAGATATATCCAGACATTGCCCTTAGCATGGAAGGCGATTCGCCTTCGTGGATGTGGCTCATTGAAAACGGCCTGGGTAATCGGGATCACATTGAATGGGGTAGCTGGGGCGGACGCTACGACACTGCGACAATGCCTCATGGCACCACTAAGCATTATTTCGACACCATGGATAGAGTTTTCGACACAGATGGCAACTATGCTTTCAACAATTATGCCACCATTTGGAGGTGGAGAGCAGCCTTCCAAGAGGATTTCGCTGCCAGAATGCAGTGGTCAAATAGTAGCGACTTCAGCCAAGTCTCTCATCCCCCCTTCATCAACGTCAACGGGAGCGAAGGGCCCGAAACGATGTGGATCCGCGTCCCTTCAAATATCTCAAGCAGCAATGAGATCATACTGGATGCCACGAAAACGATTGACACGGACAATACAAGCAGCAATGGAGATTTGGAATTTCAATGGTACCAGTATTGGGATCCGACGCTTCACATTCAACCATACTTTCCAACGGATGGTGGGTTGAAAATTACATCTCAAGACTCAGACTCCGAGTTTACCAATGCAACATCTTGGAATGACGCGGGTTTCTCGGGGATCGTAAAGGGTCAAATTATCAGTGTCAATGCGACGAGGATTGACGTTTCAGCGGTTGCCGATGGAGACAAGTCATTGCCGCAGCTGCAGCATTTAATACTCCAAGTGACCAATAAACGTGGAAAGTATCCTATCAGAAGGTATAAACGGGTCGTCTTTGAGATAGGCGCTCAACTTTAGAAACCAATTGGTGCATGCACAGAGTTACTGCTTTGATAATTGACTTCTTGTTTGTAATTATAAAACTTCTGTATTTTGGGGCGTTGCACTGCTTGAAGTTGAGACGACACCGATTTGACCAAAAAATGTTGATATGAGTCGCTGCAAGTCAAACAAGCTGGCCACTAACCTAAGACTTCTTTGTAGAGGATTCATTGTATTATAGGAGCACCTCATTATTTTGTCATTATCAAAATGCTCAGTACTATCTACTTCATTGCGACACATGAATTTCTATTTGTAATGACCTGATCAAAATCATTGAACTCCCCAGCCGCTTCAACCGAAGTCCTCAGTAGGAGTAATTCCTATCCGTCACGATGTACCCCTAGGCCATATCATGAAGGTAAAAGCTCCGCACTCAACTTGGGCTATTCCGGGATAAATGCTGCGTCAACTCATCTCAATATCCTCTCTGGGAGATCCATTCCTGCGTGATCTTGTTCCAAAAACTTCCCATGTCAAACGTTTTGCTTCCAGGATCTGTCTCCGGGCTATCCGGATTTTTCTCCAGGCCACCCGTATTTTTCGCTGGAGCTGATGATCTGCACCTTCAAAAATATTGTTGAACGAGTTCGCCAAAGCGAGGAATACCAGGACAGCTACAATCGTGGTCCCCGTAGCGATTGCAATGGCCTGCTTGAGCTCCTCGGGGTCACGTTTTGTGAAGTAAGGCGTAGCCAACAAAGTCTGGAATCTTCTTAGTCGACATGGTATGCATAATACGGTATGAGATCCCTGTTACTTACCGATACGAAACTTGGAGGCGTATACAAGACTGTTACGATCGTAAAGACAATGACATATCTGTTCATCTGGGTAGACCTTGTTGCCTCCCGTACAGACGTTGAATTGAATAGCTGCAAAACGAATCAGCATACGCGAGTGGCTCTCGGGACCGTTAGCATATTACCCCATCTCTGAGGGTCTTGATATCCTCTGTCTTTTTGTCGATACGGCTGAGAAGTCCCTTTTCGGCATCCTTTAGGGGCGCGAGGATACGCTTCCAGAATTCATGCGAATTTGGATGCTCTCGATCTTGCCTGACACCTTCCAGTATCCGTTCAGCAACTCGTACTGTTTCCTTGATATGAGCAGAGAATATACGAAGTTGTTGGAGAGCGGCAAAATATAATCGTGATCGATCAAGACTTGGCCCGTCAAACATCCAGGTGTCAAACTTCGCATCGTCTGAGATGTCTTCGAGCTACGTTTAAGCAACACCGAAGCGCCCATGTCAGTCCTGACTGATAAGCTGTCCTAAATGTCAGACTGAACATACCGTTACTGTCGTCGAAATGTCAATCTTATCTAAACAACTGTGCCAGTCCTTTTCCCACTCGGTGTGGTAATGTCGGATGAGTAGCTCAAGAGCTTGCTGATCATCTGGGGGCAAGCTGCTTTCCAGAAATTTAGCCTCCTCCCATTGCGGATAGTTATTGTCATCCATCACAACTATTCTACGCGGCTTGTATTCTCTGCCCAGAAGATTGAGTATTGATACGCGTCTCTCGTAGAACCAAGGAGACGCTGCCCCTAGCACGCCTATCGTACTTCTGCTGTTAGGGAAGCGGCCTTTGTCTCTGCAATGACCAATTTTCCCCACTCTACTAAAGAGGTACTCGCCATCACAGGTCTTAAACATTCGAAGACGATACTGGAAATTTCTCAACCAATACTGAGGCGCATTGACTTCATAGATCGGTTGCCAGGCGCCCAGATGTTGTGAAAGAAAGGAGTAAGACGTAGCGAAACCAGACAGTTGATCGTCATTACACATGATGTGATAAACGATTGATGCTTTACAAAAGCTGTACTCTTCGAAGGGCGGTTGGTATTGAAACCTTTTTAGGAGTCAGTTGCGAGGAAAATGAAGGACATGATCGATATACTCACTAAACTTGCACAACTTCATCATTTTCCGGCACATGATCTTCCTTCCAGTCGTCAACGAGCGTCCAAGATTGCTTGTACCTACCGAAAGAGACAAGCATTGTTTTTACATTACGACTGCCGTCCTTGAGCCAGCTCTTCCACTGACTGCTCGCCAGCTGCCACAACTGATCTTGCTGCTCGAAATAAGAATCATCTAGTTCCCCTGACTGGGTTATCGAATAGGTGGCGGAGGACGTCTGTTGCCTGTCAGGCTCGAGGAAGAATTTGCCTCCACCAGGCAAAGCCAGGAAGATACTGCTTCCAATGTTGACCCACTTGGCGCCGCGACTGAGAAGGCGATCTCGTAAGAACGCCAAGTCAAAGGTCTTGGGTTCATTTATTGAGTTGAAAGAATGCGACAATGCTTGATTTGCTTCTATCATTTCCTGGTCTCGAGCACTGGTCAAAGGATTGGAGGCAGGGGCAGAGATAGGAATGCCAATGTCTTCCAAGACTTCGCTGTGGCGATCACTGGGAGATATATGCTGCTCCGCAGTGCCTTCAATGGTATTGCTGCCTGCAACAACTTCCTCATTTGGCACGAATGGTGGCGGAATAGTGTCGTTCTCAAACTGACCACTATTGTTGCCTGGCGATTCTGGATCTACGACGGCACCGTGTGCATGCCGCGAGGTAGTTGTGTCCGTGTTCTCGTCTTCCGACTTTCTGAATAGATCGTTGTTATGGGAGCTCGTTGGGCCATCCCTAACTAAAGGGTTATTCTCGTTGGCCGCTGTTGATATGCCACTGGGCCCAAGTCCTCGATTGGGAGTTCCTGTAGTTGTGTTCCTAGAGGTAGCCGAGTATACAGCTGAGCTTTGCAGCAAGTTCCGCAGCTCGTCAATCCCACTACCGAGCGCTTGGACACCCTCACTTAGCTTGTGCAAAACCGCCAGAAGTTCAGGGCTGACTACTGGAGATGCGTTGTTTGCAGCTGGATCGCTAGGCATGGCCCTTGCGCTGGGAGGCCGGGAGTTGGAATCCTGAGGTACCATGTTTCGACTGGAGTAATGATTTCGAGGTTCTAGTATGTAGCGATGGAATGATATTGAGTGACAGTGGAAGTGGGAATGGGGTGAGGGAAGTCAATAGTGACACCAGCAATGAGACACACGGTGGTGCCTTTATTGGCTTGATCCCCACTCCTCTGCGCCGCGGAGATAACATAAAAGAAGTATCTACTTGTTTCAGGGTGTTTTGATAATTATATGATAGATAGTTGGTAGAGAGCGAAATGCGTACGATTGAGAATACAAATGAGGTATGATCTTCTAAGGGTGATCCTGCAGATCTGAGCAAGCTCCTTTTCTCTCGGCCGCGAAAGATCATGGTCCTGTCCAGAGTGTGAGAGCCTACCTCTGGCTAAAAGACATGGAGCTACCTGCGGCAGCTCCCATGTTCAGACATGAAGAATAAGCGGAAAAGAAAACACATCACCTCATCGATTGGCAGGACTAATTGAGTAGCTTCTAGTTTATCTAAGGCAGAACGGACGGGACGTTGAATTTCCTTGACCTAGAACCTATGGTCGTGTGTAAGAGTATTGTTTACAACAGTGGAACCTGGATGCCGATGGACAGGGAGCGCAAGTCGCCGACGCTAATTATTATGCTTCAGGCAACCCAGTGCATCTAGACCATGTAAAGCTGAAATGTTTTTTTTTTTAATTTTTTTTTGTATATATAAAAAATATACAAAAAAAAGGAAAGCCGGTAACAAAACCGAGTTTGCAAAGTACATCGTAGTTTGCGACCGGAATCAACATTGACAACAACGAGCACTTGAGATCTGCTGCTCAGCAAAGCAGACATCCAGCTGGCGGGCAGCTGGTGAAGCCTGACGTATTTGTCGCAGTAGCGCCTGCCGCTTCGGAGGAGCATGCAACGGTCGTACCTGAGTAGGTACCTAGAGTAGCTCCAAGCTCCCAAGCTTGAGCACTCGTACAGTCACCAACATCTACCCTCGCCAGCACCCTATGGACCACAATGGCATCTCAAGGTGACAACGACAAGGACCCTTGGGACAAGGAGACCAAGCGAAAGTTCGAGAGGTACGACGAGACCAAGCGATCACGATGCCGAGACCACTGTTCAAGCTGACAGGCTATTTGCGACAGTAAATCCAAGAGCGAATACTTCGATCCCTGCCAAGAAGCCGCCGAGCGAAGCATACGGTGTTTGAAGAGGAACGGAGGCGATCGGGCCATGTGTACAGACTACTTTGAGTACGTCGCGAAGGGATGAGATGCTAGGAGCAGCTACTGGAGACAAGAGACTGACAACCTTGGCAGGGCATACCGTGAATGCAAGAAAGAATGGGTACAACATCCAACTTTGGCAGGCCACGCTTATGATGCTAACTTGTGTACAGATCAATAGGCGTAAGAAGGAGGGCGGCTCTTGGTTCTAGGCTGGGACTGCCCCGTAGAAATGTCTACGAAATAGTAGTGGACATGTGTACAACAATTGTATAATTCAACTCAGGCCAGTCCGGTGCATACATACATAGGTACGCTCAGGTTTGAGGTAGAGGAACAGACAGTGTAATGCACACAAACTGCCCGATTGTAGCTTTGAGGACACAAATAAACGACGAGACGGGTGTTTTTCGAGTATATTTTTGGACTGCTGCTAATGCATCACTGTATGGACTGCACAAGAGGGATATCATGCTGCTAGTCCTGGAGTCTTGCCAATACTCTTTTTTTTCGTCATCGAAAATCGTCCTATTCTAACTGGCAAAAGTCCCCAATCTGGAGTACGTTAGCACCACCGCTTGCCTATTTCGGCGCCTATATGTATATCACTAATGGAGAGGCTCGTGCTCACAGACCTGTCGCCAATGGCAGAAAGACGGGCGGCGCTCTTAGAACATGGGACCCCGCCAAATATTTGTTTTTGAGTGCAGCAACCCTTTGAGCCGATGAATGAGCTTGTAGACGGCCAATGTGCAAACATGAAGAGTTGGTTATAGTGATTCTTTTATATGACGACGAGCGGCAAAATCTATGATGTCGCCTGCCCTTGATCGGATTTTTCACAGCGGGCCCTTTCCAAACAATCCTTAGCAGCTAGTTCCAGTGAATTTACAGACCTGGGGGGCTCTTTCTTCAGGTCATGTCACCCCACCAAATCCCGTAAATCTACCACACAAACCACTCGGCCAGAGTTGAGTGAGGCCTCACCAAAGAAGTGCGCTCTGATTGCCTCAACCCCCGTTAGAGAGCCACCAATCCGTCAACCCCGAGAGCATCCTACGTGATTCCATCACAATGGCTGCTTCCTACTACTCAGGCAGAAACTTGCCCCCTCTGCGGCCCAACTGTGATGCTAATGTCCAGATCGCCTTTGGAGAGGGTAACTGGGCCAAGGCCATTACTTTGGCTAAACAACAGTTCAAGCGGTCACAAGATCCGTATTACGAGGTAAGCAGGCACACTTCCAGACCTTGTGGAGGATACAGGCGCTTTCAACTTTCTCTCCAACTTCCATGTTTTATCATCATCCTCATCCCAGCCAAGTCTTGCGACTAAGCGCTACACTGACTAGACCCTGTCGACTGCGCAAGAGCCTGGGAACCTGGACTGGAGTCTTGATGCGAGTGACCTAGCGACGGTGCATCGAATATTCCCACTGCAATTTCCGACACGAGACAGCATTTATTTGCCATACTGACATCGAATTTAGGCTGTCGAGTTGGCTGCTAGATCTGAGCTGGATACAGCCGCCGACAAGGTTGCCGCCTTCGTAGCCCTTGAGAAGATAGTCAAGGAGAAGAAGCCTGTCAAGGACCATTGGACCATCGAATTATTCGAGTGGGCAACCTCGCACATCGAGAAGGACTATTCAGAGTACATTGGCACACTGAGAGTCAACTTTGTCAAGGAATTTTGGAAGCCGGATGTGGACAAGGCTGGAATCGCCATCCGCTCGTACTGGTCTTGTGCGATCAACGATGACTGGGAGAGTGCTCAAGCCGTACGTTTGCTGAGCCATAATGATAGGCTACGCTGACACCTTTAGATTGCTGCCACGGTGGACAAGAAATTTCCCAATGAGTCTCGCCATTTGTTCTACAACATCCTTGCATATCATGTTCTCTCCGTAAGTGTCATCTGTAAATCAAGAGAGCCTCCGACAGCTGACTGTTTCTAGACCAACCTCCCGGCCGACCACCCCAAGCGACAATTATCACGCCGCCTTGCTGCGGGTCTGATTGACAAGGCCCGGGATCTGCGTGACAAGGCAAGTCCGCCATGGCGGGAAATCCACGGCTCAAATCTAACCTTTTGACAGAACCCTGCCTCTTCCGACTATCCGCCACGCGCGATCACCAGCGAGGAAGAGCTTCTCCTCTGGATTCGTGTTCAAGTTGCCTCCGTCGACAATGACGACAGTCTTGTCGATCTCCTGAAGAAGCCAGAGTTCGATGCTCTAAAGCGCCTTTCGGAAGGCTTCGGCTTCGTGTTCAAGGAGATTATGCACCTTCTTTCACATTGCGAGGCCTGGCGTGAAGTCTTCGATATTGGACAGAAGCTTTTTGATCGAGCTCTTGCTTACATAGTCGAAGCCGCCAACGCATCTCTCTCCGATGTTGTTGACGAAGACGACGAGATGGTGAAGAGAATGGACACCATACTGAACTTCACAAAGGATCAAACTGATAAGATTGGTAAGGCCCGAAAGGAGACGGAGTCGGCAGCATTTCAAAGTGCTGTCATGGATGGATCGCTCTGGATGTATTTCATCGGTGCTGCCAGCAAACTCGATGATAGCAAGAAGTTAGTTTTCGAGATCGATTGATGGTGCGGACGCTTGCTGACAACACTTAGAGCTCTCAAGCAACTGCGAGGCTTCATCGAAAAGGTGTCCAAAGTGACCAAGGTTAATGCCCTCTTCAGGCACCACATGGAGATCTCCAACCTCATCATTCTTTTCAACAGATACCGTTCCTCCGCCGTGAACGAGTCAACAGATGATCAAAGCACGCGTGTCAACCATCTATATACATATATTGTATCGTACCATAGTCAGGTGTCCTGCTTTGATTCTATCAAGCCTTTTCTGGAACAGCTTCGTTTCGATGAGGTTCAGTTCTTGTTGAGCCGTTTGGAACAAGAAGGTGCCGAGGTATATACTAGAAGCAAGATTTCTGGCAACCAAGGCTGACCCAGGTGACAGGAAAAGAATGATCTATTCAAGAACACTGCAATCTTGACGCTACGCCTCAAAATACGATACCTGATGACCACTTCCAACGTATCCATCAATGAGAAAGGAACAAACGCTCACCCCAGTTGCAAGTTCTGCAAGACTGATATTAAGGAGAATTCTTGCAATGTTTGCCTCCAATCAATAGCCAAGGCCAGCGCCTGGCTCTACAACCAGAATTGCGACAATCATGGTCTTCGAGTACGCATTAACGACATGGAAGACGTGGACCCCTTTGGAGACCTTGCCATTGTCGGCACCACCTGTCTGCTCAAGCTTTCCGGCCTTGAAAGCGGACGCCGAAGCGTGGGCATCTCTTCTGAGACCGCAATCGATTTGAGGCTACTCATGCGGGCCATTGCTTGGATGGAGCGTCATCACAACCGTGGTACCCAAAAGGGACAGGCAATCACTCTTTTCTTGGCAAAGCTTTACTTGCTGATTGGCTGTGTCCCTCAAGCCCACACGCTTTGGAGAACTTTGGAGGTGAAGAATGTAACACTCGACTCTCTTGGCCCTCTCTTCACGGATCGGCTATCGACCATTGCTCCAGGAATGTGGCGCGCTGGTGCCCCGACGCCCATGACTCAGTTCCATCGATACTTTAAGGACGCTATCGTGCGACACATTCCTACACAGCTTCGAACGGCGCTCGAGAACGGTAACTACGTAAGCGTCCTGGGCTTGAAGGACAGCCGTGACCGTCTTTGCAACAGCTGCACAATGATTATGACCAATGTTGAAGACCGCCGTGGTCTCAGAGCGATCGGCAGCAAGTATACTTACGATACCAATGACGACCCCCTGCTGCGTAAGCGAAAGGATTAGTTTTTTTTTTCTTTGTAATAGACAGCAGCTGACATACTTGTAGGCCTGATCAAGGAAGATAAGAGGTTTGAGGTTGCCACGGATTATGCTGCCCTCCCCGATCTGGAACGGGCACCTGCCAGCTTGGCCGAGCTCATTAGCATCGGCCCCCGTCTTTCGGTAGGTTGGAAGAAGAAGAAAACGCGCTCTGCTTTCATATAAAGAAGAAGAAAAGCTAACTTGGGCTCAGGAATCTCGTGCAAAGTTGTCGCTGTATGCTGAGTACTTCCTTTCCTTGGTTTCATTTCGGGAAAGCAAGGAGTACAAGCCTGCAAAGCCAGGATTGATTGCCGATAAAGACCGCAACTCGGTTGCAGAGGATTCGACCAAGATTAGAGACAAGTTTGAAGACCCGCTGGAACTTTCTCTCCAGGCATCCTGCTCGCCTAGCGAGAGGTTGATTGTCACTAGCGACGAGTACTCTTACTTCACCACCATCCAGAATCTGGCCGATTTGGTTGCTCTTGGCACCGCTGCTAAGACCTGGACTAAGAGCTCGCAACGGCCGAACGGTGTTTGGAGTGCGGTCCAGATCATTGTTGTTGAGCTCCAGGACCAGCAGGACGGCTTCATGGAGACACGCGCCCGCATCCCGGCCGACGTTTCCGTTCTTGGACAATTCGTGTCCCTGCACTCTCTGGGCATGCTGCGAGAGTCCATCATCGCTGTGAAGCTGACAGTTAACTACTTGGAGCGCGTCATCGCAGCCTCCAAGGATGCCCCCAAATGGCTGTCCGAAGACTGCAAGAATCTGAATGAGAAAGCCGCCCAATTCTCTGCTGTTGTGAAGCAACAGATCAAGGCTCTCAACGACGCCGCCAATGCTCCCGGCTGGCTTGACCGCATTGCTCAATTTACCTTTGGAGATTTGGCTTCTGGAGATCGAGTCGTGGACGAGACAGCCAAGGATTCTGAGAGCTCCGACTTGGACAGTGTCCTGTTCACGGCCTGTGGTGGCCAGGTTGGCCTCGAACACTCCATTGGTGAGATCCAGGAGAGCTGGCGCGAAGTTGCCAAGGGATGGAACACTGTCAAGCTTGACTAATTTCAGGATTCGCCAAAGCCCATGGATTTGGGACGTAGTACGATTGGAGATATGAAAGGTCACACGGGCTCGGCTTGTCTTTGGGGAAAGGACCGAGTTGCCCAGGTAATTGATAAGCATTTCGTAGAGCGCATGGTATATACATCCAGAGTCGCTTGCCGACCAGGAGTTTAGGCGCTCATGCAAAATGGGTAGATGGGAGACAGAAAAGGGTGTCTATTCACATTGAGCATGTCCGTTCAAAGACAATAGTATTTTTCCGAGAGCATAGAGCAGCAACTCTGCGCTCGTAAACATCATACCAACAACAAAAAAAAGGGTATCACACTCTGAAGCTTCCATCGAGCAATCTCCCATTGCAATAATGCGCCCGCAAAATTGACCTAGTTCCAATCCGAGACCACGCCATGCAAATTACTGAAAAAACTGAAAGTTGCTTGTATCATAAACACCTAGTCAAAGAATATCATTGGAAATCAATGAAGGGTGGCTGCCCGTTTCTGGTGTTTTTGCTTGAGAGCTAGAGCCTGGGGCTATGAATTCGAAGAGAAGATATCTCCCGACAGCCTTAGTTCCTCGAGTGAGTCGAGCTTCTCCTTCTCTTTCTAACCACAAAACTTCTCGTCTCTTCACGCAACGTGACCCAGACCCAGAACCAGCTCATCATTTCGACAAACGCGAGGGTGAAGAAGACGCGATTGCGCAAGCCGTCCCAGCCGCCTCCATCCTGGAAGGCGCCGCGTTGTAGAGGGACTGGACGCCCCGAGCCCAGGCGGCTGCCGCGCGGCGTGGTCAAGAAGGTGACGACGGTGAGGAGGGAGAAGAGCAGGACCCGGAGCGGCGCCTGGGCGGCCCAGTGGTGCACGAGCCAAATCTCCTCGGGCAGGGAGAGCGTCAGAATGTCCGAGAGGCCAAAGATGAGGAGGAGGAGGGCCAGGAGCGACGTCGTGGGTGTCGGCGTGTTGAATGCGGTGGTTTGGGGCTGGTAAGAACAGAGAAAGGAAGAGCGTTAGCTTTGCTGGCAAGACTGTAGGCAAATGGTGGGGGGGGATCATTACCATGCCCATGGCTTCGCCCAGAATATACACCAGCGCCTGATCGGCAATAGACCGCGGGCTAGTGAAGAAGAAGTAGCCCAGGGTGATGTGAAAGAGACATAGCGAGGTGAGGATCGTTTTCGCCGAGATGAGTGCCATGGTGGTGAATAACAGAGCTCTGGTCTGCTTTCCTGGAGCAACGTGGGACTTGCCCTTTATTCTGTCGAGAAGAGCGTTCAAGAATAGGTATCGACGGCGATCCAGAGACTGGACGGGGAGCTTAAGTAGATGAAACTGGGGTCCAAGAACGAATGAATGTGATCATTCCTTCCCAGGATTCGGAGGATCGCCAAGCTGCAGGAAGATGACTTGCAAAATCCGGGGAAAGGACAGGACCCAACCAGAACCCAAGAGAGGCAGTGCGGGACAGACTTTGATCTGAGGAAGAAGAGAAGCGGCTGGCTGGCTGGCTGGCGGATCGTGTCTAGTTTGGTCTGAAAGAGACACGGGTTCAGAAAGAACTGACTCAAGAATAGAAAGCAGCTCTCTTTTTCGGAATACTTTCCAGGGACCAAGTGTCAGAAGCTTGTCCACTCGCGCGTCACAAGGGGCTTCTTTGGCGCCTTGTTGCAATGTAAGCTGCCGTCTTATCGAGGGGTCTGGTGCCTTATCATAGTTGCGCTAGTGGATGCTGCCGCCACTACGCTGCTGAGCTACAGGCTGTCCATGGCGGGGCAACCCTGAAATCAGATGGAACAGCTGAAGAAGCAACCTGGCTACCAATGAACCGCCGGGTCAGAGTCGAGCTGATTCGTTCACCTGAGGTGCATTGATCTGCTTGCTGCCGGCTGCACAGGAAGGCAAAGGGAGAGAGTTTCTCGGGCCCGTTCACGAAACAGTATAATCAGCGATCGTGAATAGACAAGACTTTTCACCGCTTCCGTTAGATTAGAGGAGCCTCAACCGCCTGGTCTGATCATCCTACACACCCGTGAGTTCACTGCCGGCCGGCGCGGCTTCCACGAGTCATCAAACTCGGCCGAAATACCACCATCCATCATGGAGCTCGACGCCGCGCGCCACATTCGCTACTTCAAGCGATGCTACAGTGCCGTTCTGCCACACCATTACACGGCAAATGACAGCAGTCGACTCAGTCTCGGGTATTTCATTGTGGCCGGTCTGGACATACTCTCTTCGCCATCTTCTTACACAGCCTCGCCAGACTCAAAATCAAAACCACCTCCATCTCTTCTCACTTCAAAGGACAGATATCGGCTGCGCAAATGGGTCTTGTCCTTGCAGCACCGTGGCGGTGGTTTCTGCGGCAGCCCGCAGCATGTCTTCCCGGATGAGTTGCTGCCCAATGGACCAGTAACCGACCCAGAAAACGCCAACATTGCGGCAACCTACTTTGCATTGATGCTGTTGGCCATTGTGGCGGAAGATCCAAAGGAACCCTCAAAGGACATTCCCCTAGACATATACATAAATGTCAACAGGGTCGCCACGTTGCGATGGCTCAAGAGCTTGCAAAGAGAGGATGGAAGTTTTGGCGAGATTCTTAAGCCCGACGGCACTGTCGGAGGTGGTAGAGATATGCGCTATGCATACATGGCCGCGGTCATTCGCTGGGTGCTAGGAGGTGATCAGGCAGACTCAGGACTTGACTTCAACGTTGACAAATTTGTCAGCCATATCAAGCGGAGCCAGACGTTTGACGGTGGAATTGCAGAGAGTTCAATGGGTGAAAGTCACGCAGGCTACTCGTATTGCGCTGTGGCAGCCCTATCAATGTTGGACCTCACAGCCGAAGACGAGGAAAACCCAAACAAGTACCTAAAGGCCGGAATACCAAACATTCCCGCTCTCGTTCACTATCTTGTCTCGCGCCAATTTGTCTACACGGAAGAGACAGATGATGAAGATGATGAGACAGAGCCCAGCAACACGCCGGCCCCGGATATTGCTTCGCTAAGCTTGGAGGACCACTCAGTAGCCGGCTTTAGCGGTCGACCCAACAAGATCCCCGATACATGCTACACTTGGTGGGTGGCTGGGGCTTTGGACTTGCTCAGTGACGCCTTCGAGGGTCCGACTCGAGTCGACCAGGCATCTGGTAAGCAATTCCTGCTTGAAAAGACGCAACATGTCATTGGCGGCTTCGGAAAGAACGCCGGCAAGCCCCCGGATGTATATCACGCATATCTTGGACTGGCAGCCCTCGCCACCATGGCAGGCGATGAGCAAGAAGCAGGACTGGGACTTTTCAATGTTAGATTATGCATTGGAAAAGAGGCGGCCAACAGAGTCGCCATTGGAAGAAAAGAAATACTCCAAAAGGCCGCTTTGGATGCAGCAGAGGATTAGCCATGTACATTCTCAACCGGTCTGACATTCTTCGCAAGCACCATCACCCAATTACAAAAAGGGAACTACAATAGAAAAAAAGTCAAACAACAGTCTCCGCTGATCAGGGCTTGTGCCATGGTATGTGCCACTATGAATACTCGCAATGAATCTGAATTATTATGGTCATTCTAGCTTACGGTATGTCCCACCACTGCTCGTGCAGGTCTTTCAGGCTGATATCTTGTGGAAGCTTCAAGTACGAGGTTATGTCCCTCTCCGGGTTAGCTTCAGCCTTGGTAGAGCCTTTTCCAAAATACCACGCGAGCCGATTGCCAGTTTCGTGAAGGTATTCGTACTCCCAGTCTTCCCATCGCGGATCTCTGGAGATGATTGCGACAAGACTGGCACTGCCGGGCCATAATCCGTGGATTCTTGCACCCGGCTTGCCTCCATTGTACCATGAACTGCAGTTCTCCGAGAGCACCGTGGTCTTCCAGAAGGCATCGGAATATTGAACATAGTCATCTGTCGCTTTCTTCGACGGCTGAATCGTCTTGATGCCTTCTCGGCCAACCTTGCGCAGCAGCTTGGCGTAAAAGGTGACCTGTGTCTCGACACTATGCGGAACAGTTCCGGACCGGCCAGAACCGTTGGGTCCGTGAACAAACAGCAAGTTCTTGAATCCAGGCGTCGAGGTCCCCAGATATGTATAGGGAAAACCGTATTCACCGCCCTCTGTCCAAAGATCTCTCAAGTCTTTTCCGTTGGAAACGATGCCGAAAGGAGGCACAGAATCCACGTTGGCTCCCGTCGCACAGAAAATCGCATCAACCTCGCGGTGCTTTCCGTCGACGGTCTCGATGCCCGTCTCGGTAAATCTTTTGATGTGGGTCTGAATGTACTCGACATTATCCTCGGTAATGGCTTCGAAATAGCCAGGTCCGGGAGTCAGCCGGCGACAGTGTGGCGAAAAGTCCGGAATGATGCTCTTGATCAACTCGGGCTTCTTTACCAATCTTTCCTTGATGAGTTTTATAAACTCGGCCTTGGACTTTTCATTGCTCTCGGAACCCCGAAGCCAACTGTCAAAACCACGCCAATATTTCTCCTCAAAGGTTTTTCGGTACTTCAAGTATGCCTCGGGATCCTTTTTGAATGTCTCTCTGAGCTCTTCCGAGATTGGAATGGGTTTGATGGAAGTGGCGTCACCAGAGAAAGAAGCAGCGATCCATGTCTTGTTCCTTGCATAGTGATCAAGGTGTGCGACGCGAGACTGGATATTAGAGACCAGCTGAATTCCCGAGGCACCATTGCCAATGACGGCTACACTCTTGCCCGTTGGGTCAAAGTTGGGGTCCCAGTTGGACGCATGTCGCAGGAGGCCCTTGAAATCCTTCAGACCGGGATAGTTGGGAAGCTTCCACGCGTTGAATCTTCCAATCGCTGTGAGCAAAAAGTCCGTCTCGTGGGTGTACACTTCCCCTGTCGCTAGATTGTGCACCTTGATGAGCCATACGGATCGCTGCTCATCCCATTGTGCCCCCTCGATGCGTTGGGAGAGCTTCAAGTACTTGTACACATCGTACTTGCGCGCAACTTTGGTCCAGTACTCGCGGATCTCGGGACCCTGGGCAAACTCCTCGGTCCACTGTGTATTTGGCTCAAAAGATGACTGGTACACATGAGCTGGCACGTCACACCTGACGCCAGGGTAAATGTTTTCGAACCACGTTCCTCCCTAAATTGAATTAGTGTCCTTGAATCGACGGCAAGCCAAAGAGAATACTTACAACATCGGCATTCTTTTCGAATATGGTCAACTCTATGCCTGGAACCTTAGCTGGGAGCAGAACACCAGCAATTACACCAGAGAGGCCAGCGCCGACCACGGCTACTCTGACACTGCGCGGTTCATCGATGTATCGGTTGACGAGAGGTATTTCCGGCAAAAAGTACTTGTGTTGCGTCTGAGCAGGGTCCGCCTCTGGCTCCTTCAAAAGTGGCTCGACTATAGCCGCGACGCGTGCCTGCTCCACAGAATTTGTTTCTGCCGAAGGACGTGTTACATCTGCGTCTACTCTTTGGTGTAAATTGTCGACAGAAGTAGCATGAATGCTCTCTGGCGCAATTACTTCTGCTGTCATTGCTGCTGACTGGTGTACACCAAAAATGTGTCTTGGCGTCGGTACCTCACACAAACACACGAGAAATTGGGTTGAAGCTATACGATTGTACTTGCTTTATAGCCACCATCCGGCCTATCAGTGATCTCCAATTTCGTAACCCGATCGCGGCAATTGCGACACATGTGCCTATGCCAATCTCTAGCCGGCAGCCATGCGTCCTGGCGTTATCTACGATCACGTCTTCAGTGGGGTGAGCACGCCATCGTCGCCCCTCCATTACACCATATGGCGCGCGCGCGCACCACACCCGAGCCGAGCCCGGCTAGTGATAATCAGACATTCTATCCATCAGCCAAGAGATTGGGACGCCAGCGAAATGGGGCGCGCAGCGAAGCAAGCCAAAGTTTAGTTTTGGGTCAAGATTAGTATGGCGAAATTTCCTGGTGCTTTGACTGGTCTCATTGCCCACGGGGGCCCGGCTTCATATCCTGGCACTCTTTCAACGAGGAATGTACCCAGCATGAGCTGAACAAGCATAGATGGGGACTCGAAGTAGGGATCACTGGGATTTGAGTAACGGAAAGGGGCCGACATGCTTGAATCACATCAAGGTGCCTGCAAGAGCACAACATAAAGTTGATATATGATGGCATTTGCAGCCGTGTAATTTTCTGTTCCCATGCTCGACCATTCCGCGTTTTCGATTTGTCCTACGTCTTGATATCGAGAGAGAGAAAGAACAAGAAAGGGAAAAAAAAAAGGAATAAAAAAGTTCTCTAGCGACACGATGTCTGTCCAGCCACGGAAGAGGTGGTGGCATGTGCAGTGGTACTCTGACTTGGACACAAAGGAGGAAAGAAAGCTCATTCTCAAGCTTGATTTACTCTTTGTCCCATATGCAGTATTGTCGGTGAGTGCTCTTCTCAATGCAACTCTTTGGGAAAGCGCACACTAATCGAGTGCATGTCTAGTACTGGGTAAAATATGTTGACCAGGCCAACTTGAGTATGTTCTATGAAGCAAATTATTGGTCGAACAGGATTCCTTCTAACACGATATAGACAATGCCTATGTTGCTGGCATGAAAGAGGACTTGGGGTTCTTTGGAAACCAGCTGGTCCAATTACAGACGTTTTACGTCGTCGGAGCTGTTGTCGGCCAACTCCCCTTCTTGTGGCTCTTTACTCATGTGCCCATGTACTGGCTGATTCCAATCATGGACGTGGCCTGGGGCATTTTTACACTCCTTCAGTACCGGGCACACTCCTTTGCCGAGTTGGCCGCTTACCGCTTTCTGGTCGGATGGTTCGAGGTACACTTGCCCTTTACTCGTGAGGTTTGAACAATCACTAATATGAATAGGCGGCATTCTTTCCAGCTATCCATTATGTGTTTGGTAAGTCTTGTGTTCTTGAATATTCGGTAACATGACTAATTCCACATCAGGGTCCTGGTACCGTGGCGATGAGATTGCCCGTCGAGGTGGCGTCTTCTACATTGGTCTCTCCTTGGGCACACTGACGGCCGGTCTCATCCAAGCTGGCGCCTCTGCGCGACTTGATGGTGTCAATGGACTGGCAGGCTGGAGATGGATGTACATAATCTGCGCCATCATCACCATTCCCATAGGTTTGCTGGGATACTTTCTCATTCCTGGCACTCCTCAGCAGCCGAATCGCTGGGTGCTCAAGCAGCATGATATTGACCTCAGCATCGAGCGGCTGAAGCGGGCGGGCCATAGTGCACGCGGCGCCGTCACGCTCGCGACGGTGAAAAAGGTCCTGCTGAGTCCACACTTTTGGGCCATCATTGGTGTCGACGTTCTCTTCTGGAATGCAGGCATTCACACTTCTGCCGGCGCCTTTTTGCTATGGATCAAGAGCCTTGGCCGGTATTCCACTGCCCACGTCAATGAGCTAGGCACTATCGCTCCAGCTTTGGGCATCTTTTACACCTTGTTCATCTGCTTCTCCTCAGATTTGTTCCTGGGTCCGGCGTGGGCCATTACTCTGTCCACGGCCTGGAACGCCCTGGGCTTGCTCATCCTCGTCATCTGGGACGTGCCCGAGGCGGCCAAGTGGTTTGCCTTTTCCACCATTTACGCCTCGGTCGCCCTGTCGAGCGTCCTGCACGGCTGGGTCAATACGCAGCTCCGGGGCTCCCCGGCCGAGCGCTCCTTTACCCTGGTCCTCATGAATGCCATTTCCCAGTCCACCACGGCGTGGACGCCTTTGCTCGTTTTTCCCACGGTCGAGGCTCCACGTTATCTCAAGGGTTTTGCGTTTTGTTTTGCTTGCGCCATTGTCTTGATCCCAGCCACGCATGCGCTCAAGGCCTATGTCAAGCGAAAGGAGTAAGCCGATTTCAAAAAATGATATTTGTAAGAATCATGTATGCTAACATTCCTTCTAGAGCCAAATCCAACGACTCGATTTCCACACTGTCTGAGGAGCCTCATGAGCCTCATGCAGATGATGGTGCAAGTAAGACGGCGGTGCAGACCACGCGAGCTGGTGGTACAAGCGAATAGACTAGTGGACATCATGATCCTGTCACTGAACAACGGTTTACTTAGTGTGTTGGTAGCATATCTGAAGAATGGCGACATGACCAAAATCAGCAGTAGTCTATACCTGGACGACATGCTGCATCATATGTAGGTGGATGCAGATAGCATATAGAGTCAAGCAAGGGGATTATCCTGATACTAAGACAAGAATACCACATGTGCCAATACATTCAAACCCTCGACACGAGTCCACGTAAAGTTTGCGCAATCTAATTCCCTAACCTGATGGATGCATTTCCCACCCAGCCCTGCTTGTGTTTTCGTTATGCACCCGAATGAACATTTGGAGCTACTCTCAGACATAGATGCAGCCAAGATAGGAATACATCCGTCGGGATCAAGTCCGATCAACAAGCTATATGCTGACTTATGGTGACATTGTGGGGGACTATCACGCCAGACAGCTCATCAGCTCATCCTCCCATCACTTGCCCCGCTATCGAGTATTGTATCATATTCATGCAGTATCACGGTGCGTCCGGTATATCTCCAGAAATAGTGGGGTCTGGGCGAGCACGTAAAGTTATACATAGCATGGTTGATTCCGTGTTCCCGTGTCTCAGTGCACACATTGTGATAGTGATTCAAGGTCAGAAGCTCCAAGCTTATCACAATGGGAGAAACAGCCACTGATGGTCATGCCACCATTGCAAACGGGGCCGATGATGGTATCCTGGGCAATGGAAAGAAGCAAATATTCTTGAATGCTTTTGACATGTCCACCGTGGGGCATCTCTCCCCTGGACAATGGAAGGTTTGTGTCCATTTCTTGTTGTTCGCGATTGAGCAGAGGACCTAACATCAAAGCTAGAACCCTGGGGACAAGTCGGCGACAAAGCGAAAGCTCGAATACTGGATCGAGCTCGCCAAACTTTTGGAAAAGGGCGGCTTCAATGCCCTGTTCCTGGCGGATACATATGGAGGTTACGACACATATGAGCAGAGCCTCGATAATTGTATTCGGCGCGCGGCCCAATGGCCCATGACGGACCCAACCATTGTGAGTAACTGGCGTATCTGTTGACATATCTTGATATTAATCTTTGCCCAGCCCATCACGGCCATGGCAGCCGTGACCAAAAACTTGAACTTTGCCATTACTGCATCAACTTCATTCGAGCCACCATTTTTACTGGCCAAGAGATTTTCTACTCTTGATCATTTCACACAAGGTCGGTTTGGCTGGAACATTGTCACTTCCTGGAAAAAGGCGGCGTTCAAAGCTATTGGACTGGAGAACCCCATTGAGCATGACGAGAGATATCGCCAGGCAGACGAGTATCTCCGAGTATTGTACAAGTGAGTTGGAATCTTTCAATGGATACTAGTAACTGTTGCTAATGGACGACTGAAGGCTCTGGGAAGGCTCATGGGCAGACGATGCCATTTCACCAGATCCTGCAAATGATAGCTATGCAGACCCGGACAAGATCAGGACCATTAAGCATCACGGCAAATATTACAACCTCGACTCTCGGCATATTGTGGATCCATCGCCCCAGAGAACGCCGTTCCTGTTCCAGGCCGGTACCTCGGCCGCGGGCTCAGAATTTGCTGCGAGCCACGCAGAGGGAATCTTTGTCTCTTCTCACTCGCCTACGGTACTGCGACCCAAGGTGCAAAAGATTCGAGAGCTCGCACAATCTCAAGGGCGCGACCCGCGCTCCATCAAATTCTTTGGCACATATACACCCATCCTCGGCCGCACCGACGAGGAAGCCCGGGCCAAGTACGAGGAGCTCAAGAAGCACGCCTCGACGGTGGGCGGGCTGGTGCTGGTGAGCGGGTGGACGGGCATCGACCTGTCCAAGATCCCCATTGACCAGGAGATCACGGCGGCGGACTCGGTCGAGGCGCACAAGGTTCGCTCCATGCTCGACGCCTTTACGACGACGAGCGAGCAGGTGCCCAAGTGGACGCCGCGCGTCATTGCCGAAAAGGCGGCCATTGGGGGTTTGGGACCCGTGGGCGTGGGCAGCCCGCAGACGGTCGCCGACGACCTGGTGCGCTGGGCCCGCGAGGCGGATCTCGACGGGTTCAATCTCGGCTACGTCACGACGCCCGGCACGTTCGAGGACGTGGTCGAGCTGCTCATTCCCGAGCTGAGGCGCCGCGGCATCTACCCCGAGCTAGAGGACTACGAGTCAGGTCTCACGGCGCGAGAGAGGATATACGGCAAGGGCCAGAGTGGACTGCGCGACGACCATACTGGTTCGGCTTACAAGTACGATCGATACCAAGAAGATCCACCGTACAGCTCGGCTGAGGAGACGCAGCTGGCCGAGGGAAAAGTCGCTCAGCAGACAGCTTGATGGGGACGCTGCCAAGGCGAGCAAGATGTTCGGGTCATGACAGTACCGAACTTGCCGCCTGGATTTGTACGTTTGTTCGATTGAAGCAGTATACAGTGCCTATACCCTGCTAGTAGCTCCCTCTATTTGAAAGTCATGTGTGGGGTGAGTGAGGATTCCAAAACACCGGATACTCGAATTGATGAAGACGTAAACTCTGATGAGCTCAACCAATAGGATTACGAACAAGACTGATTTCTCCTTTGCTTCTTTGCAAGTGATCAGGGATAACGGCGCTCCCCGGAGCCGGGTTGTTGACGCCATCGACATAGTCCTCCAAGCCTTATCTCCATTCTCTCTAGGCATGTGGTTCCGTAGAGGCATGGCAATGCGCCTTGGACAAAATTCCCCAACCACTTGGTATCCATTTCTAATGCAGCATCAAACATGTGGTTTCTTTGAGTTTCTTAATGTGTGTGCGTTTGTGTTAACCGAAGTGTATCGCAGCGCCGATCTACCGTGCGTTTCGCAACCCCGCATCGGCATTGCGTGATCATTGCTGGTGTTGCGTGATCCGCGGGTGCAATGATGCCCGCTATGCCCTGAGGGCTCGCGTGGTTATGCCAAGCATATCGTGAATGAGCGTAAAAAGAAAATGCAACACCTTGTCTTGGAATTGTTTGTTCTTTTGTGAGCTGTTCGATAAATTCTGCCCATCAGATTATTGCCAATTCCTCAGATAATTATACACAACGACCATACAACATGTCTGAGAACAGTCAGGCCGAAAGGCCCAAGAAGAATCTCGTTATCAATGCATTTGTTGAGATGTGTAAGTCGATTACTGAAAAATGATGTTGTGATTCGGTTCCCAAATGAGCTCATACATGTTGCAGGCAGTGGTCACCAGTCCCCAGGACTTTGGAGGCATCCCGATGATCAATCTTGGCGCTTCAACGAGGTATCTCACTGGGTTGAATTGGCCAAAATACTGGAAGAAGCAAAATTCCACGGTATTTTCATTGCAGACGTACTTGGTAAGATTTCATTCTCGACGGGATTGGATTTACTTTGCTGACCAGAGTCGAACAGGGGGCTATGATGTCTACAGCAAGTCCCTGGATCCTGCCAAGATCTCGGGAGCACAATGGCCAGTCAACGAGCCTCTGGCTGTTGTATCGGCCATGGCCGCTGCTACCAAGTCCATAGGCTTTGGAGTCACGGTATCAACAACCTATGAAGAGCCGTATCATTTGGCCAGAAGATTGTCGACTGTTGATCATTTGACCAATGGACGTCTGGGATGGAACGTGAGTTGTGTCGTATCTTTTGAATCTGACATGCGCTGACCCGGATAGATCGTCACAAGTTATCTGGACTCGGCGGCTCGAAACATGGGTCGAACAGAGCAACCTCAGGTATGTCCCTCGAAAATAACCATGACCGACTATCATGGCTGACTACAAGTCCAGCACGATGATCGGTATGCCCAAGCAGAAGAGTACATCAAGGTCATGTACAAACTGTTCGAATCATCCTGGAGGGACGACGCCGTAAAGTTGGACCGCGAGAAAGGCATTTACACTCAGCCCGATCTGGTGCGGCAGATCAACCACGAGGGCAAGTTTTTCAAAGTACCCGGCCCGCATATCGTGCAGCCAAGTCCGCAGCGGACGCCGCTCCTGCTACAGGCCGGTACCTCGCGCGCCGGCAAGCTGTTTGCCGCCCAACACGCCGAGGCCATCTTTGTCTCGGCCCACGCGCCGCAGGTCTGCGCCAAGAGCATTGCCGAGGTGCGGGAGTTGGCAAAGACACAGTTTGGCCGTGACCCATCGAACCTCAAGGTCCTCGCCCTCGTGACACCCATCCTGGGAAGGACCACCGAGGAGGCCCAGGCCAAGCTCAAGGAGTTCCGGCAATATGCCTCCCACGAGGGTGCCCTGGCCCTCTTTGGCGGCTGGACTGGAATCGATCTGAGCCAATACGGCGACGACGAGGAGCTTCGCCACGTCGAGAGCAATGCGGTCAAGTCGACGGTCGAAGGGTATGCTCGCTTTGCTCCGGGTACTTCAAAGTGGACCAAGCACACCATTGCCGAACATGTAAGCATTGGCGGCAACGGGCCCATCTTTGTTGGCACGCCAGAAGAAGTAGCCGATGGACTCGAGGTGTGGATCAAGGAGGCCGACATTGACGGTTTCAACTTTGTAAGTCTTCTGACATCTCAAGTGTAGCACAAACTAACTTGCGCAACAGGCATACGCGCTCTTCCCTCAGTCTTTCAAAGACATTATTGAACTGCTTTTGCCCGAATTGAAAAGGCGAGGCCTCTTTTGGGATGACTACGCTGTCGAAAAGGGCACTTATCGAGAGAACTTTTACCAAAAGCAAGGTCAAAAGGGTCCACTAGACGAGCATGTCGCTTCGTCATTTAGATGGAAGGCTGGGGTTTCCGCTGATCAGCACCCTATACCTGAGTAAGCTGGCCGAGTTGACATCTTGTTGGTTGAGCGTCATATTTAGGCAGAATAAGCAATGCCTTGGCTGCATCAGAGCTGTAAAAACTTACCCGGGAAGACTCCTTGTTCGATGATTGACTTTCAGTCTTGCATAAATGCCCCCTTCGAATACGCGTTCTGAGCCGTGGCAGATAAACGTGAAATTAGTCAATGCCAAGTGCTGCTAAAAGAGCTACCCAAAGCTCATCTTTTGAAAACGGAACAAAATGAAACCCAAGGAGAGTGGTTGAATTAGAGAGTCTTTATTTATGTCTATCTCCTGGGAACGTACAAGTAGGTATCTCTTGGCGTTCGTCTCTCGTAGAGTCTGCACTGATTGATGTCGATCGATTAGACGCCGACTCGTCCAGCCTCACCTCTGGCTTGGACACCAAGAACAAGCGGTCCGCCGCCTGGCCCGCTAGCGTCTAGACTCAGAGTGACTTGTTCTCGATCAGCAATGACTCTGATCGCTTCACCCAAATTCCTCAAGTCTGTTTCGCATAGTCCAGTGTCACCGTCTACAGGGGTGACACCTCCACTACTGTTTCCAGAAACTGGGTCCATGGGGCCAAATGGTCTGACCTCCCGAATGTCGACATTGGGAAATGGCAGATAGCCCTCTCTTTGAGGAATCAGAAGAAGAGGTATGTCTGCTTCTGTTTCAGCCGTGCTGCTAAGATCCTCAGGAGCTGCAGACGGAGCGGGAATGACGAAATGGCCTTTCCTTCGTCCACCAATCAGCCAGGTCTCAGCAGGAGCAGTGACCTCGTATGAGAACTCCATATCTGACATTTCGTTGACCGGGGTAGCAGTGTCCCAGAGTCGAGTCCATCTGAGATGCAGTGTAGCAGGGGCAAGCTGATTGGTGGTCAGGATAGGCAAATCACCAATAGTGGTAGAGGAGCTGGGCATCAGTGATGATCCCTCAGGATTCAATCGAATATCGGCAGTGTGCACAATGACCATACTTGGAACATCCACTGGGATAAGGATCGATTTCAACCCAACCTCGGCCGGCGTTGTTTGTAGGGCAAGTGTTGGATGATCAGACAGCCACGACATGAGGAAGCCGTTCAGTGAAATCGCCAAATCTTGGCCGTTTTGGTCCAGTCCTAAACCTCTGAGTTGAGGTATCCATTCAATAGAAGAAAGAAAGTCTGTGGGCATGTGCCCAAGTAGTGCGGCTCGCTCCAAATCCAGTGCCGACAGCTCCCGCTCCACGTGCGGAAGGACTGTCGAAAACAGAAGACGCCCAAACGGCTGCAATGTGTTGTCCTTTAGAGCAGTGGTGATCGAATTCTTGATGGTTTCGGCAATGTCATCCTTAATTATGCCGTACTCAAGCTTGAGGTACATCGTCTTGCTACTCTTGGCTGTGACTTTCACGTTTTTACGAGAAATCTTGTATAGCAAGCTTGCAGGCTGTCTGGGGAAGATGACAACCGGGTCGCTCGGGGGCAAGCCAGACTTGGCCTCAAACACTTCCGATCCTACCAACTCACTGCTGAATAGACGCAGCGGACTTGAGCTGGACGTTGAAACTGTGAAGCGGGACATGAGTGCCTTGTGCTTGAAAATATCTTGCACATTTACACCCAGCGCGAGTGATATCGGGATGCTTGGGGATTTCGAGAAGATAAATGTTCCATGCTCAGTGTTGTAAGAAACCTCGATCTTTACCGAGACGTGGGAAACATCATTTTCCACAGTAAAAGGGAACCGGACTTTGACCAGAGTCCCTTGCTTGATCTGACCGAAGCTGAATAAGCCTGCTTCAGGTGGTTTTGAAAAGTCCAGTCCCAGGGTTTCAGCATCCACGACCTTGGCTTCCGATGAGAGGAGGCGCAACCCAGCCGTTGCGGCCTTGACTTTGACTTGGGCACTACTGAGCTCGTTCCACCCAGAATCAAGCTCGACATCGACTGTATTGTTCTTGTCCAGTTGTATCCGGTTCGAAGGGACCAACCGGACATCGAGTGTGTCTGCGCGTTGGTAGATGGTGATGTAAGAAGACCTCAAGACATCATCCAGTGCGTCCTGAGCTCGGCTAGCATCACGCTCGAGGTTGAGGCAAAGATTGCTGGCTACCAATTCGATTCTATCAATAGCATAGCCGCCTGGAACATTAACCTGTCGAGAAAATTAGTCACCGAAACTGCAAAGAATATATCATACTCACAGTGCTGTCAAGCTTGAGCCTACTCAAGCCCGGCTTGATCGTTGTAGCCTCGGACAATTCGAGTTGCACCTCCTTTTGCGCACCAGGAGTCTGTCCCACCATTCGCGCACTAGCCTTTTGCACAGTGAATTCATCCACCAAAAGACTGCTTAGCTTCAGGAAAATCGAGAATCCGTCTCTTCCATCGTGGTATTCTGGAGTTTTATCGACTTCGATACTGGAGAAGAAATTTGATAGAGGTGCTCTGATTTCACTTGAGAGCAGTTTCGTTTCCGACAGCAAATCGTTCAGGAAACCCTTGATAGCGTCATTGTCGGGATACTTGACAGGCTCCTTCTTTTCTCCTATGCGGAACGCGCGCTTCTGTTTTTGACGTTCGCTTTCGGCCGCTGCAGCCTTTGATAACAGCTTCAGCATGACCTTGACAAAATCATCCTTTCTGTCGAGTTCTCTCAAGCATTTTGAGTACATGACGAGCATCGAAAGCTCCAAAAGACTCCAGCCACTCTCTCCAAAGAATGGTGTCGTCCTCCAAAAGTAAGACGCAGCGGTGGCATAGTCCTCTTTGTGATATTTCAGGACGGCGAGATCAGCCATGCAGGCTTGCACCGAATGTGTGTGGTTGGCCACGGTATAGTGGCGTAAAGCCTTGTCCGTCAAAGTCTCATAAAGCCGATAGAAGTCGTCGTTGTTGCTGAGAGCCGCACGCAAAAGATTGCTATTAATACCAGCGATGGAGACAATTTTTCTTGCCAGTGTTGCACCATCTTCCGGGGATGGCGTGTTGTCATCCAAACTGATCTCAACCAAGTCCACCATAGAGGACTCGCCAACGACGGGGACGTGGGCCCAGCCGTCACTCCAACCTCTCTTCTTTCCGGATTCCTCGAGAATATTCCGAGACAGTGTGTATAGTTCGGCCCTCCGAGCAGCGAGATCTTCCAAGCCGGCTCTAAGGAAAGCTTTGGCCTTTGCAGCCTGATGCTCTGTTACCGCTGAATTTTGTCCTGGACCGGGAAAGGCGTTGGGACTGGGTGAGCGTGCACCGGGAGGTCCTGTGCGCAACGACGAGCTCCTGGCTGGGTGCATCATCGTTTTGGGCTCGGGTATGGCTGCTTTTGGTTCGTGGCCATCCGATGGCGCCACGGTAGATGGAGGTATAGGCAAAGCCTTGGTAGATGTTTGTGCCAGAACCTGCTGTGCAATCGAGAAGGCAAATGAGGCCACAAGGTTGTCTGCAATCTCGGCAAGTGCTGACTCGGAGGGCGCAGACTTTGATTTCTCGCCCTCCTTCTTGGTTGCAAACGCTGCTTGTAGATCACTCCGCAAGACCAGAGATACAGAGGGGATGAACTCCAACGTCCGCCTACAAATTTCTGCCAACATGGAGAGATCTTCTTGATCGTTCTCAGCTTGCTTTGGTGGAGGCACCCTCGGCGCAACTCCATGAATAATCGACTCTTGCTGTTCTCTCAACTTTGCCAATAATTCCTCCCGGCTCGACCACACGTTGCCAAGTCGTTGTAATAGTGCAATCTGCCGAGCAAAGATGTAGCATCTAAAGTCGAAAACCGAGACCTTGTTTTCTAAAATCAAATCTCGGTACGGTTTCTTGGTCGCACTGATCGGAATCTCGTCAAAGGTCGTCTTGGCTTCTCGTGGAGCAGACTCTGGCGCTTGCATGTCCACAATCTCGTCATCGTCGTTTTCCTTGTCAATGTCAACAAGCGCCTTTTGTACGGCCTCTTTGAGCTCTGGAGTATAGTTCAAGAGTGCATTAGCAGTTGCCCCTGACTCTCCGGTAGCTTGCTCCTTGATAGCCATATCAAGGCCCACGCCCAACTCGTCATAACCGACCAGAGCATCCTCGACAAGCCCTACACTCTCGAAGCCTCTGGCCAGACCCTCTTTCAGAATGAAGAAGGTGCAAAAGTTCCATCCAGGTAGACTTCGTTGTTGGTCCCTTTCTTTGATATCTTCTTCATACTGGCTGACTCTCATGTCGAAACTACTCAAAATGAGATCGCGAATCTTTGAAATGAGGTCATTCCAAACGGCTTCACTCTCTTCCGCCGTTTCCTTGTAGCTGCTTGGCACTGCATTGGTAATCCGCGGCAGGATATCATATGGCACGTCGTTAACGCCAATCCGAATTTGCGCGATCCGGTCTGTCGCTCCCTTGCTGCTCGAGTTGAAGTCTGCCCTGAGCTTCTCCAGCAGAGTACTAGATCCTGGACGCCATCGTGACGCGGCCGTCGTAGCTGCTGCCTCGGACTTGCCAGTAACTCTTGGCTGCGCCGCCGCCGCCGTATTGGGCACCACAACGTGCAGGATTAGCCACTCGAAAGCATCGTGGTTCTCGGCATTGGTTTTCTTCGCGCCGCTTGAAGGAGTATGCGTCTTGACCCAGTCGCGTATCTCCTGACGGACACTTGACTTGTAGGAGTCGCTATCGTCGCAGCGCACCAGCAGCACCTTGAGGTAAGGTGTTCTTCTTAAGCCTGGAATTTGATGGCGGCGCGCGGGTGTGCTGTTGGGATGAGCGGCTGGCTTTGACGTGGAGTCTGGCGCATTTGCACCGATTTGAGTCTGGAATCCATCACCTCCTTCTGGAGCGCCTGTTGAGGTCTCGGGGCGCTGGAGACTCGGAAAGAAGGGGTCTGGAGAAAGAATCGGCTTGGGGTCGACAGAGCCCTCGGGCGCAAGCTCAATGTGTAATGTATCGATCGATCGAAGTGGTCCGGCATGCGATTGCCAGTGTAGGTTGCGAAGGGGCAGTCTGGGTATCAGCCCCGGGGCGAGCAGCTTATAGACGCCATGAGGATCGAAGTATTCGACTTGTGTGCACGTCAGCATGGTTTGCGACAACCATCGGTGTGAACGCCTAATCAACATACCGGTAACCTTGGAGGTGGAGAAGGGCTGTTCCATCATGAACAGCTTTCAGTATTGATCATTACTTCATGACTTGGAACAACAAAATAACAAAGGATGGCAACCAAAGCTGAAACAATACGCTGTGCAATTCGTCAAGGCTCTCAGAGAAGCTATCGTGTCTCAATGTTACTATGCAGTGACTTTGGCTGAGCTCTGACAGGGGCGAACGGTGGCAGATGGCTGGTTGGTCCTTGGTCGGCCTCATTGTCAGGGGTTAGCTGCCGGTGAAAGTACTAGCGTGCCCATGACGGCGTTCGGTCCCGCCCACTGAGACCCCTGGAGAGCTTCACCTTGAGGGACGAGATGCAGCGATTGGCAGAAATGGATCGCTGACCTAGCGCTGGATTTTTCTGGATGGTGGGGTGATGGCAGAATCGAAAATTGCCCCGCCATTGCGACGAATATGATCTCGAGTACTAATAGTTGGGCCGCAAAGACTTCTGGAGAGATTGTTTCTCCTCTATTATTCCAGTATCCCACTGTTCTTTCTGTTTGTGTATAGATCGAAGTAGTAAGACTTCCAAAGCAATATGTCCTCCCTTCAGGCAATCCGCTACCAGCGCGGCGAGTTGCTGGTTCTCGACCAACTACGACTCCCTCACGAAAACCACTACGATCCCGTCACAACCTCGGAAGAGGCATTCGACTGCATCCGATCTATGCGTGTGCGTGGTGCACCTGCTATTGCCATAGTAGCTGCCCTCGGACATGCCGTCGAACTTCACAACGGCGCCCTCGCGGCCTCTGCTGGTCCCTTTGATACCATTTCTTACATCGACTCGAGACTAGACTACCTGTACGAGTCTCGTCCTACAGCAGTAGATCTGGGAAACGCCATCACGCACCTCAAGAAAGTCATTCGGGAAGCTGAGCTCGACCGCTCCAAGATTGTACAGGCATACATTGAGGCGGCCGAAGAGATCTTCCGCAAGGACACAGAAACCAACAGATCCATCGGTGCCCATGGCGCTTCATGGCTCCTAGAGAATGCGCAAGTCGCAACATTGGAGGAGAAAGTCTCGGTTCTCACCCACTGCAACACTGGCTCTCTGGCCACTTCGGGCCACGGCACTGCCCTGGGTATAATTCGCTCTCTTCATGAGCAGGACAAGCTGGTCCACGCCTTCTGCACAGAGACCAGGCCTTATAATCAGGGAAGCCGACTCACAGCCTTTGAGCTGGTCTATGAAAACATCCCTTCGACACTCATCACAGACTCCATGGCAGGTGCTCTGTTCAGCACACGAAAGCAACAAGACCACATTGCAGCAGTAATCGTTGGCGCTGACCGCGTGGTCCGTAACGGTGACACTGCAAACAAGGTTGGAACATACGCTCTGTCTGTGTTGGCGCATTATCATGGTATCAAGTTCATGGTAGCGGCGCCCACGACCTCCATTGATCTGCACACCGAGACCGGAGCCGAAATCAAGATCGAGGAGCGCAAGCGCGAGGAGCTCACGCAGATCAGCGGCGCCGTTGTCGCAAAGGACGGCAGCGTCGACACCAGCAGAACAGAACGGGTTGCCATTGCTGATCAGAGAATCGGCGTATGGAACCCTGCTTTTGATGTGACACCAGCAGAGTTGATCGATGCTATCGTGACAGAGAATGGTGTCGTGACAAAGGGAGCAGATGGCAAGTTCGATTTTCGGCATGTCATGCCGGAACGGTGGGCAGAGGCTGTAGGCCAATGATCGCTTTTGATATGTCCATACGCTATAGAAATACAAACAAAATCGAGTATCTACCTTGTGGCATTACGATGCCATTTAGTTCTTGAGCGCATGCAAGATCAACTTCTTGTAGCCTTCAACTGCAGCTTCAAGATCCTTGACTTTGAGCGCCTCGTTGGGTCCGTGAGCGACAAAGATCGTTCCAGGGCCGTACAAGTACCGTGTGTGGTCTCCTTTCAGGTTCGCGACGTCTGTACCGTAGTTGACAGTGATGTTCTCGAATCCACTGACCTCACAGTTGCAATCAATCGCACCGTAGCCATTGTTGCAGCTGATATCGAATGCCTCATCGTCAACGCTCTTGAGCACGTCACGAATCCTCTCCTCGATCACCACTGCTCCCGTCTCTTGGGGCCCAATGGCGATACGCACGGCAATCTTTGCCTCGGCCTTTTCGGGAATGACGTTGGCTGCGACACCGCCCTCAAACTTGCCTACGTTGACAGTCGTGTTGCCAAGTCTCTCGCTGCTGCCCAAATCCGCATCCAGGATCTTGACCAAGCCTCGCATCAGCACCTCGTTGGCACTCTTGCCCAACCATGGGTATCCAGAGTGGCCTGCGTGGCCAGTGGCCTTGACAGTGCACCCCAAGAATCCCTTGTGCCCACATGCGAGCTTGCCTTCGGTGGGCTCTCCAAAGATGGCCGCGTCAAACGTTGGCTTCGGTTCGAGTTGCTCGAGGGAGTCGGAAAAGTGTCGCATTCCATCGCCAATCGTCTCTTCGCCGACTACAAAGAGCAGCATGACTTCCTCTGCCGGGAAATCTTCATGCTCCGGGGATTGGATCAGATCCAGGAGTGCCGTCACCTGCGCAGCCACAGCCGCTTTGGCATCCACGCTGCCACGACCACTGATTTCGGTGTCGCTGGTCACCTTGTCGCCCTCGGAGATTGAGTATGGAATAAAAGGCGGCACGGTGTCAATGTGGCTGCTGACGAGCACCTTTGGTCTCGGTACTTTGCTCTTCGTCGGCCATGCCAGCACATTGTATCTCGGCTTCTCATCGGCTGCCGCGTTCGATGAAGGTACAGCCTGGAGCTCAACCCGGAGACCAAGATCGGTCAGGTAGTCGGCAAGGAAATGTCCGACGGCGGCTTCAGAACCCGAGACGGAAGGAATTTCGACAAGCGACTTGTGAAGGTGCAGCAGTGTATCGCGATAGTGCGGCGCAGAGGATGATTCGGAATCAGACGACGAAATAATAGTCTGTGAAGACGAAGAGGCACCACCAAAAATGTGAGCCGCAACGCCGACGCTTGCGAAGAGCGCCGGGAGCTGGCTTTGTAGTCTCATGGTGGATGGCAAGCTGCGATTGACAAATGTTACCAAACTCTGGAATACAAGACGATCTATTGCCGTCCAATTGACTCAAGCCTGACACGCAATCAAAGGTTGCAAATTGACTCAATCCACACAATGGGAGGGGTTTGATGCTGTCGCTGTGCTCCGAAGCTCCAAAAAGAGCGATAACGGGAAAGCTTTGGTGGAGCTCAAGCACTTACAGGGATGACGTAGGGAGCCATCGGCTATACTAGGTCCACAAATCGATTAACCATAAACACAACTCTCGTACTCAACCGTTATGTTTTGGAGGCGACTGTCTTCTTTTCCTTCGCCGTATAGATGTGTGCAAATCCAATAAAACCATGTTTAAGACATTGCGGATAGTAGAGTAAGAAGCAGTGCGTAGCATGCATTAAGGTATGCACTCCAGTCCTCTTGTAAGTATAGAGTTGCCAGAAATGTGCCGTTCCTTAGGCGCTGACCAGGTACACCTACTCACTGGGCGAGATGGAAAACAAGCATAAAATTAAGTGTTTTTTAATCTCAGCGCCAAGGTACCTGCAAGGTTCAAAACTCTTTGGAACTCGCGCGTCCCTCACGCCACGAACGCAGGAACAACCGCCTCCAGTATGAGTTAGGGACAAAGTTATGTCATTTTAAGCATACACTTAAACATTTATTCTACCTCTGCATCCAGGTACGAAACAATGTAGGTGAAATAAGATCTTTAAAGTAATGCGACAAAGGATCTCGTCACATACATCGTTCCTTGTCACAGTCACATGAGTAGGGGTGGCTAAGGTCTCTGCCAGGTATAAAATCCAGGGTCCTGGACGGTGCTTACGCGGTGCCCTAGCTGTCCTAGGCAGGACGTAGAGTATGGCTCTCCACTTTTGCCAACTTGCTTGACAATTGATATTATACGATTGGGCAACGACAATATGGCATTATGTCTCGTTTCGCCTTCTCGCATACCAAGACGCAGGGCTTTCTTGTGGCAAGGCACGGAATGTGGGATGCCGCTCCTCGTCCCGTCGCCAATACACACGGAAGATCTGCAAAAACGTTTACTCGTACCTGCAGAGCCGCAACGCACGTTGCCAGACTCGGGAGTTGGGATACATCGTCCGTCTGTAAAATGGGTCGACATCATTTCTGAACCGCGGAGGCTGACGTGCTCACCTATGAATACGCACCCGAAATGGTAGTCGAGTTCTTGGCTGAGAGGCGACCCGGCGGATTTCCGGTTGTGAACTTCACATAAGAGACGACGGCATGGCGGGCTGATGAATGATTTTGAGAAGCAACTCGCAGCTTCTTTACTTCTGTGTCCTGTATATATCAGAGTTTCGATCATCATGCGCTTCACTCCAAGCATCCTCTCGGGTTTGACCCTGCTGTCAGGCTCTGCCGTGTTAGCTCACCCTGGCCACGATATCAACAAGGAGATTGCTGCTCGTCAGGAATATCTCACCTCCGTCAAGCGCACCAACCTCGCCCACTGCACAGAGACTCTCAAAGCACGAGGCATCGAGAGACGAAACGTTGCTCGACGACAGGCCAAGCTCGAAGACGCGAGGGTAAAGAGTGAGTTGCTCCCCCCACCTGTACTCATCCAGATATGATACTCATCAAATTGTAGGAGGGTTGAAGAAGCGTGACCTTGGCACTGTGCTGGGCACATCTCACAATGCCACCGACCTTGGATACACACTGGATACTCCCGCCGATGAGTTGTTCAGTGGTGTCAACGGCTCTTGCCTCCTGAGCCCTGAAGCAACTCAGGGTCCATATTGTAAGCATCAAGCACTGTCTGGTTAACCACAATGTTTGCTGACATTAAGCCAAATAGATGTCGGTGGTGAATACGTTCGTGAGGACATTATCGAGGAGCAGGAAGGTGTCGACACAATCCTGGACTACCAAGTCATCGATGTTGATACCTGCGAGCCCGTACCCGATGTCTACGTCGAGATGTGGCACTGCAACGCGACGGGTGTGTACTCTGGCATTGTAGCTGGCGGCAACGGCAATCAGGCCGATACCGACAACATTGACACCACCTTTCTCCGTGGCATCCAAAAGACGGACGAGGACGGCGTTGCCCAGTTTGAGACCATCTTCCCTGGTCACTACCTCTCACGCACCAACCACATCCACATTCTTGTACACGCCGCCAACTCGACCGCCCTGTCCAATGACACGATTGGAAACGCCATCTGGTCGAGCCACGTCGGTCAGACATTCTTTGACCAGGATCTCATTGATGCCGTCGAGCTCCTTGAACCCTACAACACCAACTGGCAGCCAGTCACTCTTAACGAGGACGACAACGTTCTCCAAGGCGAGACTAGAACCGACGGAATTGATCCCGTGTTCCAGTACACGCTGCTTAGTGAGGATATCGCTGATGGCCTGTTTGGCTGGGTCGCTTTTGGCATCAACACGACTCGGGCTTCGAGTGTCAGCCCTGCTGCATTTTATTATGAGGATGGAGGAATGGTCAACCCAGCCAAAAACAATAGCGCTCCACCTGGACCTCCCCCAAGCGATTAAATCATACGTCGAATGACATGTGGTGAAATGAAAGCTGGAGATTTGGTGATACCTAGCAGCAGATACTGAATAAAAGCATAGCAACATATTTGACAACCAGTCTTGTTACCGTATCAAGATAGTACACACCATGAGAAAAGTGCATTTTGCCAAGTAATGGCGTTGGAAAGTCTTACCAATAAGATAGATACCCGAATTGGAGGGGTATCAATTGATTGCGCGGCCCCGCCCGCTCGTGGTTTTCTTTGATGCTCAACAGCATTTCCTGCGGTTTCTCGCCTTTGTTTACAATCAAGAAAAATTCAATCATTTCAACAGCATTCACCGATCGCGAGCATTCATCATGTCGTCATCTCCACGCTTCAAGCTCGTCTTTTTCGTTCCCACTGCCGCCGCCGAGGCGTGCAAGACTGCGATCTTTGGTGCCGGGGCGGGACGGTACCCAAATTACGCCGAAGTGTGCTACAGTACGGCGGGCACCGGACAGTTCCGCCCAGTCGGCAACGCAAAGCCGCACACGGGCCAGCTTGACAAGCTGGAGCATACCGAAGAGCTGCGCATCGAGACTTTGTGCCCGTCTGAGGATATTGCCAGAAAGTCTGTCGAGGCGCTCAAGAAGTAAGCTCCAACTTTCCTAATCCCTAGACTCCTGACCTTGGGGCGGCAAAAAAGGCTGACATGCAGCGCGGCTAGGGCGCACCCGTACGAGGAGGTTGCCTATGAAGTTTACAAGATCGAGGATTTCTAGATGGGTCGAGTTTATAGCAAGCAGGAAATATTATCGCTCTGAATATTTTATACTGCCCAATAATGCTTTCGAAATGGTCAAATTGAGTCCTGCTCTGCCATAAACTCTGCCTCTACAAGGATACACACAAGGATGGCGCACACGTACCCAACTATTGGGCCTGGACCGAATGACAGTCGAGCCAGATCCAGATGCTTATAAGGGCGCAATGGTCTGGAGCAACCATCTCGTGGCCATCATTCGAAGTATACTCGCAAACTGTGATACACCACTACATGACATTACACAGGCGCTATAGATCGCTGGTTGATTCGCTACCTTAGTAATCAATCCTTATTGCTGCCCACAATTCCATGCCAGATTGCCACAGAAGCGCCGACAGCATGAGACCTTGATAAGCCTCTGGAATCCTACTCAAGTAAAGAGCCAATGCGCTATACGGTTCATCAACTACTTCTAAAACTTGTAAGTTGTGTCATGATTTTTCTTTCTTTTCCCTTTCCTCAATTTTCCATTTGAGGTTTGAACATTTCCCCAGTCTCCATTGCCCCAACCTCCCCGCCATCCCCCTGCCTCCGTTCCCCAGCCTCCAGCCAAGAATGCACACCTTGACATGTAGTGATCTAGCCACAAACGACCTTGCGCACGGCAATTAGGAGAGATGTTACATATATTTCAAAACAAATGAAAGATGTCTAATACCGAGCATCAGCCGTACCAGTTTACGCGCCGAGTGGCGTAGTGGTCTGGTGCGGTTGACTCGTGGCCATCATTCAGATGCAATCTCTTGATGGAGAGCTCTTTGTTTGGATCCCAACGGGTCCACCGAGCTGAGAAGCAGCGTAGCGGTTTGGGTGCCCGTACCTGTTATACTCTCGGAAATCCGAAGTCTTATCGATAAAAATGTGAGGCCAGAACGCCAGAAGTGCGCAGTGCTCACAGGTAGCGAGTGTTGACAGCTACCCGATTATGAGATGAAGGATTTGCATGTTGGACTCTAATGCGAGGGTTGTGTCTGGAGGGGTGAGCCGTAGCTGTAGCAGTCGACGGGCTGTTGCAGCAAACTTTTTACTGTACGGCCCTCCTCATCTAACAAGATGATAATATCTTGCATTCGGATTTGTTCGATTGACCCTTTTTTTTCCCCCTCCATCTGTACAACACTTTTATAATCCGCGAAGATATATTTGATTTAGATTTGGTCACTTCCGCGATACCGGTTTCCATTAATTGTCCTTTCTTTTTCACCCACCAGGCCGTCATCGTCAAAGCTATTCTTAGTGCATCGGCTATCACTTCGTTTCTACTCTTGCATCGGCGCGTGTATAGTATGCTGCGCCTTTTGAAAGAATGAGTCGCGTGACGATGGATACAGGATATAGTTGCTATCTTTTCGAACAAGACTGATAGAACGTCGGATCTCGGTCTCGGCGTAAGAGGGTAGTATCACCGGCAAAGTATGCCGTAAATACGACATGCTGGACATTCAAGCTCGCATTGCATATGCCATACTCAGCTGCCAGCCCTCCCTCATTGTCTGGTCCGACATCCGAGACATCAATTATCTTTCTGGAACAAGTAGTTCCCAAATAGAAAGAAACCCAGCTCAAGACATTCCCACGTCGCAGTGTCCCCCCCGTCGCAATAGTTTCTAAGATAGGCAGGTTCGGCGACCAATAACTGGGCCAGTCTCACCTATGACAGGTGGTGCCAAGACCCCCATTCCAATATAATGTCTTATTGCCGAGCGTGTGGGGGTGGGTTTACTTACTAGCCTACTATCGACTATCTATAATCTACCTTAATTGTATTATGCTACATGCTACATGCCGCACGTGCAACATCTTTATCTGAGGAATTCTGAATTCAGGCAATTCGAGACGAGGCTTTGCCATGTTCAACGACCAAGTATATCGCATGAGCCAGCGCCAGTTTGTCGCTGCCCTCTGGCGGTCGATGGCCCTCTGCTGGCCGCTCGCAATTGCGCCAAGCACTGTGCTTCAATACAGCATCCATCTCCCCCTGATGCTGCTGGGGATCACCACAGGTCAATGATAATGACCAACCTCTTCTTCTCGCGGTCTCTGGCTCTACTAGTCGTGGTTTTCATCAACCTCGTAATAATACCCTCTTGCAATGCCTTTCCTACCTGCGGCACCACAGCTCCGGCGCAGGATGCCCTCAACTTTACCACCTCGGCCCTGAGCCTCGACCACCACCCCTTTGGCATTGCGTACTACACCAACGACATTGCTTTTGTAATAATACGGCGCTCCATTGGAGTGCTAGACATGTCCAACTTTACCCCGGTGCTAAAGTACACAGTCGAGCCGTCGCGCGCCGTGCTGGCGCACCTCGGCCTGAGCGAGGATCAGCCCGATTCGGACGACTACATCTTTCACGGCCTCGTGCTGTCTCCGGACCGGCGCGCCCTCTACGCGGCGGGCGGCTACGGTGCCTTGGTGGTGGATCCCGAGAGGGCCATGAACGGGCAAAACAACTCGGTCATTGGCGTCCTCGCCAACAACGGCATTGCGGGGAATTACTCGGCCATGGTGGCCATCACGCCGGACAGCCGCACCGTCTTTCTGACGCAGGAGTTTGGCAGCATCATCAATGGCCACCGCGGCAACGTCGAGGTGTGGAAGGTGACGCAGGGCCCCAATGGCTTGGTCACGGGCGTGTATGGGGGATTCGTGAACCTGGGGTACGCCACGGTGGGCATGGCGTTTTCGCGCGACAATAGCAAGCTCTACGTCACGAGCGAAATGACGGGTCTCGCCGATAGCCTCGGTGGGCTCTTGGAGGGCAGTATATCGGTCCTGGACATTGAGACGCTACAAGTCAACCCTGCCAATGCCGTCCTGTACACCATCTCGGCGGGGTGCCATCCCGTGCGCATCATACCAGGCACAGGGGGCAATCACATCTGGGTCAGCACCCGCGAGTCCAACTCGCTCATGGTCCACGATGCAGATAAGCTCGAATGCGAGGACACGGCCAACGACGCCTTGGTCAGCAGTATCCAGGTGGGCACATCGCCCGTGTCCCTGGCAGCAGTCGGCAATTTTGTGCTCACGGCCGACTCGAATCGATGGGGCTATGATAACACAACCACAGGCCTGAGTGTGGTTAGTACAAACTCGGTAGCACAGGGAAAGCTCGTCAACTATCCTCAGATTCCGACGGGCCTCTTCCCCCGCGAGTTTGGACTGAGCCCTGATGGCAAAACACTGTTAGTCTCGGAGTTTGACGGATACGCAGTTCGCGCAGTCGACGTCAGTCCTCTGACAGGACATGGCAGTAGCAGTCACACTCAGAGAACGATGAGAACCCGAGGATTAAAGTAACTCTATAATAATCTAGCAATACACCACAAGATAACGAGAAAATGCATGTGAACTTCCGAGGAAACAATGTCTCGTACATACTCTCTTCTGAACATGATATTGCACAGCATTGGAAAATTGTTGGGAAAGATTATGGAAGCAACCGGCATTTTTTTTTTTACTCATGTTGCACTTATTAAACAAGATTTAGTCCTTTTCAAAGTCTCCGATTTGGAGCAAAAGTCGTCTACTTCCACCAGAAGGTTCCAAAAAATCGCTTGCGCCAAGCGCCTCGCCGAAGAAATGCGAATAATGCGGGGGATCCACGGGGGATCTTTCGAATTTACAAAGCTATGCGTTCTTTCATCCAGGTATTTCTTGTTCCTCTCCACCTTTATCTCCCACCTCTGAAAGCTGAATGTAAAAAAAATCATGGGTATCTCCAATCAAGCTGATGTCCTTGCTGCTGCAATCTCGCCTCCGTGCTCCAACTTTGCTGGGCTTTTCTCGTTCTCTTCGGCTGCCGCCTCGTAGATCTCCTCAATCAGCTCCCCAGGTGCCTGAATAATAGGACTGAATTGATCAACCTCTTCGATGCTCTCTTCATCGACCCCACGATGGTCAAAGCTTTGGTCTCTCAACACATCTTCATCCTCCTCTTCGTCCTCTTCTTGAATAGGCATCTCCCCACTTCTTCTTCCCAGCCCTGAAGCGCTAGCATTGCGCGAGTGACTTCCACTGTCTCTTTTTCTTGTACCGGGCGCGGGACTATGATTGCCAAACTGCAGCATGGGACCTTTGAAGATGTTCTTCTTTCGCTTGGCAAAGAAAATGGAAGAACCTTGGCTGTTGGAAAATGGACTCGGGCTGCCCAAAGGAGGGGGGCTTTGGTCGTATGATGGCAACCTCTCGCCAAAGTTCAATGTCAGCGGTGGGCCGCGTGCAAAGCGAATATTGGAGGGAAACGAAGCACCGGTGGGAGTCCCGGGGAGTACTTTCACCGAGTGGTGCGGTGATCGACCGGAAGCTAGCGGCGTCTTTGTCGATATCGAACCGTTGGACGACGTAGATGACGCTTTCGAGTGAGTGTGGTGGTGATGCGGCATTGTACGGATCGAACTGAGCGATGATGAGGTTGATTTGCGTCCGCGAAGTCCAGCAGACGAACGTCGAACACTGGATCGAGGCGTCATGGGACCAGGGGACAATGACTGCCGTTTGTAGGACGAGGACGAGTTCATTCGACGTCCATGGAATGCTAGATTCTGAGACGTCGCGTTCAGAGCATTATTTGGCGAAGAACCCTCTGCCCTGGGAGTCTTTAGACGAGCATCAAACTGCGTTTGAGTACCAGGCGTGGTTGGTCCCGAAGCAGCAGATGTGGACTGCTTGCTGGTATGCGGCCTCGGACTTGGGTTTTTCGAATTCTTGCCAGACTCGGCATTTTCGGCAAGATTGGGAGTTGACTGAGTGCCTCGTTTGCTGGGTTTGTGTCTTCGTGTCGTGTCCACAATCCAATGCTTCCAATTCTTCCAGTGGTGAATGATGGACTGTGAAGGTTTCCTCCGAATCTTTGTGTTTGGCTGTTCCGGCGGTTTCAAGCTCAGAACATCTGAAGTCGTCACCAGGTGCAAAGTCGAGCCTCTAGATCTCGCACTCCGGAGGATTCCTTCTTTGGGTGGAGGGATTGGCCTTCGATGCCTTGACGTACTGGCAGAGCGAACCGAATCCTTGTCTACAGGAGTCGGTGGTACCTCAGTATCGGGGCTATAGCCAGCAGTTTCTGGGAGGTTTGGTAGCTCCATGACGTTGTAGTCAGAAGGATAATGCGCGCTGCGTCTTTCACTCCTCCCGCGCGTCCTTGGCAATGGGGGCTCCTTGAGAATACCGTCCTCGTCCAATATCGGCGCCATACGCTCAAGCTTACTCGATGCACCAGAAAATCGACGAGAATTTCTGTTCTCGGCTTCCTTCTCCTTGCGTCTCCTTTCCCGCCGCTTGGCTTTCCGCTGTTCTTTTTCCAGAAGTAGAGCCCACCAACCAGCAAGTGCATCACATCTCTGCGCCAATACGCTTTCTATCACTTGGTCAATATCCACACCGGCAGAGCGCATCCGTTCTAGGCAATCCTTCTCCAGAGGCGTGCTGAAAGGCGGTGGCTGACGCAACTTTAGAATAGCTTGTTGTTGGGGTGCGTGCTCGGCCAGGAACGGGTGCTGTAGAATGTCTGGCAATGTTGGTCGCAGCAAAGGGCGTTTGGACAGGAGCAGCTTGATCAGGGAGACGGCATCAACTGGCAGGTGGTCCGGATACTTTGGCTCTTCAGACAAAATCCTTGTCCTTGTCACATTGTCATCGTCGTCGTCGAAAGGAAGCTCACCGCACAGGAGCGCGTATAGAATCACGCCCAGGCTCCATACATCCACCTTTTCTCCTGCATATTTCTCGCCCTTGAGCATCTCTGGTGCCGAATAACATATCGTGCCGCAAAACGTTTGCAGGTAGTTCGACTTGCCCTCGTATTCGCGAGTGAAACCAAAATCGACAAGCTTTACATTCTCGTGCTTGTCCAGCAGAATATTCTCGAGTTTCAGATCTCGATGGACGCAAGATTGCTGGTGGACGAAAGACACGGCGCCCACAAGTTGAGTAAATGTCTTTTGCACTTTTTCAGGAGGGAGTGGACCATTTTTGAGGAGATAGTTGTAGAGTTCGTCGCCTGAAGAGTCAGCATTTCGCGCCGAACTTATAGAGAACCGTTTCATACCTGCACAGTATTCAAGCACCAACCACACCATCGACTCGGTCACAATCACCTCGTACAAACGCGCAATGTGTGGATGGACGAACTGTCGATGGTGGTGAATTTCTCGGGCTAGATTCGAGTCGTCCTTCTTGGCAGATTTGAGAACCACCTGGTCGTATCAGTCAGTTCGGCTTCTCCATACCGCGATGGGAAATGACATACCTTGGAGCCATTGGTGAGCTTATGTTTGGCGAGGTAGACCTTTCCGAAAGAACCCTTGCCTATTAGCTGCCCGAGTCCATAGTTTCCGACATTTTTCAGATCCTTGTTCGAGAATTCGCTGAGGACAAATCAAAATCAGTTATAATGCTCCTGGAGTAAGACTGCAGGTGTGCATGCGCAAAACTTACTCAAGGAGTTCTTGGTAGGACCTGGCAAGCTATACGGAGCAGAGCAGCAGTCAGCATGGAATCTTCTCATGATGCTTTCCAAGTATATCAAATACCTTGGCCTTCCGTTCCAGCGCCTCGGCTTTTGTCTTATTTGTTTGCATGTCCTCCTCTTCGAGCTGCGAAGACTGCGTTCAGTCTCGCCCACGACCGCCAGGTCTCACGCGTGCTCGGAATCAGCGCCACGGTATCAGTATCTTGACTGATCAGTTTGTAGTGCTTGTCGAGGTTTGTTGGAAAGACGGCGATCGTCGCCTCGGGGGATAGTGCTCATGGGCGATGTTCCGTTGCTTGCCAAGGTCCAAAGGGTTGAAATTCGCTTCGTGATCCAAAGACAGGGGAGAATCGCAAAATCAGGAGAAGCAGTCTAATCTAGAGACGCCTCTTTTGCCGAGATGGCTAGAATTATGCGATTGCTCAGAGAATGGCTTTCCTGCGAGGCACGTCTAAGCGAGAGCGAAATATTTCGATACCGCCTCTCGCGATGAGTCGTCGTCGTCTGCTGACAATGTGAAAAATGGTGGACGGGTAGTGTAGAGCTACCACCTTTGGGAGGTATGGGCTAATTCAACGTCGCCCGCGAACCGCGTGGGTCCGAGAGTCCGTCCTGAGAAGAGCTCTAATGACACCCGTGAGACCCGCCAACGCCCGCTATCTAATGAGCCCCTAAAAGCAAAATGTAGCAGCTAACACAGCGAAGTGCAAGGTGATCGCCAGGACCAAAAACTCAACCACCGCGTTTTACTGGCCAAACGATCCGACTTGTTTTGAATTTAGGTGATTTCTACCTCGGTATTTGTTTGTTTTAGAATGGAATGGGATTTGTCCAACATCTACTAGTCAGCCACGCTGATGTCCATGATGGATCGAAAAAAAACCAAGATCCTGATCAGTGGCTTTGGCTACGGTATGGGGTCACAGTAATCCGATCTAATATCCCCCATATGGATTGAATGTTAAGGAGATACAGCGTAGGTAATAAATCATCCCTGTCGGGTGCCCGCTCAAATATCGTCACTGTGGTCCTGATCTGGGTAGGTACTCCCGAATGGAGTCCATAGCACGGCGCCAGGCCTCAGCCACGAGGTGTGAGGTGCGAGGGAGCTGGGGTGCACCTGGGATCATGGATTGCACTGGACTGCCCAGGCTTCATGGGTTTGCGCAGGTTTGAAACACTGAATTCCGCAAAGGCATCGCAGACTTGTCAGCCCATCCTCATCCTCAGCCCACCTGCAGCTGCTAGTAATGTCTAATGCAGCAGGTCGTCGTCGTCTAGCATCATCTTGTATTCATCCCATCACATCCCATTTGCAATGGCCATACAAAGCAAAATGTAGCTGCAAGGACTCGAGCACTCGGTCTGTTGACATGCACTTTAGCAAATCAAAAATGACCCCCCGCCTCGGAAATTTGGGAAGCCAATATATTTGTTTCGCGTCCTCTGACCAGGGCAGCCGATCAGTACTCCATCGAGGTTAGCATTCACTTATTCCGTACTTGCTTGCTCTAGACGCTGCCAATGCATCACCATAGATTTTTTTTTTTGTTGTAGTTGATTTTTCTTTGCATGTGTATGAGCAGCTGTGGTGTGTGCTGTTTCGCATCCCAGTGTCCAGCTCGGTCAATCTGGCCATTGTCATGAGATTGTTACAGGAGGGTTTTTTTTTTTTTTTTTTGAATCCTGATGAGATCTAGGCCATGCATCTGCCTGCATGCACACTTTGCTGACGTTGACAACTGCTTGGTATGCAGCCGATGATGCAGGGGAGACAAACGTGCATGGAAAATTGATTCATCCGCAACCTCGTTGCTTGTAGAGCACTTCAGGGTCTGAGCACAAAGCAACGTCTTCAACACCACGCCCTATGACTGTTTGATCCGAACAGCAAACTCTAGATGATGTTTACAATATCTTGCATTTCGTTATTCTGTATGATGAATGCAGTATTCCGATTAGTGTATCAATTGCGGCGTTTAGTAAATTGCAGCCATATAAAATAAGAAGTGTCCATCTCGTATGGCTCGTGTATTCTCATTTCAACATGTACAGGACTTTTCCAACATGTATAGTTCTAATTCTCATATACAAGGTAGCGGCTAGGTAACCAATACAACGTGCAGATTGGAATTAGCTGTCTACTGATTTTTTTTCCCTCCTCAATTGCACATTGCTTTTTTGAATCTCGTTCACAAAAACGTTTTGATATCAGTAGACAATATTACGGTCAAACTACTTCCGCTCCCGTTCCCAACTAGCCTACGAGTTTGTTGATTGTTTTCTTGATCTTGTCTCCAACACCACTTCTTTCTCCATGCTACAATCCGACGTGAGCAAGAGGTGGCTACGCATGGCTCATATTGCATAAACTTACCGATGCGCGTCTCTCCGCACCCTTGATGAATGTGCGTTCATTGTCCAGAGCCTGGTCGTTGAGACCACTACGCCTTCGCTCCAGCTCTTCTTGATGTTGTGTCTGATCTGCGTGGCCAATCATCTGGTGTGCCGCTTGAGCAGCGTTGTCAGGAATTCCGTGGCCGTCTGCTGACATTTTTGTTGTAGTGTAATTAATTTATATTCTTCAGATTCTGCTAAAGTGATGTAGTTGAGTAGAAAACAAGAACAATTTGACCAAGGGGACCTCGTGGTCATATATGCCCCGTAGAGGACATCTTGCCCACCTATTTTGACGTCAGAGCTCGAGCTGTATTCAAACCCAATACGAAGCCATTATTGCCAATCCACCACACGATGGCCATTTTGTGTTGCAATATGCGATCATCACAACGTCATCCCACAGCCATTGCAGATCTCTTTGCACCATTGGAGAATGGGCATTTGCTTGAAAGAGTTGTCCAAAGCGGGGGATGGGAAGGTCCATGGTGCTGACAGAGCGATAGCTGTTATGCCTAGCAAATGATGCTGAAGCTTAATTGTTGGAGAAGATATCTCTTGCCAGTAGCTTTTCTCTGACGTGTATCACAAGACCTTTCACCAGTACGAGTTTAATCCGTGGTTTCTAGAGAGACGAGTATTTGGCCGAGGTTCAATGGCTTTGTGTCGAATCAACTTTACCAGGCGAATGGTCTGAGACTGATTTAGGGTTTTCCACATGAAAAGACTGAGATTATATACCAGTGCTAAACATGTGCCACGCGGAGTAGCTAGCTACCTATATGATGTTTGTAGCGTATTTGTCTCTTGATAGGAACCTTGGTGTGGAGTTTACTTGTTAGGTAGACAATATCCGTCACGGCGTGTGCCGATAAATTCTAACTTGAGAGCATTTGATGCTGGGCATATACCAATTTTTGTCAGTATTTACTATTTGTCGACCAGCTTTCACTTGACAATAGGAAACAGATATTGTCATAACACCGTTCATTGTACTGCCGCGCATATGAATTGATCAAGAAAAAGACTCCAAGGTAGATAGTGATGCTCATGTATTCCGTTGGTGAGGTATCCTTTTGAATCATAACGCCGGCTCTTCCAAAATGACAGAACTATAAGTATACTCTCATTCCGCTACCAATTCCATCATATCCAGCCACTCCATTGTAAATGCAGTCACAATCTTGGTCCAATCCCTGACAGTTGCCAGATCCAAATGTGCGCCGTCATCATTCTGTGTGTGCCACACTGATGGAAATGGCGAGGGGATCAGATGAAGGGTGTCTACTCCGCGAGTAATGAAGGGAATGTGATCATCTGAAATACCATTGGATCTGAACTGCTCTGGCATCTTGTCGGCTTCGGGTAAGAACGGCCTCGAAGGACGGGACTCCAGAAGTTCAAGATCTCGTAGCCGTTGCTCAACGGTTGACATGCCTTGATATGCCCAATGCGTGGTTTGGAAGTATGACGGGATGCTGGGGTTTGCCACACCCAGCAAGTCGAGCAGCACAAACATACTGATCTGCTCTAATGGAGTTTTGTAGCTAGAAGTAGCCGGGTTGAAAGTAGCCTCCCACTCCTCTGCCAAACTTCTAGCGCCGTAAAGGGAGTCCGTGGCTGTCCACGACACGAACGCTTCCTCTCCGTCGAGGAGTAGTATTTGCACGCCCATGTCCATCGCCACGGTACCTCCAAGCTCATTAAGTGCCACCATCTCGTCATGCATCCGCTGCATGTACTCGTCGACAAATCTTGCAACGTGAAGCAATATTGCGCACGGGACAGCACTGTCGGTTGCTCCGATAAACCCGTCTGGCTTCAGCTTGCTGTCGTAATGCGCCACCAGTGTCAAGTAGTTGGCTTGTCCCGGCTTCGTCCACGGCGGCTCTCTCCGCGCAATCAGATTCGCAAAGGGTATCTTCTTTTTGCCCGTTGCCGGCGTCGTCGAGGTCGAGTTCTGCCATATTAGCTGCCACTTTGGCAGCTCCTTTCGAAAGAAACCCGCCAGGTGTTCTTGGGCCTTCAATTGGCCGGGCGTACCGGGGACTCGGGGTATGAGCAATGGCGCAAGGAGCCCGCCATTATTGATGTCAAAGTCGGCGTCATTTATGGTAATGTTCCGCAGAAAATCGTCGGATAGTTTCTGATAGGCCGTCACGGCAGCGAAGAGAAGGTGGAGGACAAGGAGCGAAAGGATGCCGGCCCACGACCGGGCATGTTGGCGCGACATGGCTACCTCGGACCAGCGAGGTTGACGCGCATCGAAGTCGAGGGCGAACTCTGATGAATTTGAAGGCGACAGAAATTGTCCTGCGCGGAGAGGGATTGCGGTCAAGGAAAGCTATCGCAATCTCCCGCGATGATGGGGATCTCGAAACTTGTCAAAGTGTCCATTTAGAATGGGAAACCGAGTTACCGCACATTACACGGTACGTACGAGGTTTTTCGTGGGCAGGGGTCAAATTTAATGTGGAGGGGTCAGAATAAAATTTTTACCAAGGGGTCAAAATTAATTGCGCCATAATACTGCATAAATGCATATATAAAATTTATATAGCGCTTATATATACTAATATATATAATTTTAAAATAGTAATATTATGATATTTTAATTTATAAGCATATGCTTAAAATATATTATAAAATCGTAAAATTTTTTATAAAAAATAAAATTATAGCTAAAGCTTTAGGCAGAAATAAGCTAAACGTTAGCTAGGATTAGCTAGCGGCAGCTTAGCTAATAATTTAGCTAGCGCGGCTGCGATTTTATTTTAAATTATTTTTACGGTTATTATTATTTTTTTTTTTAAAATTAATAATTACGTATAATAACGTAAATATTCCCTTTTATTTTTTAGCTACGCGCGTATATATTAAACCTTTAATAAAATATAGGTTTATTCGTTTTATAAATATATTTTTTATTTACGTTTTATTTATTTTTAATCGCGTTTACGCATATATATAGGTAAATTTTGCGGTATTTTTCGTAATATTGCTAATTTTTTACGTAAAAAGCTATTATTTAACTAATTATTATATATTTGCTAATTTGCGTTATAAAAGCAATTTTTTTATAAAAAGGCAAGCGTATTTTAAATAATTAAATTTAATATAAAATATTAAATATATATTAAAAATATCCGAATAATTAAATAATATAGTAAAATAGCTTATTTATAACTTGCCTTTTTCGGTAAATTTTATTTTTTTTAAATATTTTAAATATATATTAAAAAAATTTAAATAACGTAATTATTTATATTATTAGTCTTTCGATTAATTACGGTTAATATTTTAATATAGCTTTAAAATTTGCTAAATATTTATTAAATATATACTAAATTAGCTTAAAAATTTTTAAAATTTATCCTAAATAATAATCCTAATTAATAGCCTTTTAATAAATATATTTAAATTATATATTAAGTATAAATCCTTAATATATTATATAAAATAAGCTTAGGTTATTGCTAATAATTAGCGCTTTTTTATTATTATTTCCGCTAAAAACGTCGGTATATTTTTTATATTTTTATTTTCGATTTAATATATACTAAAAATAAAGATTTTTCCCGCTTTAATAACCCCGAAATTTTATTTATTATTGAGCTGGGGCGTGGATATGGGAGAAGAACCTCAATTAAATAACCAACACCTCCAGGTAATTGTATAATCAGGCCGGTAACCTGATCACTTTAGGGTTGTATTTTATGCGGTCGTATTTATATAAGGAATTATATATATTAAATATTAGTTATAATATATTATTTAACGAATTAAAAAAGTATAAAAAGTAAAAAAAAAACGCAACGAAATTATTACCGATTATAATTTTAATTTAATACCTTTACGAGCTAAAGGGTCCATTAATTAGGACCCTTATTATAAATTTCCCTAATTTAACCTCCGATATTTTATCGTAAGGTTAAATCTTAAAAGCCTATTTTTTAAATTACGGGTATTTTTTGCTTATATTTAATAATATTAATAAACTATTTTTGTTTTTTTTTTGCTAACCGTCGTCGTTTTTTACGGCTCGTAGCCGCAAATACGGCAATTTTATCCCTAATTTAATTAATAATATTATTAAGGTCCTTTTATTTTTTTATTTTCGTATATAATTTAGGATAAGGCGTTTAGCTATATTTTAAATAATATTACTTTTTTATCGATATGGAGTATCCTATATTTTCGCATTATTTGCTATTATTTGGGATTTAATATTAAAAAAATGCTTATTTTAGGCCGTAAAAGAGAAGCTTTTAGATAGGATATTACTAATTAGTTTATCGTTTATTATATTAGGTGCTTTAAATTGCTTTTCGGAAGCCTTTTTTTAAATATTACGCACCGTTTTTACGGCTTTAAAAATTTAGAATATTTTCGGGGCGGGCTCCCGTTTAAGGTTTAATATAGCTCCCTTAATCGACCGGTAATTAATACCGATATTATTAGCTATTTAAGCTAGCTAAATCGAGCAAAAGCTATTTATATCGCGGGTAATATTATTTTTAATTAATTTTAGGTAATGCGTTAAACGGTAAAGCTAATTTATAATATATAATTTATAAATTTAAAAATTATATTAATTAGGGGTTAAAATTTAATACGCTTTAACGGGTCGTTAATTAGCGTATTTCTCGCTTATTATTATTTTTTATATTTTTTAAAATCGCAGGAAAACGTAACGGAATCGATTATAGCGGTTATATTTTAGGCTATCGACGAAATATAATAGCGGCTTTTTGCTTTTATAATATATCGCGCTAATTTAATAATTCGGCTTAAGGTTTAGCGAATCGATTATTTTGTTAATCGCAAACCATACCGCTTTTATATCGTTTTTAAATAATAATTTATAATAACGCTTTTCGGGCTTTTTCTAATTATTACGATACCTATTATATAAATAAGCCGTCGAAGGCTTAGCACGGATTCCGGTTATTAAGCTATTAGCTATAATTAAGGCCGTAATAATATTTAGGTCGGTAATAATAAGCTATTTTTAATTATAAATACGTTTAATTAAGCTTTAAAAATCGCGTATAAAAATTTCTATTTATATCGAATATTTAACGCCCGGAATAGTTTAAGTTTTTTTTTTTATAATTTTTCTAGTGGTATCGATTTGTTATATTATATTTTATAATTAAGGTATTTATAATACGGAATAGCGATATCTTTTTGCGTATAAATAGCAATAAAATAATTAAATCGGTAATTTCCCGTAAAAGGTATCCGCGCTATACCGGCTACGTTTTTTTTAGTGGATATATATTATTTTTTAATATTTAGGCGATTAAAAGTATTTTTAGATAGGTTTCGCTTTAGGCTTTTAATAATTTTTATATTTGGTAATTGCGGCTTACGTAATATTATAACGGCTAATGCTTAACGGCTAGAAAAAAATAAGGCGGGTAAATTATTTAGAGAGGAAAATAAAAAAAAAATTGCGAATAGGATACGGCGGTCGTAATTAAGGCAAAAGGGAATAAAGGCCTAAAAGCTGGCGATAAGTATTTCGAGGATAATAAAGGAAAATAAAATTGGAAATAATAAATATATAATAATTTAAAAAAATAAATTATAGGTTAGTAAATTTTTGTAAATTAAAAAAAAGGCGGCGAAAGCGCTTTTAATCGGATAAAACGGCAAAAAACTTAATATTTTTGCCTAAAGCCGGGGAATTTGCGTAATTATTAATTTTTTATTATTTTTTTATTAAAAAAAAAGCAAAGGCTTTTTTTTTTCGTTTATAATTTAAATATTCCGCTTTTTTCCCTATTATATAAATATATAATATATATTAATTTCCTTATTTTCCTAATTTTTTTTTTATTTTAATATATCCCGAGCCTAATTAATCGAAAATAAATAAAATATTAGGCTATAGTAATTATTGCGGCTATTATTATTGCTTTATAAACGGAAAGTTGAACTATTTTTATCGGAATATTATAATTAATAATATAAAAACGCTTAATTATATTAATTTCCGTACCGTTATCGAATAATATAATAATTAGTATTTTTATACCTATATAGCTAATTTATATAAAGATCTTAGGTAATTAGGCTTAAAATTTAGCTTTTATTTACGTATTGCTAATTTCGAAAGGTATAGCTAAAAGCTATATAAACGCCGTTTAATTAAAAGGTCGCGGGTTTTGTGTTCGTAATATAAATAATTTTACTAAATTTATATTAGGTTGCTTCGCTATTTTCCGTTTTTTTTTTAGCGCCGTATTATCGTTTATAAAAATCGTTTTAGTAATCCCCGGTCCGAGGAGCGACGACGGGTTATTTAATATTTTCCGAATTAATATATAAGCGGCTTTATTATATAAAAGGAGTTTTTCGGCCGTAATATCGATTTTTTTCTTTAGGAATTTATTAAATTTCTTCGCTTAAAATAACTTTATTATTAGGTTTATTTAATTATTAGCGGCGTTTTGCTTAGGCTAAAAAGAGGCCTAATTAATTGTATTATTTAGCGGGGTTAGTTTCGGCTTAAAATCCGTTTTTATATCGGCGTTTTTTATAATTGCGCTTTTAGTTATAAACGGTTTAATAGGCTAAAAATCGGGAATAAATTCGAATTTTATATTATTTTTAGCACCGTTTATAATATTAGTTACCCGTTTTTTTTTTAATATAAAGGTAGTAATTATAGTAAAAAAAACTAAAAAATCCGCTAAAAAATTATCCGTTAATCCGATTGCTTTAATTATTTTAATTACGTCCGGGTTTTCGGAGGCTTTAAAGGTTTATTATTCGTATTTAGGCAAAAGTGCGTAGGTATTAATATTATTATATAAACCGATTATTAATATATTATAAGTCGCAAAATTTTGTATTTAAATTACGGTAGGCTATAGCTGGCTTCCCTAATTAGACCTAATCGATTAACCTATCTTTTTTAATGCATTTTATAGTTTATTCCATTTATTTTTTATTAATACCGTTTGCGCGAAATTTCCTAAAAAATAACTAAATTAATCTTTATTATTTTTTATATATTCGGCTATAATAATATATAACGGTATACCTTTTTGTTAAATATTGTGTTGTACCTAAAATAAAATTTTATATATAAACCGAAAGCCGCTTAAAATATAATTTCGGCGCTAATTATCTTAAGTATAAAAACCGTTTTTTATATAATCCCGGGCGATATTATAATCGCGAATTAAATAATTAGGCGAATTATAAATTAAATAAATCCTA